TCAGGAGGATGTACGGTGGCAACACGTAGGCTAACTTGAAAGTATTTGGAGGTACAGAAAAAAGTCTATTTGCGGGCGGGAGAAAGAAAGTTGAGAACGTCAGTTGTAACGACCCACGCATTAAAAAATGGTCGGGTTAAAATCGGGCTCGGGCTCATAATTACGTTTAATGTGTCGGGCCGGGCCGGGCTTGATTTTTTGGGCCCGATCTAAGCTCTAATTTGTAGCCTACTTATCATTTTGATACTAGGGGGCTAATAAAGCTAATATAACACTTACAGCATGTGTTGCCTTCATTATAAGGCTTATATAAAGCTTTTAATTTTTTGCGGCTCCAGACAGATAATTTTTTTTTTTTTTTTGGGTCCAATATGGCTCTTTCAACATTTTGGGTTGCCGACCCCTGCACTAACCGGAAGTGACGATGGGCGAGGGAGTCTGGTCAAGTTCAAGCTCAGGTTACAATGGATGTGAATAAAGAAACCGAGTTCTCCGATGTTGACGACCATGCCTATGGCCCACAGGTAGGGATGGGGCCGATCCGATCCAGTATCGGGACCGGGACCGATACCAGCGTAATTCATGTGTCGGATTTTCCCGATCCAACCTGCGGAGATATCCGATATCCTGCTGAAATGACTCCAAAAGTGATTCCCGCTGGCTAGTGTGCTAGCTGGCTGCAAACTGTGGAATGGATTTCCTGAACGGAGGCGCGGCTCAATGAGACACAGAGACCCCCCTCAGGAAATCCATTCCACAGTTTGCAGCCAGCAAGCAGGACAGCATTGAGCTGCCAACATGTTCGCTGTGTGTAAATACTTCACACTGGAAACACCGCAGAGCAAGACAGCAAAATGCAATGTTTGCAAAGCCGTATTAATTAAACCATCTGTCTGTGATGCAAAAAATCTCCAGGTCTATAATTCTCCGGAGTGAAATGTGCGCTACAAACGACCGAGCGTGTGGTGACAGACGCGGCAGTGAAGTCTGCTCTCTTCACCTGCACAAAACGCACCCAAGAACGAAAAGCCTTGTTTTTCCTAGAAGGAAAATGATGGACACGATGTCCTGACAGACTGGAATTCGTGCAACCAGCACAAACACAATAATTTACCATTATGGCATCTCTAAAACTCGATCTAAAACTTTCTCTGTCTCTCACTACTGCTCTAACTACAGCTGAACGCGAGCTCTTATTTGCCTCGGCCTACGTCATATGACGCGTTGCTAGCGGGAAAGGCGTATTCCAGAGCCTAGCACATTTTCATCAAAATTTCTACATCAAATTAGCCTGGGAAAACCCAGACAACTTCCGGCAAATTTAGATTTGCTCTGAAAGTTAGTCTGGCAAAGAGCTCATTCAAGCTCATTTCCAATCCGTCGAAATCGAGGCACCAATCAGAAACGTTGGGGCGGGCTTTACACGATGACGACAGCGCTGGGACTTTGAAGCAGATTTTGTAGCCTACATTACAAAGATGGATGCCGCCGTCGAACATCACTCGTTCGAATCAGCTATCGCGTCTGTTTTAAGCGATTTGAACGTTTCCTTTTAGTTAAAAGTCGAGCAAAGAACAACACTCTGAGATGTTTATCCGCCGCTCTGCATACGTCATCTCCTTCATCGCTCTGATTGGTTTTAGGTCTATCCGCGACGTCCGTTGGTGACGCCCCTCTGGGAATGATTTGTCTATGACGCTTTGCCAGACCATAACTCAGTTACAACTGAGAATGGTCTGGTTTTAACCAGGCTAACATCAAATGAGATTTCATTAGTAATTTCTACATATGTGTTTTTAAAAGACCTCTTCAGACAATATCAAGTATTAATTCAGTTATAAATTCAACCTGCACGTTGCTCTTTAAAACAAGAAAAAACATCTGAAAAACAAGCTTATTTTTCTTCCCCCATTGGCGGATATTTTTTCTTGGTTTAAGCATGAAGTCACTAAACTTTGATTAATGTTTCAGAAAAAAAGACAAAGGGCCATATTTACTAAACATGGCAAATTAGCGTGAGAGCGCAATTCCACCAAAAAAGCCGATGGGAGTGGAACGTTTTGTGCTTGATTTACTGACGACGACAATGCAAATTAAAGAACACAGACGCAGCCAGATCATTTCCATAATGACCAACACAATCTACCAACATCAGTGCAAATTAGCTTCTGGTTTAAGTTTTTTTTGGGTGGTAAATAATGGCGCAAATACCAGTAATTTGACTAGCGCAAACCTTAATAAATCACCTTGCATGATTCATTTAAATTCTCTCCTCCCATAAATTTTGCATCTGAAAGGGAAACTCCTACAAAAGGTCAGCCACAAAAATAACCCTGTCCAAGTCTTTTCATCGCAAATTGTTAACTGCGTGTCTTTAGTAAATCCTGACAGTAGTTTTTTTTTAACGCCAAAAGAGTGTTAGTAAATCTGGTCCTTAATATCTTAAAGGTCCCCTGACACGAAATTGTCACTTTCTGAGGTTTTTTAACATTAATATTAGTTCCCCTAGCCTGTATTTGGTCCCCTCGTGTCTAGAATTTTCAATCGGTGTAAACCGAGCTTTGGCTATTTTTCTCTTCTCTGCAGCTCAGACGCGCTGATCTTGAATCTCCTCGTTATGACGTCATAACGAGGAAAGGTTACCTCCCCTTTCTCTGCTTTGCCCACCCGGAGAATTTGGCTCGCCCATGAGAAAACGAGCTAGGAACAGGAAGTACAAACGCGCCGGCGCGATTTTAGTTTTTCCTAGAGAAATAGCTTTGAGATTTGAGTTTTTCCTCAAGAGATATCATGGCTTGCAAACGAGCGAAGCATGGCAGTTGATCAGTGTTCGGATGTACAAATGAACACAAAAGTATTTTTTAGTTCCTTCATCCGAGCCTCTGAAGAAACAATGGGTTAATTTTATTTTCTCTGGAAATGCACCGACACAACTTCCCAAAGTTTTGTATGGTCCAAACATTTCACCGACGACTGTTTCCTCAACTCGATGAACGTCTGAAAATAAATCGATCGAGCTACCATACAACAATTTCTGATGTGTAGGCCGGATTCACATATAGCGCCAAAAAACGCGTAGAAAACGCTGGGTGCGCCGCATTCTCCTTTTTCCAAAGCGCTAGGGCGGTTGCGCTCCGGTTGGTTCTTGTCACGTGACCTACTGTGCGCTTATGGTGGGCTTGCGGCATTTTGAAAAGTTGAGATATTTTTATCTCGATGCGGTGCGGACGCGCTTGGAAAAAACGAGCACGTCGCCCCGCGACGGCGTCGCTTCCATTATGAGCGCGCATACCGCACGCCTACATTTGAAATAACGAACTTGAGCGCGCAAAAGACGCGATATGTGAGCAGGCCCTAATTGTTCAAGTTCAGACAGGTAAGTTAATCTTTCTCTCAAAATCGTTCAATACTGTTTATGCATCAGTAAGTCAAGCCAGTGACTAAAATATCAACTTCACATCGTTTCTTTTAGTAGGATGAAAATAATCTGATTTAAATTCTGAACAAATTATACAGAAAGCGATCAAAGAACAATCTTTCCACACAGCGCGAGTTTATCTGGACAACTCGTTATGAAATCAATGACGCACGTTACACTGCACAACGAAGCTCTTACTGTATGTACATCATCATGTTTGCATTGGTGAAAGCATTAGAGAGAGCAGAAACTGCGTTGCAAAGATAAGATCTTCATTCTCGCCATCAACAGACTGTCATCTGCTTGCTCAATGCTCATCACATTTTATGTGATGGGAATAGATCTAAATACTTTAAAAACTTCTCACGATTCGTTAATCTCGATAGCTGTAATAGTAAAAACGTATAATAGCTGTAGTAAAAGTATTCGAGAAAGTTTCGCATGTAATACATAGCTATTTCATATGCAAGCATGTCAGCCAATCACAGCAGTGGCTGGCTACACTGAATCCCACAGCAGACACGCCCCTTCAAACAGAGCGTTCAAATCAGAGGCTAAAATCAGGCTAGGAAAATTGCCTTTTATTTCTAAATTATGACTATTTTTGATCTAAAAAACATACTAACATTATAAGGGCAACCCAGGAAACATTATAAAATAATAAAATAACCCCATGTCAGGGGACCTTTAAGTCATTCCCTCGGACCTGCAATCAAATACCCCATATGGTAACACTTTATAATAAGTATACAGTAATAAAGTACTTAAAAAAAATTAACAAACTAATAGTTTATAATTCATAGTTAATATATTGCAGGCTCTACATTGTTAATATATTAATAGGCTATATAAAAAATAGTGAGTTCTTCATTCATTGTCACTGTAATAAACACTCCTAGTAAAGCAATTGTTATTTGGTTATTAGGAGTAAAAGGTTCTCACTTTAGATTAGCGCATGGAAAATGTCATTAATGAAGTGCTTTAAACTAACCTTTATTAGACATGAATTACATTCATATTCAGTGTTCCTTAAAATGTTTACAAATACATTATGTTGGCATATGTTGTTTACATGTACTTGTAAATATATGTTTATATATATATAGGAACACTTCATACTAATGCAATTGATGTCTAATACAGGTTGGCTTAAAGCACTTAATTAATGACATTTTCCCATTTTCCATGACCTAATCTAAGTGAGAACTATTTACAGTTCATAAGTTGTTAACAAACCATAATGAAACATTATCGAACTCTTTACATATGAGCTAATTATAATTTGGTTAACAATAATAATTTGGTTAATTATAGTGACAATGAATGTAGAACTCACTATTCGTATATAGCCTTTTAATATATTAACAATGTAGAGACTGCAATATATTAACTATGAATAAACTATAAACTAATAGTTTGCAAATGATTTGTAAGTACTTTATTACTGTATACTTTTTAAGTGTTACCCATCCTATTTGCTATTTTACAGTGATACAGAAAAACATCATGAATATTAAATATGGACTAAAAACACTTGATATAACTTCATTCTCTATTTCCTAGATTAAGATCAGTTGCTCACCCCAGTTCTGTCTCCAGAAGAACTCTAGGGTCTTCTGGGAGGAGAAGTGTTTCTTCACTGTGTAGTGTGTTCTCTGGATCAGCATGTTGGACAGACCAGCCTGTCTGAGCAGGTACGCCTGGGTAGGAGAGTGACCGAATGGATCCACAGCCCAGCCAGTCTTGGGTTTCACTCCTAACAAAAAGAGGAGGAATACAATTTTAGGTTAATTGAACAAATGTATATAATTCAATAAATTGCCTATTTCTGATCATTATTTTTTTCTACTTACTCAAAAGCATTACTGATGCATATAAATGAAAATTATTCAATAATATTCTTCCTTGTGCTCATTTAATGAAAAACAGAATATAGAACATTCCATGATTATTTAACTAGATTTAAACTGTGTTTTACTTGATTGTATTTACTGCTCTGATTAAAAGCCATCCGAACAAATTACAGATATATTAATATACATTAACACTACCATTCAAATGTTTGGGATCAGCTATTTTTTTGTTTTTTTGTTGTTGAGATTTAAGGATGTAATGTATAATGAATTTCAATTTCAATTTCTGTTCCATTGAACTTTCTATTCATAAAAAAATCCTAAATCAATAAAAAAGTATCATGGTTTACACAAAAATATTAAGCAGGACAACTGATTTCATTGATACTAATAAATAAATGTTTTTTGAGCACCAAATCAGCATATTAAAATTCTTTCTTTCTTTATTTATATAGCACAAGTAAACACAACTGAAGTTGACCACTGTGCTTCACATAGCATAAATCCAACAAAATTTTAAGAGTAAAAATATCATTCAAACTGCAGAAGAAAACATAGATAAATTAAAATTTAGAGGAATGCACGCTCCAAAAGATACACCTTTAGTTTGAGTTTGAACTCATATAAAGAGGATAAAGATATCAAGGAGATAGGGAGGCTATTCCACAACCTAGGACCGACAACAGCGAAAGCTCGGTTACCTCTAGACTTTAAGCGTGGCTGGGATAGATTATAGTTACTCATGGACCTTAGACACCTCCCAGGTATATTAACATTTACCAGTTCGGACAAGTAAGAAGGTGCAAGACCTTTTAACGATTTAAAGACAAACATCAGTATTTTCATGTCAACTCTGTAACGCACCGGCAGCCAGTTAGAAGGGATAGTTCACTTTGAAATAAATTTTTGATATGTTTTAGCTTACCTCAAGGGCATCCAAGATGTAGGTGTCTTTGTTTCCGCAGAAGTTTCAATTTTGATATTTTTAGGTCAAACCGTTTTTGTCTGTCAGTCATATAATGCAGGTCTATGGTCACCACCTCAAAGAGCATGCACAGAAAAGTCCAAATTAAACATGATTTAATGACTCGTAAATGTAAGTACACATTGATGGCCTAAGACATGAAACGAGCGGTTTGTGTGAGAAAACGAACAGTATTTATATCGTTTTTACCTCTTGTAACCACAGCCACGTCCAAGTGATCTGAGGGTGCGGGCGCTTCGGTCTGTGAGTTACAAGAGGTAAAAACGATATAAATACTGTTCGTTTTCTCACACAAACCGCTCGTTTCGTGTCTTAGGCCATCAATGTGTACTTACATTTACGAGTCATTAAATCATGTTTAATTTGGACTTCTCTGTGCATGCTCTTTGAGGTGGTGACCATAGACCTGCATTATATGACTGACAGACAAGAACGGTTTGACCTAAAAATATCAAAATTTAAACTACTGCGGAAACAAAGACACCTACATCTTGGATGCTCTTGAGGTAAGCTAAAACATATCAAAAATGTATTTCAAAGTGATCTATCCCTTTAAGAGACAATAAAATCGGAGTGATATGTTCATGTTTGCGAGTCCCAGTCAGGAATCTGGCAGCAGCGTTTTGGACCATTTGAAGCCTTGTGATTGAAATCTGGGGTAGTTCTACATATAAGGAATTACAATAATCCAGACGGGATAGGACGAAAGCATGTATAACTTTTTCAAGCTCTATCGATGATAGAAAATGCTTTACTCTAGATAATAGCTTCAAGTGAAAGAAACTTGATTTAACCACTGTGTTTATGTGTTTCTCTAACTTTAAGGAGGAGTCCAAAACCACTCCCAGACTCCTGACCGTAGGTTTAATATCACAGTACAGGTCTGCAATATTAAAAGTATTTTTTTTTCTCCTAAAGAGGGGCCGAACACAATACTCTCTGTTTTACTTGCGTTTAAATGTAAAAAATTTAAAGACATCCAGGATTTAATGTCATTTAGGCACGCAGATAGAGTTTCAAGGCCCTTTGTGTCATTGCGCTTAAGAGGCAGATAGATTTGAGTATCATCTGCGTATAAGTGGAAAGACACTCCGTGTTTCCTAAAGATTGATCCCAACGGCAGCATATACAACGAAAACAAAGTAGGAGCCAGAATGGAGCCTTGTGGAACGCCATAAGTAAGAGGAGCTGTGGACGAAACAGAATGTCCAATACCAACTGAAAAGGTTCTGTTTGTAAGGTAGGACTTAAACCTGATTTCTGAAGGATCATGTGACACTCAAGACTGGAATAATCACCACTGAAAATTCAGCTTTCCATCACAGGAATAAATTACATTTTAAAATATATTAAAATAGAAAACAGCTATTTTAAATGTAAATAATATTTTAAAAAATTACTGTTTCTACTGTATTTTTTATTACATAAATGCAGCTTTAGTGACCAAAATGGACTTCAAACACACACACATACATACCGGTACACACACAAAAAATCAAACTGAACCCAAACTTCTGAACGGTAGTGTACATAACGAATTTTTTTTAGCTATATAACTAATCCCTTGACACATTTTTAGAAACAGCTAATACAATAATACACTTAAGTTAAAACTTGGTTAGGGTCTATTTTTAGTGTGTCTAAAAAAAACCTGTGAATCAATAGAGCATTTACAACAGCTCTGAGTGTAAGGTGAGGCGATTCTCAGAAAGGACTCATGGAACAGAGTAAAACCCAGGAGATTCAGGTAATCTTGAAAGGCATGTGTACCCTGAAGAGACCTGTGTTTATATTCATGAGCACATGAGAATGAGCAAACCGCAACTCAGCAGCTCAAAGTTCTCCTGATTGTAATACTGGGACCGTGGCATCATCGGCTAAACAAGTGTTGTTTGAAATCCAAAGACTCATTGTAGAATCCGTCTCTTCAATCAATCTATATTTGAGAAACCGGTCTACTGACAGCTGAGATATCAGGAGAGCAGATGGTAGAGTGGATGTATAGTAATGAGAGCCAGGGCTGTGCTCCATGTTTTAATACACTAATAATGAACATTGAAAAAAAAAAACTCCCAGAGGTCTTTGAGCCAATATGGGAAGCATAAATATGTAGAGGAGCTAAAATTCCTTATAGTATTGCAGTTAGGAGGTTTAGCATTCTGGGTTTCACAACCCACATCTTGAGCTGAGGTTAATTCAGAATTTAAATACATCTGAAACAAGATATTGATACCCAGTTCAACCTAGGACCGCCCACAGTTCCTTCGAACCAGAAAACTGGAAAGTTCTTTCTTGATATAACAGGTTATAATCTATTTGGCTGACTTTACATAACTTCTGGCTGTAAAAGTACACAGTATTTATCATCAATCCGCCAAAACAAAGTTGCATTCACTAAAACGTACCAGATATTTCCCACAATTTTTCTGCACTGTTAGATTTTTCACATAATATATGTTATGCAGCTATGAGGTTAAACATGAAGCGTCTCTTAGATTTGATGTGGAGTCAGCAACCAAAGTAAAAAAGCAATACATTTACATACCCAAATTTTTTTCCAACCACTGGTGGCCTTCAATTAACTGATCTATCAACGCAGAGTAGTGGGTGTTGGCTTCGTCGGGCATCACCCAGCCTCCTGTAGCCACCTCGAACTGACCGTTCTCTACAAGCCTGTATCAGAGAAAGAGAGTGAACGAAAAAGAGAAGGAGAGAAAAATGTTCTTAGCCAACATGAAACTGCATTCACAAACGCATTGTACTTCTGTAAGGATCACATGCATCAGGAATTAATTCGACCATGCTTTCACACCTCCACATGTCCTAGGTGTGTGTACGCACACATGTGAGTGTGTTCTGCATTGGTTATGTTCTATAGTCTCATGCCTTCATTGGTGTGTGTGTTTGTTCTGGATTTTGCCAGATTTTTTATATTGTTTTGACACAAAAAAAAAAAAAAATTCCATTCAATCTTATGGGAGTCAAATTGACCCGCGAGGGAAGGAGGTGTTACTATTTTTATTACAACCATAAACTCCTCATTTTTTTGTGTGTATTTCAAGTTCAAGTGTGACAAAAGTCCAAAGGTCTTGGATCACTCCAATGAACACTAAATTTGCACAAATTTTGTTTTAAAGAAAATACATTTTGGGTCAAAATGACCATAAGTTTTAGTCAAAAGTTAAACCACTTTGTACTAATTCGCTCCCTCGTTTTAGTTAAATCGTGGCCCTGTTGTACTACTTTATTCCCTAGTTTTAGTCCAATCATGCCCACTTTGTACTAATTCACTACCTCATTTTAGTTAATGTACTATTAATAATACATTTCAATATTTGATTTTTTTTTTTTTTTTTTTACACTGTATTCATAGGTTGGTACACTAAGAAAACCAAACAATACAACCATAACAACCCAAAAATTTCCAAGTTTAAAAGTATTGTTTTTTTCACAAGAGTCAAGCACATCAATAGAGGTCGTTTCTGAGAGTTTGGAAGAGTGTTTAACGTCTCAGAAGATCCGAGAATTACAAGACCATGGTCTGGCTTAAACTCCTTTTGAAAAACTCTTGGAAAAAAAATCTAATATGGCACTCCAAAATTAAACAGTTTGGGACAAAACCAAAACATATGTGACAAAGAACCCTACAAAGTATGACATTACCAGTTTGACACAACCTCTGTTTTACATATGTCGCAGACTTGATAATTAGAATTGTATACTCAATTTAGTTTTTGGAATAATACAGTCTATGTCCCACTTTAAACTGAATCAACCTGTGCCTCACATTTATTGAGCAGTCTTGAAATCTTTCATTCCAGGTTTCATCGGACACTTCTTCATCAAAGTTCTTAGCCCAGCCTTCTTTTGTATAATTTGTGTTTACAGGCAGTTGGAAAGCATTTACACAGAGTGAAACCAAATGTCTAGAGCTAGGATTTACCAAAAAACCATTGCTCAAATTTGTTAGACTTTGGTTTGTCAATAAATTGTGGAATAACCATTTGAACATAATGTCTCACTTATAGATACCGAAAAAAGTCAGAACCTGGGAGATTAAATGCAGATTGCAATTGATTAAAATATGCAAATTTACCATCTATATAAAGATCCCCAATAGACATCAGGCCTTTGCTTTTCCATTCAATAAAACCTCGGTCTAGCTGAGAGGGTTTATACGTGATTGTTAGCAAAGCGTGTAAGGACAGGAGGGAAAAAAGTCAAACTTGGAGACAAGATGTTGTTAGAGACAATGTCTCTACCCTAAGCCATAGAGGATCAGCCACAGAGAAAGTTTCACCTGGAATAGCCTTATGCCAATAAAATAAAGCCCTGTCCTCCCACCTGGCTGGGATTTGTGTGTCTAGCAAGTGACGAACTCGCTTTTGGACCAGTTAAAGGGGTCATATAATGCCATTTTTGTACAAGCTAATATGATTCGTTAGGGTCTAAATTAAAAGTTTGTAATATACTTTAATTAAAAATTCTCATTAGTATTGTAAGAAAACACTTATTTTACCTGGTCAAAAACAGCTCTGTTTTCAGCACGCCGTTTCAGTGCATATGACTTTAAATGATAATGAGCTTTGCTCACCCCGCCTCTCTGTTCTGTGCATACACCATTTGTAACTCAATAACACAATAACCATAACGCGTTGTTCAGTATAAACGTGGGATTATGAATTATATTGAGAACGTCATACATAGAAAACATGCCGTACCCTGAGTGTAAACCTTAGACGCATTCATTGTGAAGCGTGCAGCTAGCGATTTGCAAAGATTAATATATTAATATAAAGTTTAATAAAACGTTACACTCACTTCCGTTCTTCTGGAGATTCAGCAGGAACACGAATATCTGGTACCGATCCTTTTTTCATGAGCAGCTTCTTAGCAAAACCAGCTTTATACTGACCCTCGTTTATAAAGCAGTCTGGTGTGTGAAATGATTCGCGCAAACATGAGAGCATTGAAGTTGCTCGTGGGGAATATTCCCTTCGAAAACAAACTCAGCCACTGCGTCTTCAGCGGTTCGGATTTAGGAACATTAAAATGACTGCTGTGTTCGTTATTACACCCAAGAACAGAACACCACAATCGCTTAGACGCCATTCTGCTCATAGACAGTGCTCCAGCATATCAACAATGACCGCGCCGGTCCGCGCGGACTATGATTGACAGCTGGCTCACGAGCGAGGGCGGGTCTGTGTTGAAACGCTCCTGTCAATCAACAATCGTGGGAGGGGCTTCCGCCCGTGTGACGTCACACGGTCGAACGGCTTGATTTTAGGCAGGGGAAAACATATAAGGAGATTAAAACAAAAACACTGGATGGATTTTTATCATTTTATGATGGTTGTGTACAGGCACTGCCAACACACATTTCAGTACAATCAACTTGTAAAAGTGCATATGACCCCTTTAATAGTATACCCGGAGATTTAACCAAAGGCATTATTATAATCAAGTAAATGGGGAACTGATTTGGCTGGATCAGAAAGATATATTAAAAGATCATCAGCATATAGACTAACCAAAGCTTCCTCATTTCCAATCTTGCATGTTTATGTGGGTGACTTCTGATCCCTACTGTTAGCGGTTCCAACGCAATATCAAAAAGAAGCGGAGGAGGAAGATCTCCTTGCCTAACTCCTCGACACAACTCAAAGGGGTTAGATATGTTAGAGATTGTCAGAATGGATGAACGAGGACATAAATATAGAATTGTTATCCCCTTGATAAAACGACTCCCAACCCCAAAGTGCTCAAGCGCTTTTAGCATTAATGGCCACTCTATTTGATCAAACGCCTTTTGGGCATCTAGTGAAATGATTGCTCCTGAGGCTTCCTTACCAAAAAATCCTTTTGAAAAATATTAAGAAGGACGACCTGGTATAAACCCAGTTCAGTCTGGGTGTACTATTATTGTTGAGAATGAGATATGTTTTCCAAGTCCACGTTAAGAAGCGATATCGGTCTATAATTGGCCGGGTCAGTGTCATTTTTTTCTTTCTTTAATAGAACACAAATATTGGCCTCATATAATGAATTGGGGAGTCTGCCATTGTTATAGGAGTCATTGATCATTCTCAATAAGTAAGGGGCTAGTTTTAAAGAGATTAAAAAATAAAATAAAAAACATTCACATCCAAAGCCATCTAGACCTGGTGCTTTGCCAGACGGAAAGGACTTGATGGCCTTTAAGATGTCTGCTTTAGAAAGTGAACGTTCTAGGTCTTCTTTTGCAATTTCCTGTAATTGGGGAAAATGAAGACTATCAGTTTTTTGAGTTGCCACTTCATGTCCAATGTAAAATCTGGGTCCTGAAGGAAAACCAGTTAAGAACCACTGATTCAAGTGTGGAAGAATCAGATGAAGACATCCCATTTAGAACGTTAATACCATTTGATGAAAGACTATGAAGACATTTTTTTATTTTTACTTTAGAATAACATGCGCTATATCACCAGGAACATAAAGTATACCAGATCCATTTTGATGAATTTAAAGCTTTGAAGAGTACAAAGGAGCTGAAAATGTTTCACCACTGCAACATCATCGACAGCATTTCTTCAGGGTTTTCACTACAAAGCACTTTCTTCACATATGCAGCATTACACACAGTAACCAACATTTTTTATATATTTTCAGATTTATTGAGCTTTCCCGCTGCAAAACTAATTATTTTCTTGAACAGAGAGCAGACACCTTGGGTAATGGCATCCCTTATTAGAAGTTGACTTCTCCAGGCCTGATTGCTAGTCAGCAGCTTTTCTCTGTAATGCTGAATATTTCAGCTGTGAATCGTATAGCGTGGCCCTCTGGAGGCCAGTAATAAGAGCGGTGCTAGCAAAACCAAGAGCACTAGCTCAGCACGTGAAAGAAAGTTTCAAAATTACTTTGAAAAATGGTCTGTTATTCTCGAATCAATCACTGGCCAAGAGAAAAATCCACTTCACAAAAGTCAACGTGAATTCAAAAACTACCCCATTCATTTTATTTATACAGTACATGTTCCTGGTCTTATTCATACATGTCCCCTGGTCTTGAGCACAATGCAATGCATGTTTTTTTTTTGAAAAATGCAATGCATACCAAGTAATGGATGAAGAGCGTCATTTTAAGTTGACTTTGACCCTACTATGACCCTTTCTCCATCATTTAGGATGTATTTGGTTCATTTCAGACTACAGCTGCAATTTAGCCTAGACCACGGAATATGAGTTTCTAAATGCTTCCTATATCAAGTTAAATGTTGCCAGGGAATGAAATTGAGGTTCAGGTGAGGTTAGACCAATTTGAAAATATGTTGACATACACTTCGATTAGCAGCATATGAAATCTTTGAAAAGTCTCATTCCCAATACTGCAAATGAAATATATATATGCCAGCATAGATTGGAATTTATGGACTTATCTGGAGTTCCCATTTTCCTGAGCATACTCTCAAGCACAGACAACTTGATTTATTCTGAAGATACACCTCCATGTATGTGGCAGTAAAAGAAATTGAATCATTATGCTAGACCTTGATTCGGCTGATATAAAATGAAATAAGACCTGCTCATGCCTGCCAAAAATCTTGATTTGGAGTCAGCCAAGACCTTCTTGGAAATAAACGGGTGGGGGGGTTTGGGGGGTTTGGGGGGGGGGGAATGTTCAAAAAGAATAGAGCTTGCTTGCTTCAAACTCTTTCTGTGCGTCAAATCAATAATGAATAAATATTGGTGTTGGATTTTTCATTTGACTTCAGTCTTCAGTCTTCACCTCAGGCCGTTTTGAAAGATGCTCTAATTGGAATTCAAACCCACAGCAGAATTGTTTATTACATTTCCACATGGCATTTGTGTCTTTTCCCAAGGCTAGTTCAACAATGAACACGGCCAGTTCTGTATATTTGACATGAATTTATAACCAAAAGTTTGGAAATATTACAACCTTTTAATGCCTTTGAAAGAAGTCTCTTATGCTCACCAAGGCTGCATTTATATAATCAAAAAATACAGTAAAAACAGTAATATTGCAAAATATTATTTCAAATTAAAAGAACTGTTTTCTATTTGAATATATTTTTAAATTATTTAATTCTGTGATGGCAAAGCTGAATTTTCAGCATTAGTACTCCATCAGAAATAATTCGAATATGCTGATTTGGTGCTCAAGAAACAATTCTTCTTATTATTATTATCAATGTTGAGAACAGTTGTGCTCCTTAACATTTTTGTGGAAATGGTGATCCTTTTTTTCAGAAATCTTTGAGTAATAGAAAGTTCAATTCAATTCAAAGTTCATCATTTATTTGCATTTATTAAATAGAAATCTTTTGTAACATTATAAATGTCTTCACTGTCACTTTTGATCGATTTAGTGCATCCTTGATGAATACATGTATAAATAATTTCCCTCTTTTTTTAATCTTAACACAAAACGTTTAATGGTATCATGGTTTCCACAAAAATGTTAACACCAAAAACTGTTTTCAACATTGATTATAATAATAAGAACTATTTCTTGAGCAGCAAACAAGCATATTAGAATGATTTCTGAAGGATCATGTGACACTGAAGTCTGGAGTAATGATGCTGAAAAATTCAGCTTTCCATCACAGGAATAAATTACATTTTTAAATGTATTAAAATAAAAAATAATTATTTTAAATTGTAATAATATTTCACAATATTCCTGAATCATTATAGTAATATCACAATATTACTGAATATTTAATTTCTGATTAAATAAATGCAGATAAACGGTGAGCAAAATGTTGACAGGTACTGTACATTATATACCTTTTTAAAAATTTACATTGAAGAAAATGGTTATAAAGCATAAATATATACTAGAATCTATGTTTGGTATCATCATTAAAACATAATATGTTTGTATCAATGTCTGGAATTCATTTTGTTGTCGTTTCATTTTTGCGCATAAACCGTCACCTGAGAGCTAGGCAATAAAGTACAAACTTTGAGCTTAATTAAAATGGGACCAAAAGCACAATGGAGTCCTCCAAAACTCCTCAACATCTTGCTTACACCAGACTTGTGTGTGAACGCTGCAATTAATGAATCCATAAATTACACCAAACACATGAGGATGGATGGATATTAACAACAGAGAACAGCCTCACCTCCTGACGGCGTCTCGTTTCTGCTCGTCGATGCTGTCCCACCATTTTGCAAAATATGAGATCTCAGACCAGATCATTTTTCGCCGAATGTCTTCGTGTAGTTTCACCACCATGTTGTTGAGAATGTGTTGCGTCTGGTCTCGATAGTAGTCATCGAATGTCTTCAACCAGCCTGAGAAAAACATCACATACATTTGTAACAGTGATTGCTGAGATTTTTTAACGACTTGCTATTTAAAATGGTTATAACTCAAAAAATTTAATTCTGTCAACATTTATTCACTCTCATTTCATTCCAATTTTTTCTTTTGTGGAACAGAAAATGAAATGTTTAGCAGAATGTACGTGCTATTAAATGACAGTGGATGGGGATCAGGAACAGCCGAAGTCACCATTCATTTACATTGTATGGAAAATAACAGCTTGGATATTCTGCAAAATATCTCCTTTTAGTGTTCAATGCAAGAAATAAGTCATATGTGCAAGAAATGAGTAGATTACATTTAAATTGGGGTGTGAAACAAAAAAAGCATTATGGTATCAGCATGTTTTTGGACAAGTACCACTACAGTATTATTTGAGGTAACATGAAAATGCCATGGTATATGAATATGTTACTCATTTATTGAAATATTTCATGGTATAAAAACCAAAAGTTTGGGGTTGCTCGTCAAGGCTGCATTTATTTACCAAAAACAAAGTCAAAACAGTAATGTTGTGAATTGTTAATACAAATTAAATTAACAGTTTTTCAATATTTCTTAATAAAAAATATTTTTATAGCAATTTTTAAATACATTTTAAAATGTCAGCTTTGTGCGATCATTACTCCAGTCTTTAGTGGCACATGATCCTTCAGAAATAATTCTAATATGCTGATTTGGTGCTCAAGAAACATTTCTTATTATTATTATCAATGGTGAAACAGTTGTCCTGCGTAATATTCAGGATTTGATCAATTTGAATTGATACATAGAAATGTCAAAAGAACAGTATTTATTTTTGAAATAGAATTTTTGTAACAATGTAAAATGATCAATTTACATCTTTGTGTCACTATAGACACAACATATATAATGTATAATATAACTCGTGTCTTCAGAATTGATCAATTTTACAAGCTCAGATTAACGAGCAATACAAGTTTGAAGTTTTAAATGAACACTGGCAAATATTTAAAAGGGAAGTGTGTAATTTCGGCACCAGAATCGGAACCAAACGAAATTGCAAACAAATGGAGATTTCACAAACACTCCCACAGTCTTCAAATATTTATACAACCTTACACCCTGCAAACAAACACACCCACTTTACTAACACTTACAGATATTTTAATCCCACATGAACATGAAATGACAGTCATCATAATATTAATGATTTTTAACTCAAACATTATTGAGAAAACTAATCCTAATAACTAACAAAGCAACAGACCATAACTGACAGTTGCTATTTATCCTTTACCAGAAACCATCACATGACATCAAACAGGATAAACAACATGACCTACCAGTTTTCCCACAAAGCAGGTTTATGGATATATTGAGGGCACTTGACTAGTTGCTGTCCAACTAAATTCTAATAAATGCAGTACAATTACATAAATATAAATTTAAAGTTGATTATGAATTAAATGCAAGTCTGTTTTTGCACACTTTTTGTTTCCCTTTTTAAATCAACATTTTGACAAGAAACAACGTTGTAAAAGTGAGGGAAATGTCGACAAAAACAGTACAGGTCAGGTTACCAAACACACCGACAATGAACATGTTTACATGCATTGCACACCAAAAATCAGTTAAAGGGATAGTTCACTTTGTTTTAGCTTACCTCAAGGGCATCTAAGATGTAGGTGTCTTTGTTTCCGCAGTAGTTTCAATTTTGATATTTTTAGGTCAAACCGTTTTTGTCTGTCAGTCATATAATGCAGGTCTATGGTCACCACCTCAAAGAGCATGCACAGAGAAGTCCAAATCAAACATGATGTAATGACTCGTAAATGTAAGTACACATTGATGGCCTAAGACACGAAACGAGCGGTTTGTGTGAGAAAACGAACAGTATTTATATCGTTTTTACCTCTTGTAAACACAGCCACGTCCAAGTGATCTGAGGGCGCCGGCGCTTCGGTATGTTCTTTACAAGAGGTAAAAACGATATAAATACTGTTAGTTTTCTCACACAAACCGCTCGTTTCGTGTCTTAGGCCATTAATGTGTACTTACATTTACGAGTCATTAAATCATGTTTAATTTGGACTTCTCTGTGCATGCTCTTTGAGGTGGTGACCATAGACCTGCATTATATGACTGACAGACAAGAACGGTTTGACCTAAAAATATCAAAATTGAAACTACTGCGGAAACAAAGACACCTACATCTTGGATGCCCTTGAGGTAAGCTAAAACATACCAAAAATTAATTTCAAAGTGAACTATCCCTTTAATTGAAACGACCCGTTTTACGTGCAAATCAATAACTTTTTGGCAAATTGGCAATGCAATTAAACCGTGTTTACAAGACTGTATTAAAAAAAAAAACAGGTTATTGTCCAGTGGTGACATCAAACCGTTAAGCATCCATGTATTTCACTCAGAGTATTCTATGTTTTGATGTTAAATAAAGCATTTAAAACCCCAGAGTATTTCAAAACTTCAAACTTGCACAGACTCATTCTCCTCTCATATTTTAATTCGACTGTACCACTTGCCCTTTGGCTGAACGAGACGAGAACACATTTATTATATGTTTTGGGTCAAAAAAATGTGCAATATGTTTGCATGTTTATTCACCTCTTGTAATGTTTGCCTAGAATAGTTGGAATAGGTTCATGATGCTAGTTACCCAACAACAGTCTAGTCACGCTTGAGTAGTTACAACTTTATTATTCATTTTAAAAGTTTGTTTGTGGCGGGATCTTTAATAAACCTTTTCTGATAAAGTGCTTCTTTGACTGCTGCGTCACATACTGGTTTTTTACTGTAGCAGCTTGCGCCATGAGCAATGCATTTTTAACACAGCGTTTCGCTAAGAAGAGTCTTGTGACCCAGTATTCTGTTGTCTCCATCAAGCTGAACATCTTATGTAAATATCACATCTGATCTGGTCTACGGGGGTTCTGTTTGTGATTTAATTTCCTATTTTATGGGTTTCCTGTAACATGACAGAATGGCTTCCAGCATAGATTGCTTACAATATTACTAATATGTTACACAAAACTGCTTCACTGCTTATTTAAGAAATAATAAAGAAACATTTTGCCAAAATAATCATGAAGCTTTTCTTTTCAAGAATTACAGCCTCTTAATGAGTTTTTTTTTCTTTTTTTCTGAGGATGGTTAAACCAACCAGATGTTTTTTTGTTAAATTGCTCTATAAAATATCAAAACCAACCAGATATTTAAAAAAAAAAAAATTGCCCTACAAAATATCAAAATTAATTGAAATTCCAAAATGTTCATCAGAGAAGAGTGTAATGTTATTACACTCTTATATATGAATAACTGTTTTAACACATCTGAGATCTTCAAAACAGGACTGGCCTTGAAATTGTTTAAAAAGTAATGGCTGAAAATATTCCCTGGCTGAAGCATTCTCAAGTTCTGCAAACGGCACACTCATTTTTGGACAGAACTGCTGTATACCTGACAATGATTTCTTTCTTGTCATTCCTCATGTTGAATGCAAAATATGAACTGCACACTTGGCAATTCTCATGGGAGAGTCGAATAATAAACTTCCTGCTTTTGTAGGATGCCATTTCATTGTTAACTCTTTGGCGTCGTCGAGTAAGACAACCGTTAAGAGGAAGGTACATCAATTCTTGTCTATCACAGCTATGGAAAATAAATACCTTGGGAAAAAACCCTCAGAATGGAAAATCTATTCAGTTAGCTGGTCTAAAGGAATATTCAGAGTTCAATATAAGTTCAGCAATCAACAGCATTATCTTCCATCACCACGGGAAATACAATTCCTAGCTATTTTTAAGATGAAAATCACAGTTTTAGTCAGGCACTTACAATGGACAAACATGGAACAAAGCCAATAAACAAAATACAAAGTATAGCTGTGTAATATTAGACTCAACCTTTCGTGTTTATAGTGATAATGATATAGTATTTCAACTTTGTTGTCATGGCAACTTTCTCACAATAAGCACAAGGATACCAGAAAGGGACTCTGACCCTGTTTACACCAGGAATCAATGTCTGTCTGATCCGATCACAGGTGGTCAAACGGGGTCCATATGTTTCCTAACACCGAGATAGTCAGAAGTGCATGTGACCGCATCACATCTGCAGTGAGGGGCCGCCTACTCGTCTGTCAATCATTCGTTGTACTTGAAACACTAACACTAACACAGTGTGATGTATGAAGGTGATGATGAAACCTGAAAACCCCTCCACCCTTCCCTCCACCCTCCACTGATCCGACCGGTCACAAGAGATTTGAGGCTTGACACTACCAGGTGTAAACAGCATTCTGTCTCGTCTGGCTACCTGTGATCAGACCACCAGAGACTGAGCTTAATACCAGGTGTAAATCAGTTTTACACAGCAAATTCCACCCACAGGAATTTTGTCAGTAACACAAAACCAGACGTTCATCCACCTGGAAAACTATTCCCACCTCAAAAAAAGGACAATTTAGCAAACTATAGGATTTTTTAAGACTAGACTAGATTTTAAGACTAGATTTTTTAAGACTTTTAAAGCTGCAGTCTGTAACTTGGCGCAGAACTGCATGCATCTTGCAGAAGAAGATTGTAGCCGGAACTACTTCTCTCTGTTTATAGGGGCTTTCGCACCAGAGGAACCTTTTCATAGTTCCTAGAACTATTGGCGGAGGATTTTGGCGTGTTCGGAACCGTAGGAACTAGTACAGATTTTATTTTCTAGGAACTCCTTTTGGAGGAACTAATTTAGCTCATACTTCAGAGTAGGGTCTGAACCAACACTATAGGAACTATCCGTGACGTTAGTGTTCGCTGATTGGCCGAATGCACGCGAAACATCAGCACCCGCCAGTTAGAAAAAAGCTGTGTAAGCACACAGATTATAGCCTATATTTACTCCAGAAACTAACTCTACGAACATGGAAACCAGTGATAGATGGGCCTCTTAACCTTTACGCTGAGGAGAAAATCCAACGCAACTTTGAGGGGACCAATCAAAACATGATTATGCATTTCTGCTCAGCTAACAACACTGGACATCAACCACACGGCATACGCTAATAACTCATTACAATTCATTACTGTCTACTTCCTATGTATGAAAGTTCTATAATAACGTATTAGACAGGACTGTTAGACAGATCGTAAACTAATGAACACGGAGAATGCGAGCACTGTGTGGCTCTGGCTGGCGTTCTCAGCGCTGTCAAAATAAAGGTCCGCTATAAATTATTTACACTAACTCTTAGTGCTTTAACATAAATTCAAGCTTCATATTTCTGCTTGAATCTGAAATACTGTTCCGCTTTATTTGCATGACTCTAACAGGAACTGAATACACAAATAATAATCAAAACGTTACTGTATATGAAAGCACACATCAATCTCAAATCCTCAGTACCACTATGGCTGGGCGATACGGCCAAAAATAGTTTCACAATATTCTCCATGTCATTCATTATAAATATTTATCACAATGTTAATTTCATTAATTAAGAAAGGAAATGCATTCCGTATGTTAATTAGACCTAATAAATGTAAAAATAACTTGTTTGTTTACCAATAAACTCCACAGAACAAGCTACCTTTTAATTTAGGAAGCCATGAATTTGTTTAATTTTACCGCAAATTCTGTGTTTTATGTTTTATGATTTACAAATTCATCATCAAATTTCTGCCTAATGAAATTAGTTTATAAAACTATTTAATCACATTGCATTTAATAATGTAATCAAATGAAATAATTCATTTTTGCATTTTTGTGTCACATAAGGTGCTGCACAACAGAACTTAATGTAGATTATATAAATTAAAACATTATTAAAATATTTAAATATATAAAATATTTTGGTTGTATGATATTCCTTAAAGTAATAATAACAATCACAAATAATAATAATAATACTTTGAGAAGTATGTTTTACTATGCAATAAAATAATATTTCTGTCATAATTTCTTTGAGGTAAACCAAACTTTTATTTTGGCGGGTTATTGCTATGACCTTTGAGTTTGTTTTGTATTTGACAAGTTTTTTTTTTCCAAATGAAATGGTGAAATGCTCGTAAAGTGACTGTCAGAGCAGCTCTAGAAATGAAGTTTTAGTGTTCATGACCTCTTATAGTGAGACGGCAGATGCTGAAAACTCCATGAGCATCACGCGTGCTTGAGTATGTAGACAAAACCACACTGCTCATTCACACAAAGACAGATAGAACATGCGACACGCACTTAGATATAGGCTAAATATTAAAAATGTCTATATATTGAGGAATTATTTTTTCCGATAGGTATCGTTATCAGTTTATTGGCCAACTCTAAGTATCACTCAATATATTTAATAGTGGTGAGAATTGGGTGAAAATTCAGCAAAAAGTGCATTTTATTGCCTATACGGCAGGCAAAAGTGTTAAAGTGTTTTTACTAGTTGACTAGTTTGTGCACAGCAAATACTCGACTATTCAGTTCCAAATCTCGTGCACATCCCTGAATTTAACCCACACTCGTGTCTGCAGCCAATCGAATTTCAGCCGTTTATCACAAATATTTGTAATATTCATCACATACAACCATCAGGCCAAAGCACCTGAGATAAACACATGTCTGTTTGCTTGATAAATGGTGATTCTCATTGACTACAAACACATGACAATGGTCAACAAACTTTGACTCACCAGGGTCATTATGTGAATGGGGCACAACAAAGACTTGCAGTGGCTCACTGTCCCATTCGTCAGCCTGATAAGAGATATCAAAGCCTTGCTTCCATACTCCACCATCAGGGTTATCAAAGCTGAGCAAATCATAAACATCCAGCATCTGAAATAAAGCAGGAGAGAACATCATTTTACTGGACTGAAACAGACACGCACTCAATTGTTGACTGAGTTCATAATACTGGACATCAATATTTATTAGTTACGAAAGTGTTTCATATTTTGCGTAGTTATTTGAAGGCTGATAAAAATGAATTCCGCTTCACTGTGATAAAACTCATTCAAATGTCAATTAATTAAAAGGGGGGAAAGGATGCAATTTTATTTGATTTTTACACAATTTCATTCTTTAAAATTTGCTTAAAAAGTGTAATGGTGGCCATAGTTTATTTCAGCTCACTATTCTCTGAAACAAAACCAAAAAAGATTTTCTATTCCTGCACGTAAACTTAAAGATTTGGACAGGAATTAAGTTAAATAATTGGCAAGCACCACACAACCCTGGTGTTTGGTCATTCAAAAAACAGGTAATTCAGCAGAGATTTTTTTCCTTAGAGACAGGAGGAAAAACAATATTTTCTGTTGCACCTGTAAATGCTTATATTACATCACGTCCCTGTGTAAAAAAAAACCCCAATGGAATTAAGAAACAAGGCAAGCCGTAAACAAACTTAGATGCAAAAGTATGCAAAGATTTGTCTGGTAGAGTAACAATTCAGGCATGGAGATATTTTTCAACCTTCAAAAGAACAGCCAGTGGGGTCTCTGGAAAACAAGTCTCTCTGACATTGATATATTCATGTTTACCGAACCATCGTTTATGAAAAAATCTTCATTAAGTAGGCCTATTTTGTGCATAAAAAAAACTTTTCAAGGTAGTATCACAACATATAAAACACATGTGACAACTTGTGAACACCCTTAAACTTTCAGTCAAAGTAGTTAACCAGTATGCTATACTAAGTGTGGTTTTAGTGTGTACATAACAGTATTGTGCTGTGCGATACATTTCTATTTCTATTTTGGCTTCCAAAGAGTATGAAAACAAGATAATCGTGGAAATACGACTATTGTGCCGCTGCCAAATTTAGTGGTGCGCTTTTGTTCCTCCCTGAGCCAAACATCCAAATCAGCTGAATAAGTGAGTGTTGTAAAATGCAGTCTACTGCTGCTAAACTATGGGACGTGCCTGATATTAAACAGTGTTATTAAAAGCTCATTATGCTGCGAAAGAGATACTGTTTCCCAGGCGGCTTTATGTGCCCGCGCTCCCAGACAGAGCAGAACGCACATAAGCAATATATTGTATACTGTGTGTGTGTGCTTATACACAACCGTGTCCCGTGTGTGCTCAAATAGCCTACACACGTCAATATGCCGTTTTGGTAAGTATACTCGTAATCAAAACAAGTCTTAAATGAATGTAAACAGTTGAGAAAGAAAACCGTTTCAGTTCCTAAACAAATGATCTGACATTACTGTTAAACGAAGGAAGTAAATGATGTCCAAAAAAGCATACAGTTTGGTTAGTGTTTACGTCCTTTTTATTTCATATTTTAACAATTTATTTATGAAAAATATAGGATTACAGAATCAAGAAGTTGCCATCTAAAAAATAGATAGCCTATCGATCCATTTAGAAATTGTATTGATATCGAAAATTAATCATATCATGAAATAAGACTTTGATCATATCACCCACCAATAATCGTGATTTCATCATTGACCAAAATTATTGCGATTACGATTTTTGCCATAATTGAGCAGCCCTAGTACAGTATGTCTTACAAAAAGATGATGACATTGAGGTTTTAGTTTAGAGGAAGAATTAATATCAAAATGTAGTTTTATTACAGATGATCCATGCAAATGTTATTTACAGACCGTTATAAAAAGCTAGTTTATTTCCAGCTATTTTTGTTTAAAAACCTAATAAATTATTGCAATATGTTGTAACTTTTTTTTTAATTAAACCTTTATAAATTTATGAATATGTATACTAGTTAGTTACATTGTTTAGATTTTTTTCATGTTTTTGTATTTTGTCACAAATACAGTAAAAACTGACATTTTTATTAAAAAAATAATAATTATTATTATTGTTTTCTAAAAATATATTTTAAAATGTAATTTATTCCTGTGACAGTGTCACATGATCCTTCAGAAATTATTTTAATATGCTGATTTACTGCTGAAGAAACATTTATGTTACAGCTGTGTTCGCTTGACGTGCGAGAACCAATGAGGTTCATTCTCATGTGTTGCACAGCAAGTTTGAGCTTACGCAAGAGGTTTGTGTGTGCGTGTCAAGCAGGTTCGGTTGAGCTTCTGTTTATGTTCGCTGATCAATGTTTATATGTGAATAAAAGCCTAAATTCAATCTGTTCATCATATAAACCGATCGAGCCTCTTCAGAATATTTGGACTAAACCACTCAATTCATATGGATTAGTTTTACAATCTTTTTATGAACTTATTGAAGCGCCAAAGTTGTGTAGACTGTAAATGAAGGGACAGGCAGCTCTCAGATTTCATCAAAAAGATCTTCATTTGGTTTCCGAAGATGAACGAAAGTCTTACGGGTTTGTAACAACATGAGGGAGAAAAACTGATGACAGAATTTTTTTATTTTTAGGTGAACTATCCCTTTAAGACTCCCTTTCAGAGGGAAAGTATACCTGTACTCCATCCGCTGCCTTGGAGTACGTCCGTGCTGCAAACTGGCAGTCCTCTGAGTGGATGGGGATCAGTGCAGGAGCAGGAGGCAGCAATTCCAAGTCTCCCTGACTCATGTTCCCTTCAGGAAAAATTTTCCCAACTTTCACAGTTTCTCTCAGATTAATTACGGAGTCCCTGATGTTGGCAATGATCTCGTTGTTCTCTGCAAGCAGTCTTTCTAAGTGGTCTATTTTATCCTGCAGAATACCAAGCTGGCCCTGTAAAACAGAGAAAAACGGTAAGTAACACTTTTAACACTGCTTTGGACAGGATCACAAGCCCTACAGCACAAAATTCAGACAATGACATAACTGAATATATTACCACATAACCTAAACTTAAGTGGATAAAGTGTGTCGCAGACTTTGTTTACGGGCCTTACGGGTTTTGAAAAAAAAAAATAACATCCAAAGTAATTTGACGCAGCATCTGGCCTGCAACTTTCCCAGATCAGGCACAAGCACCGTGTTTGTGAAAAAGGGAGAGATTAAAATTTACAACACTATCCCCCGGTTTCACAGTCTAATAGGCATTAGACTAGTCCCAGACTAAAATGCATGTTTGAGCTGTTTTAACTGAAAGCAACTTCTTAATATGCCAGTGCCATTGTTTTGTCTCAAGATGCACACCAGTAATGATTTTTTTTTTATAAGGCTCGTTTATAAAAGCTACTTAAATGCCCTAACTGAACTAAAGCCTTAATCCTGGCTTAATCTGAGCCCTGTCTATAAAACAAAGCCTAGATTTGAATTCTCTCACTTTCAGCTGTGGCTCTCAAAAGTCATTCAAACTAGGTGTTTGAATATTTGTCGTGCCAACCATTGTACGTCAGTGATCAGGCTGTTTTTTTTAACCCTCTGCACACAACAGAAATGTTTTCCGATATAGCAATGTTGTTTCTGAAAAGCACTAAACATAGCCTACATTAAAAAAATCAAACAAAAATCAAGGTAACTACCAATTGTCTCAAAGAAGATGTGTAGTAGCAACTAGCAAGAGGGAGGGGAAGTTATTTCAATTACCAGGGATAGGCAAAATTAAGAATTTAAGAATTGACTCCCTTTTTGCATGTCAAGTTTCACTGTTGTTGTGTAAACGAACGGCCAAAACGCATAAAAATGGTTATCACTCTGCCGAAATAAATAATTTTCCTATTTTTCAGACTTTCTTTCAGTCATGTTGGACTCATATTAGAACTAGGGCTGCAACAAACGATTATTTTGATAATCGATTAATCTAACGATTATTAGAACGATTAATCGACTAATCGTCGATTATTTCGCAGACTAATCAGTAAGTTTGGAACGATTATTCAGCTTTTCCAATTAGTTAAAACATTGAGTTATACATATTCTAACTATAATATAAAAAATAAAATCACTTCAGCTTTTGAAATAGTTGTTTTAATGAACTTTGAGCCAACTAAACAGGTCATTCTCTTTAAGTTTTCAGATTTCGGTCCAACTCAAATCACACACAAATGCTCTCTAAGCATTGTTTAATAGGCCCACTGCTTTTCTTAGAACTGAAACAGAAAAAGGGACATTTACTTCAGGACACAAAGAATGGTAAAATATTAATCTGCAAACAATTATTATAATTATAAAATTACAATCTTTTTTTACATGACAGTTGAGCTGACAGAGACGTTCTCATTCCCTTTTAATTTATAGTATGATAAAGTGACTGCCGTGATATTCTTCCTATATCATAGGAAGGATATAACATCTCGTTTTGTAAGTCTTCATGATTATTGAACAAAATACAGGCAAGTGATAAGACTATAATAATACCTAATATACTAATAGTGTTACAATAATAAAAACAGCCCTGACTCCTAAGCTCGATCAAGCTTTATTCTATACAAAATAAGTCATCACATTACTGTAATTATATTACTATTGATAATATTATTACTATTATTAGTAGTATTGCATTCTCTAATAAAGAGAGATTTGCCGCTGGTGGTTAGTTAGCTCCAGCTGGAGAACACTCACTTCTCACCGGCTCCTCTTTTGCCGGGATGTTTCCTCTTGCACCCCAACATTGCACACGACAGCATTCTTGATTTGAAGTTTTGTGAAACTTTCCCAAACCTAAACCTTGCTAGTTCGGATTCGTTTGCACTGTCATAATTCGCGCTGTTTTCTCTTCTACCGCAATAGCATTGTGATACTATTGTTTGTAAGGGCTGCACTACACTCTAGCGCTACAGCGCCGTAGCGTTCAAATCGCGGGATTGCAGGCCCTTACATTAGGTCACGTGAGATCAAACGACTACTCGACAACAAAGATATTTGTCGACAAATTTTTATTGTCGACGTTGTCGACAACGTCGACTAATCGTTGCAGCCCTAATTAGAACAAATGTTTTGTTTACTTAAGGAGCATAAAATTTGCCATATGGTTGTTTATTTGACAATTTGTCTCTGAAGATGCACATAAAATCAGAAAGAAGCGAAAGTTGCGAGTCTTTTCTTCACTATAAGTGACGTATATCCGATTGAAGCAGATTCTCGAATAAGAAAAAAATCTAGACTTAATTTTGTCCATGCGGGAATTATTTGGATCATTGTGATTTGCTATCACTGTGATCTCACGTTGAGTGACAGGTTGACCCGCCCTCGCGCCAGTAAACACGTCATCAGAGAAGAGATGTAGTAGCAAGAGGGAGGGGAAGTTATTTTAATTAAAGATTACAAGGGCACATGAATTTAACACAAATAATTATACGGATAAATCATTTATAATAAATACTGCAACATTCCATTAAAAATAAGAACTTTTGATTTCATGTTATTTTTAATTATTTAAAAAATATGTTACAATCCAAATAGTTTATAGATGTAGGTAGGACCAATTACGGAAGTCTGAACCTATTTGAATGCAAAAACAGAGATGAGCAGGAAGCAATGTGTGGTGTCTAGATAGGCAGCTCGTTGCAATTTTGCTCGTTTAGGTCTGTGAACGTGAGGTCTGACTCTGAGGACTGCGAGGAAATGAACTTTGAGCTCAGTTCACTGTCCAAAGCGAAACAGAATCTTCGCTTTCTCAATCGTTTAAGACAGTACCGTGATCTAAATGGTTTAATTAAAATATAACACGATAAAAATAGTTGAGAAACAGGAAATGCAGGCTTGACTTACACAGCCATCTTTGTGCCGGTGTATTACTTTAATAGTGTAATGTCACTTGGAAAGAAGCAATCGATCAATTCATACTAAGTGTCTTTTATCCACCGCATCACAATCGAGTCAAAATTATAAGTTCACGGACCAGCAGCTTGAACACGGAAAACACACATACTGACAGTACATAACACAATTTATTGACAAGCATTGTGCACATGGACTAGGCTACTTACGTTTTGCGTTTTCTCTCCATTTGGGTTTTTGCTATAATCTAAGTGATCCAACATCAGGTACAAGGAAAATACCACCACACAGAATATAGCACTGCCAAAAACTGTGAACTGTCTACTGAGCTTCATTTCTCATACGAGTCCTGTACATTCACATGAAAAGGCAAACTTTTAAAGGCTTGTGTCTCGCGAGTGGTGGTCCCGTAGGTGACAGAAGGAAGAAGTGAGAAAGAAAGGTCTTTTCGCCATGAAGAGTTGCACGAAAGGGGACACCTTTTCTGTCTGACGGTGGGGAAATGTCGAGTTATGTATCCACGGACTGGAATCCACTGCGATGTGTCTTCAAAGTTTTGACGACGCGGAAGAGTTTGTGTGATTCAGCAAATTGTGATGGTCAAACAGGCAAAGGAAAAGCGCCAACCAACCCTGCCCCCTTCCTGCGCTTACTGTGCTACAGTACACACACACAGACAGAGGAAAAGTGAAGTGTGTGGAGTTGCGCCGCCTAACGAGTGAACACATCACTCATACACACACACTCTCTCACACACTCTCTCTCTCTCTCTCTCTCTCTCTCTCTCTCTCTCTCTCTCTCTCTCTCTCTCTCTCTCTCTCAATTCAATTCAATTCAATTCAAATTGCTTTATTGGCATGACTGTATATATTACAATATTGCCAAAGCTTGGAATACATAGGAAAATTATAAAGACATCAAAATACTTGAATATTATAACATAAATCTCTCTTATAACATAAATTAAATTTAAATGTACAAATTAAATTAATTGTACAAGTGAACAGTGTAACAGAATAGAATATCTGTGAACATTTTGATACCACAGTGTTTTAACATACATAAACACACACACATTACTGAAGTCACTGTGGTGGGCAGTAGGGAAACACCCTGAGGTCACACACACACACACACACACACACACACACACACACACACACACACACACACACACATTCACCTGCTGTCTCTCAGGCTGTGGCACACACACACGTATCTGGCAGCCAGTGTTGCGGTCTGTCCCTCTCCTAGTAGGATCTTTATCTGTTCTACTTCAGTCATGGCTGTAAAGCCCTGTATTACGTTATTAAGTTTGTTAAAGTAGAGGTCTCTGACTGAGCTGTATCTGTGACAGTGAAGGAGGAAGTGTGTCTCTGTCTCGACCTCTCCTGTCCTACACTGAACACACACCCTTTGCTCTCGGGGTAACCAGCTCTTTCTGTGTCTGCCGGTCTCGATGGCTAGACTGTGTTCACTCAGCCTGTACTTGCTCAGGATCCGTCTCTGCTTTGTGTCTCTCACACTCTGGAGATATTCTTCCATTTCATAATTTGATTTCAGATTTCGATAGAATTGTAATTTACTTTGTGTTTTGGTTTCCTGATCCCAATGTTCCAAATATGTATTTTTAGACTGTTTGATAATTTGGTTTATTCTGATGTGTGTGTGAGGAGCAGAGCTGGTCTGAGACTGGTTAGAGTTAGTAGGGTTAGTCGGGTTAGTGAGTCTCAGGACCAGCTGACTGAGGAGACTCTTTTCGGGGTTCAGTTCTTGGGTTTGCAGTGATGTAGCGATTCTGTGGGACTTGATTTTAGATGCATCCAGAATTTGAGGGATCTTTTTTGCATATTAATAATCAATGGGAATCGGCCTAATTCTGCCCTACATGCATTATTGGGTGTTTTTCTTTGTAGTTTTAGTATCATTTTGCAGAATTCTGTGTGTAGGGCTTCTGTTGGATGTCTGTCCCATCTAGTGTAGCTCTGATCACTGAGTGGACCCCAAACCTCACTTCCATACAGCGCAATGGGCTGGATTACACTATCAAAGATTTTACACCAGATTGGAATCGGTAATTCAGTGTTTTGGAATTTCTTCTTAATTGCATATAGAGCTCTTCGAGCTTTATCTTTAAGAGCATTCACTGCCATACTGAAACTCCCCGATGCAGTGATGACCAGGCCGAGGTAAGTGTACTGCATCGTGTGCTCTAGGCCGGTGCTGCCTAGACTGAACTGGTGTCTGTGTTCCTGACATCTGGGCTTCTTCTGAAAGACCATAATGTTGGTCTTTGTGAGGTTGACTGCCAGGGCCCAGTTCTGGCAGTAGTTGTGCAGCAGGTCCAGGTGCTGCTGTAGTCCCTGTGCAGTGGGTGACAGCAGCACCAGGTCGTCTGCGTACAGCAAGAGCTTGATGCTCCTGTCCTGTAGAGTGAGTCCAGGGCCTGTAGACTGCTCCAACTGCACCGCTAGTTCATTAATGTAGATGTTGAACAGCGTTGGACTCAGGCTACAGCCCTGCCGCACTCCTCTTTTCTGGGTGAAGAATTCTGTATGTTTGTTGCCAATTCGTATTGCACATTTGTTGTTCGAATACATTGATTTTATAATGTCATAGACTTTACCCCCTACACCACTTTGTAAAAGTTTATAATATAATCCGTTGTGCCAAATAGAATCAAATGCTTTTTTGAAATCGACAAAGCATGCAAATATTTTTCCATTTTTGGTCTGTTTTACGTGTTTATCGATTAGGGTGTGTAGGGTGTAAATGTGGTCGGTAGTTCTGTGATTTGGAACGAAGCCAATCTGACTCGAGCTCAGGACATTGTGTTCGTTAAGGAAGCTTACAATTCTATTGTTTAAAATACTGCTAAATAACTTCCCCAGATTACTGCTCACACAAATGCCTCTGAAATTATTAGGGTCCAATTTATTTCCACTCTTATGGATTGGGGTAATGAGTCCTTGGCTCCAGATGTCAGGAAAACAGCCTGAACGGAGTACGGTGTTGAATAGTTTGAGCAGCGCCGCCTGCAGCTCCGGTGTGCTGTGTTTCAGCATCTCACCTAGAATGCTGTCAGGACCACAAGATTTATTACCTTTTTGGCTTTTGAGTTTGTTTGCCAATTCTTCATGTGTAATTGGGAAGTCAAGTGGATTTTGATTATTTTTAATTGTCTCTTCATAAGTTTGTAGATTTTGTTTGGTCAGATTATAATTATCATTGAGTTGGTTTGATGGGATTTCTTTATATAAGTTTTCAAAATGATTTGTCCAAATTTCTCCGTCTTGTATTGGTAGGTCTTGTGGTTTTGCCGTGCTCAGATTATTCCACATATCCCAGAACTGATTATGATTTATTGAATTTTCTAATTCTTGTATACTTTTGGTCAGATGGTGTTGCTTCTTTGCTCTAATTTTGTCTTTATATATTTTTAGTTTTGAAAAGTATTCAGTTCTTATGTCAGTGTTGTTTGGTTCTTTATGTTTCAGATTTGATCATTTTCTAAGTTGTTTTCTTAATGTTTTGCAGTCTGAGTCAAACCATTTTGCATCTTTTGGAGTATTTTTTGTGTATTTTTTGCCTTTCTTTTTCAATTCACTTTTCTGTGCTGCTTTTTTAAATATGTTATTGATTTCATTTGTAGCCGAATTAACACCATCTTTAGTTGTTTCGAATTTCTTATTAATAAATGTATTTATTAGATTTTTTATTTCTTCAGAAAGTTTGTGTCAAAGTTTATGTAGCACTTGTCTGAATTATTAGCAGTAATTTAGTAGATATTCTTTTTACTTTAGTTTTATAATAAAGATAAGATTTGAATTTCGTCAGAAGGATTAGGTATCGCTAAGGAGACAGCGGGTTGTCATGAAAAGTAACAGACAGACACAAGATTAGAAGTATAATTGGTTTCACTTTAAATAAAAAATAGAAAATTTGTCAAGTAAAAGAAAGTAAAATCACAAAATCACATAAACAATAGTCAAAACGATTGACTATGAAAATTCCCACCTCGAGTGCACTCTTGTCGGTGTTTTCATATATATACTCACATAGTCAGTTTAACACTCAGAAAGAAAATAGAAAATAACAAACAAGATGCAACAGAAAAGAGTATAATCTCTCTCTCTTGAGACCCTTAAGTGTCTCACGTAAAAGTCCCAATGTCTCTCAAATCTGGATTGTGGTTGACCCTCAAAAAAAAAAAAAAAAATAGTTCTTAAAATCAAATTTGTGATCGAGTACGAGTAGCACTGGAAACTCAAGGAAAGGATATCGGCCTCCTCTCCACAACGTGATGTCTTTTCCCTTTCTAAAGACTGGGTTGGCTCGCCATCAAACACGGAATCTACAAGACGTCACAGAAGGTCGTGCAGTCATCACATCTCCACGATATCAAGAAGAAATCTCTCTCTCTCTCTCTCTCTCTCTCTCTCTCTCTCTCTCTCTCTCTCTCTCTCTCTCTCTCTCTCTCTCTCTCTCTCTCTCTCTCTCTCTCTCTCTCTCTCTCTCTCTCTCTCTCTCTCTCTCTCTCTCTCATACACACACACACACACACACTCAAACTCAAACACACACACACACACACACATGTCACGTATTCAGTATTATTTTCCTCAGCCCCATTTGACAGCTTTTGATCATTCATATCCTGCTATATAGAAATGTGCTTTCGGTTGTTTTAATGTACAAATAGGGAGTTTATAATAACTAAACGTTTATTTCGTGTTATGTAATATATTTTATGACCGTTAAAATGTATTGACGGATAAATTATGACTTAATAAATTCTTAGATAATCAGGTGAAATTGTTTATTGTGTAACATATTCCCTCAATGTTTGAGGGCAGCAGTGCTGCTTTGTTATGTTATTGGTTCATGTTTTTTTTTTTTGTTTTTTTTTTATAAATAAGGAGTTTATGATAGGCTAACTAAACGTTTATTTATTGTATTTTATGACAGTTAAAATTAATTGACAGTTAAAATATGATTTTATAAATTCTTAGATAATCCTTAGATTTCTACTGTTTCAGGGCAGCGCAGCAGCTGCTTTGTTATTTTCTTTATATGGTTAACAGTTTTAATGTGAAAATATGGAATGCATGATAACTACGTTTTTATTTATTTTTTGTCATTGTATTATACATTGAATTAATATTAAAATAATTTTAACATATGAATGAATAAATTATTAGATACTAATAAATATTTATATCTTGGGTACCATGTTTCCTCCAATCATTAGATTTCTTATGTTTCAGGGTATTTGGGAGTGCTGTATTTTTCTGAAAATATTCTGGCCTACACACATTTTATGAGGCACCCAGCAATAAATAAATGTTTCATTGGAAATCAATTCCTTTTCAGTTTCATACAATTAATCCACCCTGAATTTACATTTCCGGGTGTCTGTCCTCCTAACACTTTCAATTACAATGTACCTATCCTACTCTATCCATCCCATCCCATCCCACCCCACCCCATTCAACGCCATCCCCATCCCCATCCCCATCCCCATCCCCATCCCCATCCCCATCCCCATGACCCCCATCCCTGTCTGCTTTCTGTTTTCCAGGTGGGCTTTAAATAGCACACGTGGTGTTGCAGTTGGCTTACAGCTGCCTAGCTGCACCCGATTACAACGCTGACAATTATACTCACGGTTGATTGGTGGACGTGTGTCACGTGACTCTTAAGTTTCGTGGTGACGTTCGCAGAGTTTAGTTGACACAGGAGAAATCCAGGAACACAGGTACAGTCCTTTAACAGACGACACATTTCATAAACTAAAACATTGTGTGAGTTTTTTGCGCGACACTGGAGGAATAAAAGCGTTAGCAAACATTATAATCCACGCCCAGGAAGCAGCGACGCTTGTCGAGAAACATTAGTTAGCTTGTTAGCTGCTCTGAACTTGTATGAGGGCCGTAGTCGACTGAATTGATCCAGCTGATCAAATGAATCATGTGATTTGTGTGTTTCTTGAAGTAATAATCTGTTTTAGGGCGTTGTATATTGTAATGATTGCTTTTGAGGCAATGTGCCAAGCGATAGCATATGTCAAGCTCCTTTAATGCGTAATGTTGACGGATGTGATGTGTGTTTGCTGCAAACTAACGTTACACAACAATAACATGACAGTGACGCGTTTTGATCAGACTGAGCTAAGTAAGTTAACCTCCGTGATCTGTTCAGCATTAATGTGATCTGACATAGGTTAGAAAGCTTTAATTCTTTCTAATTGTATATTAATTCTCTAATATCTAATTCTCTAATCATTGTTAGAGGCCACAAGACCTAAACTGGATGTGTTTTAATAAGAGATTGAACCAGTACAGTAAGACTACTGCGTTTTCAGCATCGAAGATTGAAAACCTTTACTGGTCACAATTTAATCTTCTTCTTGTAACATAAAACATTGTGTCACTTTTTACATGTTGGGATGAAGGTTTATGATTTGGTTTATCTGGTGCCTCAGTGTGTTTTCATTTACATTGGTGCATTGAATCATTTAACAAATGCTTTTATCCAAAGTGACAAATGAGGAACATCACAAACAATTCATCACACATGACTCAACAATATTAGTTTCACAAGGCCAAGTTACAAGACTTAGTGCAAACTAAGTTACAATGCATAAAAAAAGATTTGTAGCTTATGCTTTATTTTAAGGTGTCATTGTTACAGTGTAAATATTTAAGTAATATTTAGCAACTTCATGTACTTACTATTGTGTTAGGGTAGGATTTGGTTGAGGGTTAGTTGCATGTGATTAACCATAATTTAATTTAGATATTTCTATGTAACAAGGACACTGTAAAATAGTGTTACTGATTTTTGTAATAGATATAGCTACAGTACAGGAAGTGCCTTTATTTAACTTAAAAGAATAATTTAATGATATATATGCCTTTTGTACAGTGGCCCTAGAAAATATGTGGATGTATAAAGGATAAGTTTACAGAATTTCAACCAGTTTTGTATTTCTAAGTTTTTGGTGAATAATTAAATCATTAATAATGAATAATTTTACTCTTTCTCCATTTGACCTGTACACAAATAACCTAATTTATTATTTGTCAGCAAAAGTGCACAGGATGACACAAAACACGTCATTTTACATCATCTGGTGGACTTTCGACCGCTTAAAGGAATTTTGTTAAAACTACAAATTACATTTTTGGCTCCCACCAACAGCTCTTTTCTGTAGTCAATGAGTACCGATTTCAGAAAAATGTTCACTTTTCTACTCCTTAGACAAGTTTCATTAAAAGCCTTTCTTTCCACCAGTGAATTGCCCCTTTAAGGCCCAAAGTTTAGTTCAATAATCTTTCTAATTCTGTTAGAATAGGGAAGTGCACACCACAACTATAATGATGGTGATGACTCAGGAATGATATTGTTGGAATCGCATTCAGAATATTTTTTTTCCCATCTGATGAACAATAAAAACATTGACTGGATAGCCAATCAGAATCCACCAGATTTTAAGTATTTAAAGTGTCAGACGAGATACAGTAACTGCAGCGCGCTTATAATGAACAGAAGGTTAACGTCCGTTGGTTCGGACTCTAATATAGTCAACTTTGTTGTGAACAGGCCTTTAAACTTCTGTTTGTCGTAGGAATGGGTCAGGAGGCAGGAAAGTCTGCGTGGCCCAGACCAGCAGGAGGATACCAGACCATCTCAGGCAGGAGGTACGGCCGGAGACACGCGTATATCAGCTTCCGGCCGCTTACGGATAAACAAAGAGCCACATCTGGTGTGGACTGCCAGAACATGGAGAGGACGAGTAGTCAAAAGGATCAGGCAGTGGGTACGTACCAGCTGGTGATGGAAACATTTAGTGCGTGATGAAACTAAAGAGCTACTCAACTTTAAAGGTGAAGTGTCATTTTCTTGCTACAAACATTGAAATAAGGGAATGCAAAAGTGATGACTGCTATTGGTTGATAAAACTGATAGTCCCACCCCAAACTCAAGCCAAGCATTTAAATATGCTTTAGTTGTCTCTGATTATTGTATTAAAATATTATTTTATATTATTTAAAAAAAAACTTAACTTAAAAAATACTAGCAATTCCTGAGTAAGTGGAAATCTGTGATCTGCAAAAGTGGAAAGGATTTTGAGATTGGTTCTCATGGTGAATAAACAGCTTTGTAATATTGGGAACGTAAACAGGGTTTTAAAGAGCTGAAATATGTGTGTGTGGGTTGTTCTGCTTTAGAGTGGAACATTCATCACCTTTAAAAGGTGTAGACTGAAACCCTGTAGGAGACCATCTGACTTTATTATGCAAATATATATGAGAATGATGAGGGTGGGTGGAAAGTAGTTTGAAATGTTTTTTTTTTATTATATATATATATATATATATATAGAGAGAGAGAGAGAGAGAGAGAGAGAGGGAGAGAGAGAGGGAGAGGGAGAGGGAGAGGGAGAGGGAGAGGGAGAGAGAGAGAGGGAGAGAGAGAGAGGGAGAGAGAGAAGGAGAGAGAGAAGGAGAGAGAGAAGGAGAGAGAGAAGGAGAGAGAGAAGGAGAGAGAGAGAGAGAGAGAGAGAGAGAGAGAGAGACTGAGAGAGACTGAGACTGACAAGAAGTAGTTTGAAATGTGTTTTTTATATATATATAGAGAGAGTGATTGTCAAGAAATGCCCAGGTCATATTTCACCCCTAAAACCAACGGAAAAAATATGAACATGTTTTTGCATAAAGAAAAAGAAGCCCGTTGTTTGGAGTATAAAACTTGTTTTTGCTTTGTGACATTTTCTTGACAATTAAGCAAAGGAAAGTGTTCTTTTTGTCATTCTGTAATTTGATTAAAATCAATTCAATAAGAAAAGTAGATTTATTCAATTAAAATAAAAAAAACTTTATAAAAACATATTTTTTACACTGAAGTATAATTAAGTTTGTCACAGTAATATTTATTTTAATTAAGGTTATAATTTTGTTTGGAAAAAATATTTTCATCAATGTATTGCAATAATGAATGAGTATTTTTATTTAGTTAGTTTTATATTAAAGTAATTATTGTCATTTTGGAGGAAACTTAATCGTCATGATTGAGACACAAAAGTATAAGTATAAATAATTATTTTATTCTTTTGAATTTGGAGACTTTGCCCTGAGGATGGTCTTTTGACCGAAAGCTTGGTCTATTAAATTTGCTTTAAGGATTTGAGTGTGCGGACAGTTTATTGGATTCTTTTGAATTTGGAGACAAAATGTAACCAGGACATTTTTCGTGACTTTCACTCTATGGTGCATATACGCTTACTTCCATATACAAAATAATTAAAGGAATAGATCACTTAAAAATGAAATTTCTGTCATCATTACTCACCCTCAAGTTTCTTTCTTCTGCTGAACACAAAAGATGTTTTGAAGAATTTCGATAACCAAACAGTTGATGGACCCCATTGACTTCCATAGTATTTTTTTCCTACAATGGAAGTCAATGGGGTCCATCAACTGTCTGGTTTCCGACATTCTTCAAAACATCTTCCTTTGTGTTCAGCAGAAGAAAGAAATTCATACAGGTTTGAAACCACTTGAGGGTGAGTAAAGGATGACAGAATTTCCATTTTTAAGTGAACTATTCCTTTAACTTCTATCCAGTGAAGGAAAAGGAGTAATAACTGAAACATTTTCCCCTCTAGCGTCAAAGGCCAGCATTTCGTCAGTGCTTCAGACCATCCTCCCGACACCATGCACAAATTCGGTGCGCTCGGAGTTAAACGCAGCTTCAAGTCAAGAGGGCCACAGCAAGAGGCAGTCATCATTGTTTAGAGTCCTAAAAGCACCCTCCAACCATTTCAAGAGACCAAAGACTGAACGGGTAGTGCCATACGACAAACAATATTGTTCTGGTATAGAAAAAAGTGATCGAGCTAGAGTCTGGCCCATTAATGAAGACCGCAAGCCCAACCCGGAAGCTCTGAGTTACATCAACATTGATGCCTATGAGCCTGACAGTAGCGGAGCTGAGGAGGACGACTTGAGTTTAAACCCGTCTCTGGCTGCACAGAAGAGACTTGATGGTATTTGTGATTTGGGTGGAAATGAAGATTCGCTTGATGATTCACATCCTGATGTCTTTCCAAAAACAAGTAAACGTTCAGCGCAAACGGCACCTTCTAAAAACTCAACAGAACTTCGTTGTGAGGAACCAGATTTTCAAAGAACTGTACAAGCAAATAGGAACGTTGGTCAGTCGTTGGTTGGTGAAGACCAAGCTCTGAATTGCCACGGGGTTACGGCCAGCGCTGGAGCCGTTTCCTATATAAGCACAGGAAAAACAAACCCTGAAGAAACATTACAGTCCGAAATGGTTGTGAGGCCAAAGATCCGCAAACAGACGAGCGAGACCCACCTTGAAAGGAGGAAACGTTCAGAAAAAGAGGAAGTGAGCCATTTGTCGGGCTCAGCGGATAGAAACAAGTGTGGCTCGGCACCTCCGGGTTTCCTCGCACAAACAAGCCCTGAAAATGAATTCCTCTTTGAATTTCCTCCCATGACCTTGAGTGACCTCTACTCCAAGGAGAGTAAAAGTGTGAACGATGATAACACTAAAGTAGATGATGATGATGATGACAATATCTGGGAAGATCTAGAGAAATTTGAGCCATCTACAAAGGGTGATGAAAGGTACAGTATGTATTGCATGTATCTCATTTCAGTAGATTGCACTGAAATATTTAATTGTACAGATTAATAATCTGCATGAAAATAAATGTGCTTCATAATATTAAATATACAGAGAAACTCTGCATCAATGCCAGTGGTCATTACTCATTAGTAACACAGCTGGTGTGTTGAGTGGTTGGTTATACCATGGCTTTTTTCACAAATGGGTTACACATTGATGTTATTACCTTTTTTAGCTTCTTTTTATTTATTTTTACATAATAGCAGAAAATCTTTAGAGAGAGAATATTCGATGTTATAAACTTTTACACTTTTAAAATTTTACAAGATTTAAGTGTTTTTGTAAGAACTCTTATGTTCGCCAAGGCTGTGTTTATTTGTTAATAAAATACAGTAAAAACATTAATGAAAATATTATTACATAGTGTCTTTAGTGTCATATGATTTTTCAGAAAATCATTCTAATGTTCTGATTTGGTACCGAAGAAACGTTATTACTTATTATCAATGTGCTTTTTTAATCATTTTATGAAAAACCGAGAAAAATCCTGAAAAAAAAAAAGTTTTTAAATGCAAAGTTCTAAAGAACAGCATTTATTTTATTTTGTAATATTATAGACGCGCGTATGTCTTATCAGCAGTGTTGGGGTGTAATGCATTGCTAAGTAATTCATTACTGTAATTTAATTACATTTTCTTTTGGAAAAAGTAATATAAGGGATTACTCTTAATTTTCTTTAATTTAATTAGTTACTTCTGATGTAATTGCATGAAATACTGTATAGACTATAGAACAATTCTATATAAAACTATAGCAGATTTGACATTAAAAAAATTTACATCTATTGTTAAAATGTATGTTTTTTTTCATAATCTCCATTTAAATACTTCGATCAGTTCAGGAATAATTCATGCAATTTGATATTATTTATTTGAAAGAATAAAAAGAGCAGTTTCATGTCTATCCTTGCATTGTTCAACTGTTTCAGGTTGATATGGGATTTAGAAACTAATTAGTAATGCAATACCTTTTAGAGAGAGTAATTAGTACAGTAATCTAATTATACTGTTGAAGAAGTAATTAATAGGTTGTAGTTAATTACTTTTTTTTAGAGTAACTTACCCAACACTGCTTACCAGTAAAGAAGGCTGTGTGTGTGAAAGGGGCTACTGTCACTTTTAATCAATTTAATGCGTCCTTGCTGAATAAAAGTATTAATTTCGTTAAAAAATCGTACTTTCCCCAAGCATAATAACTTATTCGATTTTGATTCAGTTGAAGAAAAAGCATATTTTTAATTCACATTCTAACAACCAAAAGCATAATATTTAGCTCCCACATTTTGTGTGCAACCGGTACCTATTTTGCAATCTTTTAATTATATTTCTATAGCATAGTCATTTTTCTCAATCTTTACATCACTACTGTAGAATGTGGCGGTATTTGTAAAGCTAAAAAATGTAGTCCTGCTACAAAAACTATTGAATTATTGTACATTTACTATTTGTACATGTTTGCTTGCTTATTTATTTTGTAGGAAATTACAAAATCATCCATATCAGGGTTTTAAATTTGTCCCAAATTTTGATAGCAGAGTTACAAAAATCGCAAACTCAAGTGGACGAATCTCATTTTCTCAAGGTTAAACCCCTCCTTTCATGGACTGTTTGTTGAAAAGGAACAACATTTTGACTTGGTTCTTTGTGAAAAGTCGCTCATATAATGCAAGTCAAGGATGAGTTTGGGCATTTACTGTGAATGCTTGATAAGGTATACACTCAGCAGGAAATGAGTGAGGTGCCAAAGGTGCTCATTCTGCATGCCAAGGCTCTTCAGCTAAGAGGATTACCTTGACTTTTACGAGGTGTGCTGTGCTCACGTGTGTGTGTTTGTGTGCATGTGCGTGTGCGTGTATCCTGCTCTGTGTTCTAAGCAGCAGCTCAGAATTCAGCGAGGGCGAGTGGTCGGCTTCGTGGACGTCCGACTCTGGGCTGGAGAAGGAGAGGTGCACAAGTGAAGAAAGCTGGGAGACTCTGCCTGGCATGGATGAGCCTCCTGGAAGCAGCAGCAGTCTGGAAGAAGTGCCTTCTCTCAACCTCGCTCTAGAGTAAGCGCACAAACACTGACACAGACAGTGTTTTTTTTTAATTGATTTTTAATGTTATATAAAAAAACATTGAAATATCTGTTCATAAAAAAAGTTTGGGAATTGTTTTTATTTTGGCTATAAAAATTAATGTGGTAATGCATATTAATTTTACATTAAATCATTCGTTTTGACATGGTTTATAGTCAAATTATCAGGCTTTCTGCATGTTAATGATTTGGCACAATGGAGAATAAAAAAAGCCTTTTTCTTCATCATTTGAACAAACATCAGTAAGAAAGGCATCAGATGTAAGATTAAGTCCATAAAGTATGTGAACGTTTTGACATTATTTAGATATTGACCAAGTGCCAACCTGGCTTCCAGTTTCTCTCTTCTCAATACGGAAGTGACTTAAACTGCAATTCATCGACTGGCCGCAAGAGACAGGCTGCAAAAGAGAGTTAATCCCATATACTCCCCATGCAGTGTTGTGACTGAACGCGTTCAATGAACGATAGTTCATGAACTCGTTCATATTTTGGGCGAACGTGAACTGAACGTACTGAATTACTGCCTGATGAACGTTACTGTGAATGCGTTCATTCTGGCGTCTGTGAACGCACGCTCTCTCAGTTTAACTTCGTTCAATAGGGTGCCAGATTTCTATAGAGCCTTCCAGGCGAAAACCCGGCTAAAACACACGTAACAGGCCTTAATATGTAGCGAAAAAAACACCCAATCTGGCAACACCAGCCACCAGCGTCGCATCGCACCGCCACGTGCATCATCAAAACAAAAAGCAGCATGTAGTCGACAAAGCAGCGAGCGAGGAGGCGTCGTATGATCATTTAAACGAGTTTTGACAAGGTCGTGAGGATGGGAAAAATCGTACATTTCTGTGCAAACTTTGCCCGCCGATAAAATAATTGCTGTCTGTGGTTGTATATGGGCTGTGGCAATAATAAAATAAAAAAAAGCTCTCAGCAACATATGGAAAAAAATAACTATGAACTAGTTCATTTTTTGAAGTATGAACTATGACCTGAACTAGTTCATTGTAAAATTTGTGAACTGAACTTTGAACTAGTTCATGTAGAAAATGAACTTTCCCAACACTGTCCCAACACATATATGTTAATATGCCCAATTTATCAGCACAAAAAAAGCCTGGTTCAAAAAGTGGTTTTGGTCTATATAGCTCATTTTGCCCTTCATGACAACTGTGAGGGGCGTGAATTTATATTAAGTTATATTAAAGGTATTGTAGGTAGAATTTTTTTTAAAAACTTTTTGCCAAATTTGTTTAAACTTTCTATAAATATCAATGCATAATTAAAATGTAAGTACTCTGGAAAAGAGAGTATAAAAATCGAGTGTCTGTAGTCCTCTCAGGGCTGTAATAAACACAGCTACTTATCTCCATTCACTTCCACCCCCTCCATTCTGGGCTCCTTCCAAAACCACGCCCCCAAAACACATGAACGTGCGATGCCGACAGCTCACAGCTGGAGGACGCGCTTACTAGCGCCGAGCGGAGAGGAGCAGTGCATGCAGACTCACATGTAATAAAATACCTAACTTTATCATTATGAATATAAACAACTAACATGGCTGTTAGTACTCACTATCAAGCTAGCATATCGATACTGGTAAAGTTTAAAATATATTGAGTTTGATTCGTTAACGAGCTAGTAACATAATGCAAAGCTAAAAACAGGTTGCATTGATACACGTTTTCCCATTACAATCAGTTACACTGTGATGAAGGTGAATTTCGTGTAAGATTCATAACATATACGCCGTGTTTTGCATGTAGTTGTGTCTCTTACTAGTCTCTTACCCTCCTCGAGTCAAACGAGTGCGCGCATGTAGCAGCGGGGGTGTTGCCATGGTTGCGAGAGAGTGACAGTCGCCTAAGCCAATCCTTTGTTTCGTCCCGGAAGGAAATAATGAGCTGTGTTTAGTGCAGATTAAACGGTCTAGAGTCACTCGATTTTTATACTCTTTTTATCAGAGTACTTACATTTTAATTATGCATTGATATATATAGAAAGTTTAAACAAATTTGGGAAAAAGTTTTTTAGACCAAAAACGACCTACCCTACCTTTAAGCCTTAAAGTTCTGCATAATAAAGGGCGTGGCCACTCTTAGCTGTCACGTCACCTCAGCTAATCCCGCCTCTTTGACCATTTTCGGTTATCCGGGAGTGACGCGCTGCCAAGATGGCGACGGTCGGTTCCGCCCACTTTGGGCGTCACTTTGCTCTTCAGAAACCCACGGGTGACGTCACGGACACTATGTCCATGTTTTTTCACAGTCTATGATATTTACAGGCTATACAGGCGCAACAGGATAATAAATCTTTATGCTCTGTTTCAGTTAAAATGACAAATAAATGCATACTTTGACAGCGCTCCACAAGATTTGTTTGATAATTTATCGCGTGAATGCACATTTTACACAGCTTATAAGCACTAATATCACATTAAGATCGCACACACACAGAATCATTCAGTAGCGCAGAAATGTATTGTAAATGATCTTCTGTGATTTATCAATAAAATAGCTTAGAAACTGAAAAGTTATAGCATATATTTCTTAGTAACTAAAAACCACAGTTATACCCACTATTAGTAGAGAGATGCTACCAGGTGCAATTCACAATCAATTGCTCTCTCACACTAATGCATTCATATAAAAGACAAAGAACTGATAACAATAAGCTGTTATGTAGGAGCGCTGTGTCATATGCCATAGCTGTGCACAAGGCAACCCGCATTCGAGTCTCAGTTTGAGGTTCAGGCTTTGTTCATCAGTGGCGTCATCAGCAACTAGTCGGCGTCGACTCGACTTTCATCACATAAATGTCGACTTTAAAAATCTGAAGTCGTTCAACCCCTACTAGCTAGGAACTTATATGATGGTTGATGTTAGAAGAAAATACTGCAGCCGGTTGCGTAAACTGCTTAGACTAGTCTTACAAGTTAGTCATCTAAATATTTTCGTCAAGGCTGGCCCCAACTTTTTAAAGTCAGCTACATAGAGTAAATCTGGCTTATTTGAATTGGAAAAGTAAGACTGATTGGTTCTTAAGACACAGTCTTGACATAGTGGTTAAAGATTATATAACTGGCCCCTGATCGCAATAAGTGCCATCACATGACTTGTTGTGACAAGCCTTTTTAATGTATAGTACAACCGATGAATAACTGTTTAGTTCTTCTAAAGCCTGGCTGAGAGTATGCTGATTGAATTTAGAAATAACCTACATATAGAGATAAAGCCTAAAGATACTCGATACATTATATTAAAAATGGAAGATAATTTTAAATTAAAGGATAATTGAACCAAAGCCCAGTGAGCTGCCTTACTAGACCACATATATTGGGGTGGGGAAAAAAGTTTAAACTCCTATGCTTACCAAGGCTGTAACAGTAAGAGTTACATATTTCAGTTTAAAATAAGCTTTCTATTTTAATATATTTTAACTTTATTCCTGTGATGGAAAAGCTGCATCATTACTCCAGTCCCCAGTGTCACATGATCCTTCAGAAATCATTCTAATATGCTAATTTGTTGCTTAATATTAATATTATTTATTGCTTAATATTTTTGTGGAAACCATGATAAAATGTTTTCAGGATTGTTTGAATAGAAACAGCATTTATTTGAAATTGAATTTTTGTGTAACATTTATAAATGTCTTTGCTGTCACTTTTGATAAATTCAATGCATCCTTGCTGAATAAAACATTCATTTTAAAATCATATCTCACTGACTATGTTGGCACAAACAGAATGTTGTCTGGACTTGATTAATAAATTGGCCATTAAGAGTTTTCTCCACTTTCTGACAAATGAGTCTGTCTACACTCTACAGCATACATGTGGTACTGCTCTTATTCCAATATCTTTAGTCACACAGAACCGAATGAAACAAGTCAAATTCATTTTAAATGTGTCTCATCCCTAAAAGGCATCCCTAAAAACTGTGTTTTTCTGCTGTCCTGTGCTTGTGTGTGGTGTTCTTCAGAGAGCAGACCCCTCTGGAGGAGGGCGAGATCCCCTGGCTCATGTATAATGAAGACTCCGGCAGCAGCAGCGATGAAGACCCTGATGGTGTCAGTCAGTTTGTGCACCCTGGACTCTTTATCCTGGATGGAAACAATAACCTGGAGGATGATTCTAGCATGAGTGAAGATCTGGACACAGAGTGGAGGTCAACAAACCTAATATACAACATCAAATATGACAAGATAAATATGCAATGTCATCATTTAACTCTTAAGCCCCCGATATACTCGCAGCAAAGTTCTTTTTCGCTCTTCACTTAGGTTAGGGGTAAAAAGAAGTTGGAAATGCCTTTTGCAGCGGTATACTGTTAGCGAACATCCTGATGCCGCCCACGCTCCTGGGAGCGAAGTTTAGATGAATAACAAAATAAACAAACAATTAAATTGAAAATAGCAGCCAAGAAAGCATCTGATTATGGCGAAGTGGATATGTTTGCGCAAGATCTGCAATTCGGCATTCCAGTCAAGTCACGTTTATGTATATAGCATTTTATACAATAGGTTGCTTCAAAGCAGGGGTGCGAGAGCATGTCAGGGGAGGCGCGGAGTAGTGCTGCGTGATATAACGATATCAATCGATAGAGATTTATCTGTATCTAAATATATCCGTGAAGCTCAGGACTGCTTAAACACAATAGAGCAGCAGAGAAACTTGGATGAATGAGGAGGAGCGGGATGTGCTTGATTATGAGTTATTAAAGGCACAATAAACTAAAACCGGATGTGAGCCACAGAAATCTGACGAATTCTCGAAGCACACGAGTGCTGAATTCAGCTCACTTTCGTGGCTTATTGCGCTTGAACGGTTAAATACACACATTTATGTGTCAAAATGGGGCGCCACCGTGAATGTTGTGTTAGAAGGGAGGCCCAATGTCTTTGACTTTTAAAACCCCTGCTTTAAAGCAAGAAACTTTACAGTATTAAACATGAAAAACAGTGTCAATGTCTCTTTCGATTAGAAGTACAACTTCTATTATAAAGCAACTCTCAAGTGTGTTTTTACTCGTCACATCAGTTCATTCTTAGTATATCGGGGTCTTTACAGAGTGAATCTCACGAAACATGTGAATAACATGTTACAAACCTTTAAATAAGGTTTGAAAATGACATTTGATTTTATTATTTTTACCATTGTGACATTCATTTATTTTCATTCCCATTACCGTAATGCAAGAATCTCATTCATGGTAGTATTTGTTGCACTGCCTTGTTTTTATGCTGATTTAAATAATAATCAAACATTTTTACTTTAATACAATAATTTAACTTAATGTTTTAAACCTTTATGAATAATGGGAATTACGCATTATGGTAATGAGAATTTGAGAGGAAAATATGCTTTAATTTCATGAAAATAATGTCATGGCCCTAAGAATGGGCTTAATTTTCTTTATGCAAAATCATTTTTTTTTTCCTGATTGTGGGTTGAAACACGACCTGAAAATGTTTTCGTGAGATTTAACCCACCAAGCATGTCTAAAATATGAAAATCGTTGATTATAAGAACATTTTGCTTAACCGTTTTGATTGTTAGCTGCAACAGGGAACGAGAGAGGATGTATTTTAAAGTCCTTTGTTGTTCAGGTTCCTTGATGAATTTGGTGATGGTTTTGGGATGGCTCAGGCAATCTCTTACGTGGATCATTCCCAGCTCCTCACTTATATGGCATTAGAGGAGCGTCTCGCACAGGCTATGGAGGTGAGGGTCCTTATTTTGCTTAATCGTGCAGTCTGTTGTGATATCACTGTTTGAATCACTGCAGTCTAACTGTATTAGGTTTTGAGGGCATCAAGAGTCAGATTAATTTTTTTAAGGAAGAGTAGCTTCTTTTACATAATCAGGGCCCATTTTTATTAATGGTCAAATTGAATGGAGCCTCAAGACCTGTTTTAATTTGATTATTGTTCATTTCTTAATGAGATGAAAGCATAGTAGTCTTCCATGATTAATGCTGCTTTTTCATGAACAAATCAATATTGTATTTGCATGAACATCTAAGTTGTTCAAATAAATGATCCATCTTAATTCAACCCAAAAAGACAATATTGAGAAATTGGACTCAGTTGCTGAGTGATGTTCTGAAAGCCCAGCAAACTTACTTGATTTCAGCCAATGAGAGCGCACACTTGAAATGTAAGGCTTAACGTATAATTAACTCTCTTCTATCTTTATCCAGAGGAAATTAAATATGCTAATGTGTTTTGTTGTGTTGCAGGCAGCACTGGCTCATCTGGAGTCTTTAGCTATAGATGTGGAGCAGGCTCATCCCCCCGCCACTGAACAGATCATCGACTGCCTACCACAGATCACCGTGCATGCCGAAAACATTGGTACTACTGCCATTACTTGTAGATACATAAAGTGCACATAATACAATTCTGCAGTCAGCATCAGTAGAGTTTTTAAGTAATATTTAAAGAACAGGCTGTGCCTTATTTTATCGTTACACCATATTCAGAATATTCCGCCTCAAATGTCTTAATCCTTGTGTCCAGACTATATAAGGTGGGTAGAGTATCGAAAAACTCTACTCGAGTAAAAGTAATAACCTTATAAGTTACTTCAGCTCCGGTTTCTATCATAGATTCCTATACAGTCAGTCAGACGCGCGCTTCCACTGCGCATGCACATTAGCTTGATCCAGCCTAAAAAAAATCACGTTTTCTGTCATTATTTGAGCGTTTAGGAACAAAATGTACGAGACAGTTGTCAGATTTCATTAGTGACTTCAAAATTTTATCGTAAGGTTGGCGAGCGGTTTTGGAGAATTTGATGTTTCCCCATTCAAAAAGATGTCTTAAAGGGACGTTGGCACTTTTTGGCCCACAAATTACTGCGAATTAGCCGTGTTTATTTCGTACTCTAATTTATACATTAAAGGTGAACTAAGTAATTTTTTTACCTTAACCGAACAGCTTTGGAGTCATTGTAATGTTTATATTACTGATTTCGTGTTGAATGGTGGTCGTCTCGCACCCCCCTGGTGCCTGTGAGCCGCAAAACCACCCTTGCAACTTTGGGCCGGCGGGCCGCCGCCCTCAGTGTTAGGAAGTATCGTGTGTGATATCAGGTCTCGCGAGGTAACGAATTGCTTTACGGCAAAAAACAGATCTGATAAAATTCTGATAAAATGAGCATCAAACAGAAATAACCCGGCGCCGTATACATGTGGTGTTGGGCGCGCGCAGCTCTTAAAGGGGCCATACCTTATTTCCACTCGTTACAGCGTCCATCCTACTGAACAGGTACCGGTGTACAGGGGGAGGGGATCCGGCCGTGAGTGCGAGCCATCTCTGCGTGAGTGCTATTCACGACAGTACAAGTACTCCACAGCGACTCTAGGGGTCGCTGTTTGACAAAAACGGAATTCCTACTTAGTGCTGCTTTAAATAAGCTACCATTGTTATAGTATTTGTCCAAAAAACTGGTAATGTCATACTTTGTAGTAGTGGTGTCGTGTACTTTTAGCTTAATACTCTGTTTGGTTGTAAAATGTATTACATGTATGAAATGAAATTGAATGTAGCTATACCTGTGGAATCGTTCACAGACAGCACACGCAGATGGTCAACTAATAAAGATCATCGCTTCATCGCTGGCAAACAATAGGATGTATTTGCAGATTTGCTTTCAATTGACTGTAGGTCCACTTCATCCAACGCTCTTGATCTTCTTATATTTCCTGTTATGAGAAACCGCTTCCGACGATTCAGTGTGCTGACCTGAAGAAATAATTCAAACTGATTCGTGAACCAATTCAGAGAGTTTTGCCAACTTGTTTCACCAAGTCTTTGAACAAATTCCACTCAAGAGTGATTCATTCGCGAATGCCCCACAAAAAAGAGACAGCGAGCTTGGAATAAACTCCTCTATACATTTTTTTTTTTTACCAATATTAAAATAAAGTAACTAATGTCGCCTGGCGTAAGAAAGTATTTTGTTTTTTCATTTGAAATGTTTTCGACTATTGACAAAATTATCCACAAATAATGCTTTTTTTCTCTCAAAAACTGAGGTACATATGCTCCGATCAATGAAGCATACAGGCATCGGTTCCAAAAAATAAATACAAAACCTGTCCTAATTGAAAGAAAACAGGTTGACAAAAAGATTGAATTCAATATTTGGGGGTGATAAAGCATACTGAATGATTTACAAGCAATGTTTATAATGCCAGTCTTTTTTTGACCATGAACACCAAAGGTGTTACAGGGTTTTCATCACAGCGTAAGGGTTAAAGTTTCAATGAAATGGCATTGGACACACAACACAGCATTAGATAAGTGTTCGTAACTGGTTCTAACAGACATGAAAACTTGGGGATAGATGGATGGATAGATAGCAGTTGTGCTCAGTGACAGACTTTGTGCTTCTATTTTGTGCTTTATTATAGTTCTGGACAGGGTTACATGATTATGAGTGACATGACATGAGAACTGTATGTATAATTTGCCTTCCTGTTTCTCACTGCTGCCCATGTAGTGTTTTGCAGATGGAAAATTGTAAGAACGACTTAGTTTTGAGTGTGTAAATGAGACTAATATCCGAACTCGTCACCTTTTAAGTGATTGACTTGAAATACTTTGTGTACTCCTTTTTCATGTAACACGAACACCAGATGAGAAATGTTTTTCACAAGACTCAACACAGATTGGATGCTGGGAAAGTAATGCTCGCACACTAATGTCCCACTTCAACTTTATGGCCTGAGTGCATTTGGGCTGATTAATCTGCTTTGGAAAGCATAAAACGACTGAAATGAGTAATTTGATGTGTGCGTGACTGGATCCAGACATGTTTAAATATTTGGTTTGGTGTCCAAGGTTTACGATGGAAAGCAGAGTTGTGTTTTACATACATTGACATGCCCACTCTCTTTGGTTCTGCAGAGCAGGAGCAGTGCTGTGCCATCTGCTGTTGTGAATACGTCAAAGATGAGATTGCAACCCTGCTTCCGTGCCGCCACATGTTCCATAAACTCTGTGTCACTCTCTGGCTCAGAAAGGTATTGCTGTTTTTCTTGGAGCTTGTGAAAGAGCCAAAAAAAACAGGCTAGTTCACCCGAAAATGAAAATTCGGTCATCATTTACAATCCCTCGTGCTGTTTCAAACCTGTTGGTTCTCATGCTTCAATCAAGCACCTTTGAACTTTCATTGCCCATATTTGATTTTCTGGTTGTGTCCGAAATCGAACATTTTAAAGCATAAACATTTTGGTTATGTTGACTTCAATGGAGGGACATACAATTCTTAGGTTTCATTCAAAATATCTTCACTTGTGTTTTGAAGATGAACAAAAGGTTAATAGGTTTGAAAGTAAATGATGACAGAATAATTTTTTGGGTGAACTATCCCTTTAAGCTTATATTGACATAACTTTATTGCATTTACCGAATGTTGTCTCCCCATGATTTTCAGTCTGGCACGTGTCCAGTGTGTCGCCACGTTCTGACCCCGGAAGTGACCGATCCCTCGTCTTTAAGCTCCGAACAAGAAACGCCACCATCCGGTCACAGTGCGCCTGAGGGAACGTGTTGAACGGCAGTCACGCACCCATCTAAACAATCCCGCAGAGAAGTATTTAAATAATAAATAACCAGTCTCACTGAGAAATTCCCATCTTGATATTTCTTTGCTGGAATGCAGCGGCCAGATTCCATTTAACCTAGCGACCTGTGCTGCAATTCATGGTCCAAACGTGGCGAACTAAAACTTATTTTCTGAGAAAATATGAATACGTATATATTCATAGGAAGCATATTTATTCATGTTTCAATTAAACTGTTTTTGTACATCAAGGCTAAACATAATAAGTACTTGTATTTAACTTTTCACATGTCGTGTCAAGTAAAACGTTCAAATGCAATCCCTCAATAAAAGCTCACATTTGGTTCAAATAGTCATTTCTTTTATCAATTCAGCGTCAAAAGGCAAAATACCTTCCCAAAGGTGTTTGCTACCCTGAACTCTCGTCAGATATCTATTCAGAGTACATTCAGCTGCATTGTTACATCCAGACTTAAGCGCTCATAGCTGGATATAAATGATGATAGCAGTGCGATTCTATTTCACTGTGGTTCATAAACATATTTGTATAAATCATCCAAATGATGGGCCGCTGAATAGGTAGTTTTCACAAAAGCACCTTTGGGAGCAATACCATTTCTAGAAGGCTGACAGTCTGAACTGGAAAATATGATGGTGGGGGACTATAAATACGAGATGGCTTTGTGCCGTTTACTGCGAAAGCAATTGGCATGTATTCAATGTCCTGTTATTTAGAGGCGGCAGCTCGTATCTTTGGAGAAAACCATCACAGAATAATACACAGAGAAAGGCAGAGGTGTGTGTGGCAGTAGCCCACCAAAATCACATGTACGTTCCCTTACACATGTATAATAATTAATCTTAACACATTCATAAGGCTGCCCAGAGTATGTGTAAGTTTAGTTTCAGATTTTTGAATTTGTGAAAATGTTCTTATGCAAATTTCATGCACAAATTTGTGTGAATGAGACCCAATGTTCTTTAGAGAGAAAACTATTAGATAAACTGTATCTGTTATATTTATATTATCATGTGTATACAGTATCTCACAAAAGTGAGTACACCCCTCACATTTCAGCAAACATTTTAGTATATCTTCTCAAGGGACTATACTATAGAAATGAAACTTGGATATATTTTAGAGTAGTCAATGTGCTGCTTGTATAGCAGTATATATTTACTGTCCTCTGAAAATAACTCAACATGCAGCCATTATTGTCAAAATAGCTGGCAACAAAAAAAAGTGAGTACAACCGAAGTGAACATGTCAAAACTGCGTCCAAAGTCTCAATATTTTGTGTGAGCACCATTGTTATCTAGCATTGCCATTGTTGTGAACTATTTTCTTCTAAAGTGTAGAAAAGTCAGAAGCGCAGACCAGGAGACGTTGAGGTATCTTTCAAGCAGAAGTTCTTTATTGCGTCGCTGTAGCATCTCAATCTCGTCTGACGTCATGATTAAAACATTGTAGTATACACTCACCGGCCACTTTATTAGGTACACCTGTCCAACTGCTCGTTAACACTTAATTTCTAAGCAGCCAATCACATGGCGGCAACTCAGTGCATTTAGGCATGTAGACATGGTCAAGACAATCTCCTGCAGTTCAAACCAAGCATCAGTATGGGGAAGAAAGTTGATTTGAGTGACTTTGAACGTGGCATGATTGTTGGTGCCAGAAGGGCTGGTCTGAGTATTTCAGAAACTGCTAATCTACTGGGATTTTCACGCACAACCATCTCTAGGGTTTACAGAGAATGGTCCGAAAAAGAAAAAACATCCAGTGAGCGGCAGTTCTGTGGGCGGAAATGCCTTGTTGATGCCAGAGGTCAGAGGAGAATGGCCAGACTGGTTCGAGCTGATAGAAGGGCAACAGTGACTGAAATAACCACTCGTTAAAACCGAGGTATGCAGCAAAGCATTTGTGAAGCCACAACACGCACAACCTTGAGGCGGATGGGCTACAACAGCAGAAGACTCCACCGGGTACCACTCATCTCCACTACAAATAGGAAAAAGAGGCTACAATTTGCAAGAGCTCACCAAAATTGAACAGTTGAAGACTGGAAAAATGTTGCCTGGTCTGATGAGTCTCGATTTCTGTTGAGACATTCAGATGTTAGAGTCAGAATTTGGCGTAAACAGAATGAGAACATGGAACCATCATGCCTTGTTACCACTGTGCAGGCTGGTGGTGGTGGTGTAATGGTGTGGGGGATGTTTTCCTGGCACACTTTAGGCCCCTTAGTGCCAATTGGGCATCGTTTAAATGCCACGGCCTACCTGAGCATTGTTTCTGACCATGTCCATCCCTTTATGGCCACCATGTACCCATCCTCTGATGGCTACTTCCACCATGTCACAAAGCTCTAATCATTTCAAATTGGTTTCTTGAACATGACAATGAGTTCACTGTACTAAAATGGCCTCCACAGTCACCAGATCTCAACCCAATAGAGCATCTTTGGGATGTGGTGGAACGGGAGATTCGCATCATGGATGTGCAGCCGACAAATCTGCGGCAACTGTGTGATGCCATCATGTCAATATGGACCAAACTCCCTGAGGAATGCTTCCAGCACCTTGTTGAATCTATGCCACGAAGAATTGAGGCAGTTCTGAAGGCAAAAGGGGGTCCAACCCGTTACTAGCATGGGGTACCTAATAAAGTGGCCGGTGAGTGTATATACATTATAAGAGAGAGGGATTACATAGGGGTGGAGTCACTCTGAAACAAAACATGCAAATGTAGTACGGAAGTCAGCTCGTTACCGGAAATTCCCCAGCCCTGATCTCATCAGCATAGCAGTTATTCAGGGGCTTGAGATGCTAATCCAATCAACCTGACTAGATTGCTCAAACCTTAAATTATCATAGAGACAAAGGGTGGGAGTCTCAGCAATCTGACTCATTTAACTTACAATAGAGAGAAACAGGTCTGGCGGCTGTATAGAGAGAAACAGAACAGGACAGGAATGTCTCGCTCAACAGCTGAATGCTAAATTCAATCTACAGAACTTTCTCAGTTTATATACTATTGTACTGGAACCTAAATTAAACATTTAAATACATTTGTAATTCTACACCATAATCCTCCTGGGCATGGAGTTCACCAGAGCTGCACAGGTTGTTGCTGGGTTCCTCTTCCACTCCGAGTCCTCCATAATGACATCACAGAGCTGCTGGCTGTTGGACACGTGACACTTCTCCACCTTCCGCTTGAGGATCACCACAGGTGCTCAATAGGTTTCAGGTCTGGAGACATACTTGGCCACTCCTTCACCTTCAGCTTCCTTAGCAAGGCAGTTGTCATCTTGGCGGTGTGTTTGGGGTCGTTATCATGCCGTTCGGCCCAGTTTCTGAAGGGAGCGCATCATGTTCTGCTTCAGAATGTCACAGTACATGTTGGAATCCATGTTTTCTTCAATGAAGCGCAGCTCCCCAGTACCAGCAGCACTCATGCATGCCCAGACCATGATGCTACCACCACCATGCTTGACTGTAGGCAAGACCCAATTTTCTTGGTACTCTTCAGTCACCAGGGCATCACCACACATTCTGGACACCATCTGAGCCAAACAAGTTTATCTTAGTCTCATCAGACCACAGGACATGGTTCCAGTAATTCATGCTCTTGGACAGGTTGCTCTCAGCAAACTGTTTGCGGGCTTTCTTTTGAGCCAGCTTCAGGAGAGGCTTCCTTCTGGGACAATGGCCATGCAAACCAACTTGTTGCAGTGTGCGATGTATGGTCTGAGCACTGACAAGCTGACCTTCCGCTTCTGCAACCTCTAAAGCATTGCTGGCAGGACTTATGCGTCTGTTTTTTTTTTTAAGCCAGCTTCTGCACCTGACGCACAGCATGAGGACTCAACTTCTTAGATTGACCCTTTCGAGGCCTGTTCCCAGTTGAACCCGTCTCGGAAAACCTCTGTTTGACCCTGGCCACTGTACTGTTACTCCGTTTCAGGGTGTTACCAATCTTCTTATAGCCTAGGACGCCATCTTTGTGGAGAGCAACAATTCTAATTCTCAAATCCTTAGAGTTCTTTGCCATGAGGTGCCATGTTGAACATGCAGTGGTCAGTATGAGAGAATCGTACTCAAAGCACAAATTCGAACTGCTTTAATACAAGATACAACAATTTGTATGGTCCTGTCAAGCAGACAAAAACATGAACATGATGAATAGGACATTTGGCTTTGCATGGTTAAACGACGCACAGCTGTTATCACTTAGGGTGTACTCACTTTTGTTGCCAGCTATTTTGACAATAATGGCTGCATGTTGAGTTATTTTCAGAGGACAGTAAATATATACTGCTATACAAGCAGCACATTGACTACTCTAAAATATATCCAAGTTTCATTTCTATAGTATTGTCCCTTGAGTAGATGTACTAAAATGTTTGCTAAAATGTGATGGGTGTACTCACTTTTGTGAGATACTTTATATTTTCACCATATACACTTATTTTTAGATTATTATTATTATCACATTTTGCTTGCAACCCTGTAATTGCACGATTTCTACCCTGATGAGATAATGCAACATTCCATTAAATTGAAATACAAAAAAGTGACATCATTTGGGGCCTACAGCACAGTGGGAGGTAATCTAATAAAAATTGTACAAGAATTAGTGCTGTCTGCATTCAACCATGTTCTCAAAGTTATAAGCAAAATAATCAAACAAATGTTAGCTATATTTAAAGTCCCCCTGTGGTGAAAATCAACTTATTTAATATTGTTTATGTGTCTGTGTGGTGTTTTTAATATGCTTTAAGACCAACCATGTGCAAATTCATCAGTCAATAGCATTGCTGAGTATTTTCTCCTTGATGCCTACTTCAGATGATTTCAGCAATCCTAGAATATCATTACAAATGAACATGCTTTGTGTAACATAAGCAACACATTATTAGCTGTTTGATAACGTGGTCAAGCCAAAGGCTGATCATATCAATTACCGTTAAGTCTGACTTTACAGTCCACGTCTAACGTCGGGTTTTGTCGGATCAGTGTATTACACACCCGTCTGAGTCTGTCTGAGCTTGTTTGAGAAGTGGTGTGTCGCCATTGGTTTGCGGCTGTCAGTGCAGTGAATTGGCCTGTAGAGAACGATACATAAAACGTATTACCATTCTGATACATCGACTTGTAGTTCGACTATGTATAATTCACCCATCCCCTTCTTCTGAATCATTTTTGGGTTCAAACATATATGGCTGAATAAAACCAATATTTCGACTTGCCATTGTGTAGCATTTACTAGTTAATGGCAGGATAGGTGATTTGTTCTAGAAACAATTTTTTTTGTCCTAATGTTATGATACAATGTCCTACCTGCCTGTTAGCATATGTATTTTTATACCTCTGCTTTTCAATGGCAACACTATCAACGCTGAAATGAATCTGCAGCAGTCAGATGGTACAGGTCAGCGCTTGTTAAGTTAATTATTATTGTAATGTTGTGTGCTTTGAGACGTGGGGTAATTTAACAGTCTCTCATGACTCTTTTGTTTGCTCCCTGCTGAACATGTTCGTGTGTTTTGAAGGAGGTGTGGTTTTGGAGACGCTCTGAAGGGAGGGTGGGACCTTATGCTTTCAAAGCTAGCTCGCTATTGCTAGCCTCCCTGAAAATGGCCTACCCTACCTTTAACCGAGTTGATCAGGTAGTCCGAGCTGGTGTTATTGAGTGGAGGCCGGGATTCAATTTCATATTCATGAGTCTGGATTTTACAAGAAAAAAAGTTTAAATATGTCATTTTGACTCTTGATTGAGTTCAAGGGATAAAATTGACTGCAGGGGGGACTCCAAGTTGTTTAACCATTCTATTGTATTTCAGTTATTGTATTCATTTCAGTTTTTATAAAGTATTATTTATTGATCATTATCATTGCTAGAAAATGAGGTTAAGCATTGCATCCTTTTCATAAAACGTCCCTGTGCACACATTAATCATCAATCATTCAGTCACAACACTCACTTTTAATAATTCATTTCAAGCAGCAAGTTCAAAGACTCAAAAAACTTTATTGCAAGTGTACAATATAAACAATGAGGAGACATTGTTACAGTTGAATGTCCATCAGAGGGGTGTTCTGAGCAGAGACAGATGAAAGAAACTACACGGAAAAAAGCATTTCAGCTTTTAAATATCAACCATTTATCTTATGGGACCCTCTTTCAGCGGGTAGGGGTGAAAATCACTATAAGGATTAGTTTGAAAATCAAATGTCCAGTGTTGCTTTTCTACTTTAGTTCAAGGATCAATTCAAGAGAGGTTGGAGTTGATCATTACCTGGAACAACAATTTGCTGTTTTATATTAAAGGGGATCGTTTTAAAGCACAAAAAGGCCAAAAGTGCAATCAATATATAACATGTTCCATCCCGGAATAAATAGTTCAGCACAGAGCAGATGATGCCAATCTGACTGACAACAGAAACCTTTGCTTAAGTACTTGTGAACATCAAATAATTATACAAATGAATATCGCTGACAAGTCATTTTTTTTCTGATGGAAGTTTATATGATCACTATGTGCAAGTCAGACACGGGAAAGAGAAATCTAATGTCTCCGAATAACACAAATTTCAATATGATGTGAGACACAATACTGGCGTTTGCTTTAATACACTGACAGAATTATAGTGAATGCTACAAAATAGCAAAAGATTAAAATGCTAGAATAATATTACAGTATTTCAAATAAATAAAAAGAATAAAAAAAACACACTATAGGGATAATTGCTTTGACGTAAAAAAAAAAAAAAAAAAAAAAAAAGCAAGAGCTCACTCACCAGTAGTTTAATTGATGTAAGCTCAGCTTCACACACCAAATTTCTTTTTTAAATTGATCATGCAAGGATATGAATCCAACCTGTATTATACAGTAGATTTATGGTTAAATTGTCACCAGTTCTGCATGATTGGCACATGCATTTTATTCCACGTCAAACACGTTGACTTGGCTGCATTAGTGATGGCAACAACTTGAAGAGGGAAACAAAAGAAACAGTCGATGCTATGGGACCCTCTTTACATATTCCAAATGTGCAAATATTAGAGCTGAATCTTCATCGCTACTATTACAGCTGAACGTTGAGGCATATTCCTGACAGACATCCACATTCTAATAACATCAGTTTTGCAGTGAAAAAACCCCCCAAAAAAACACCTACAAAATTACATTACTGAATCTACAAAAAAGTATTTACAAAATACAAAAGGAATGATTTGATAGAGTAAACCTTGAATAAACCACTATTCCATTTTTGGGGAAATGGAAACACAAATTTATGTGACTCGGGAACAAGAAGTTGCTGGTAAGACGCATTGAATCGGTCCCCACCGACGCTCGCGTTGAGCTTGTGTACTTTGGCAGGAAGAAGAAAAAAAAAAACTGGGAAAGTCTTAATACAAAACACACCATTGCCTAACCAAACCTGTAATACTTGTGGAGGTAAATGCATATCTGCTAGAACTCAAGGGATGTTTGCATGAGGAAACCTGATCGTAAAATAGCACAAACGCACATGTTGCACAAGAATAAGAACATCACAATCCAAGACAATGGCATAGATACAAAAAAACATGGTTGTGACTGGCTTTGGTTGCTGGTTACCCCCCCTCCAAAAAAAAAAAAAAACACTGTTCCATGAACCGAGATCCCAACAGGACAAACCACAGTCGGTTTTGGTGACTTCTAATATGCCACATGGCAACACTGTAAATGTTAAAGGGATAGTTCACTGAAAAATTTTAATTGTCATCTACTAATTTCCATCAGTCCAAAACCATATCATTTTGGTCCAAGGATGTCCAAGGCAAGCTGCTTTTTCCCCATACAATGAAAGTAAATGGGAACTGAGACTGTCAAGCTGCAAAAAAGCACTATAAAAGTATCCGAAAAATTGTCTATTTGACTTGTTCCCTATATTCTGTGTGGCAGAACAGACTAAAAATGCAAGATGTTATTCGCTACAAATAAATAAATCAAAATCTTCCCTCTGCTGTGGCGCTCAAATGTGATTGGTGCTTCCACATATTTAAACTTGTTGAATCATAATCGCTCTTGTAACGTGACAGTGACTAGCATTTTGGCAACACTTAAATCAAAGTGCTGCTACGCACCTTTAAATGCCGTATTTGAATATGTACAAACGGTGAATAAGATTTGAGAGCTTCGATGGAGCGAGATTTTTTGGTGAATAGCAATTTACAAATTCAGAAGGCTTAGATTCTACCACAAGAGTTATATAGACCACTTTTAGGATGCTTTTTGAAGCTTGACAGCCTCTGGCCACCATTCGCTTTCACTATATGGAAAAGGGCAGCGTGAACATTGCATAAAATTTCTCCTTTTGTAGTCTTAGAAACGAAAATCATACAGGTTTGGAATGACATGAGGGCAAGTAAATGATGACAATTTAAATGTTTTGCAGATTTACCCCTATAAACATCAAATGGCATGAACCACGAAGAGGTGAGAGGTTGAAGTATTTGGAAGGATTCTGAAGGCTTGTAAACTGTAGATTGGCGCTGTGTCCGTGTCATTTAACAGCTCTCAAGCAGCCTAGCAGAATCGTTCGATTTTACGTTAAGGCCACCTGATTGTAGTATGACATTTTTGCTAATGTGATCATAAATTGCACTTAGGTAAAGATATGCATTTGGTCTCGCTGCTTGAAGAGTGCTGAAACGTTGGAATGTAACTCAATGAAAGTCTTAAAGGGATAGTTCAATTTGAAATAAATTTTTGATATGTTTTAGCTTACCTCAAGGGCATCCAAGATGTAGGTGTCTTTGTTTCCGCAGAAGTTTCAATTTTGAAATTTTTAGGTCAAACCGTTCGTGTCTGTCAGTCATATAATGCAGGTCTATGGTCACCACCTCAAAGAGCATGCACAGAGAAGTCCAAATTAAACATGATTTAATGACTCGTAAATGTAAGTACACATTGATGGCCTAAGACACGAAACGAGCGGTTTGTGTGAGAAAACAAACAGTATTTATATCGTTTTTACCTCTTGTAACTCACAGACCGAAGCGCCGGCGCCCTCAGATCACTTGGACGTGGCTGTGGTTACAAGAGGTAAAAACGATATAAATACTGTTCGTTTTCTCACACAAACCGCTCGTTTCGTGTCTTAGGCCATCAATGTGTACTTACATTTACGAGTCATTAAATCATGTTTAATTTGGACTTCTCTGTGCATGCTCTTTGAGGTGGTGACCATAGACCTGCATTATATGACTGACAGACAAGAACGGTTTGACCTAAAAATATCAAAATTGAAACTACTGCGGAAACAAAGACACCTACATCTTGGATGCCCTTGAGGTAAGCTAAAACATATCAAAAATTTATTTCAAAGTGAACAATCCCTTTAAGGATGTGACACGTTATTTTGTGTGACTGACGAACATCTGTAATTTTTATTTATTTTTTGTCCAAAAAGGTCCTATTGCTCTAGGAATATAAAAATGACATTAAAATGGCTTGACTATAAAACTGCCCAAACCATCAAACAGGTTTAGGACTTTTAAAAAACAAAAAGTGATATTGTGTTATCGGGGTGGACAAACAGTCCTTTATCACACATTCATCTCCATATTTTAAAGGGATAGCTCCCCAAATATGAAAAATCTGTCATCATTTACTCACCCTCATGTCGTTCCAAACCTGTATGACTTTCTTTCCTCTTTGGAACACGAAAGAAGATATTTTGAAAAATGTTTCACTTGTTTTGTACATATAATGAAAGTGAATGGGGTCCAAAACACCAATTGACCACACCAACCTTCATTGATTGGACACAAAAACACTCTAAATATCTTCCTTTGCATTCCACAGAAGAAAGAATGACATAAAGGTAAGAAAATGATAACAAAATGTTCATTTTCGGGTGAACCACCCCCCTTTTTTACTGGTGCGTACACAGGAATACTCAATGGCATACTGAATACACCCCATTTATCTTACGTTCTGTCTGTCGTAGCTTAACTGTTGCTCAGTTACAAAAACAAAACAAAACAGGAAAATCTGCATAATTTTGACATCAGAGCAAAGCTGAGACCTCTCTCCATGCTAATGGCTCAAAACAGCTGGTGCATAGGCAGTTCACACAGTGATTATGTGACGGAGTACTCTTTAGTACAATAATAGCATGTCGTTTGGTGGGCGAAACATTTGTTGTGTTTCTCTCTGCAGATTAGGGATCACCTGGATGTGAAGTATGAGTTTGGCCTTCCAGCCGTTTCCTCATTAAAGGCTATTTTTTCTTGACCGCGGCCAGTTCTTTCTGAATGTCAGCGAATTTGGGGCGATTCTCAGGTTTGTAGTCCCAACATCGCTGCATGATCCTGTACACCTCGTCTGGACACTTCTGCGGGCAGGACATCCTGTAACCTACATTATACACAGACAAACTTTCTATGTCAGTGCTGATTAGATCAATAATTGATAGTGGATAATAAGATTATTAAAAAGCAGTTACACTTTATTTTAAGGTGTCCGTGTTACAGTGCAATTATACATTTAAGTATTGAGTAAAATAACTGCATGTACTTACTATAGGGTAAGGGTCAGGAATAGGGTTTGGTTTAGGGTTAGTTGCATGTAATTATGCATAATATATAGTTATTAGTACAGTTGAATTAACATGTAAGATATGTAACAAAGACACTGAAAATAAAGTGTTACCTAAAAGGCTAACAGTGATTTTGTTACAGGTTTTGTTCAGAACATAATACAAGCGTACTGCACACTGTACAGTGCATACTTTATACTGTATACCGCTTAGTGTGTGAAATAACGTTATGCACAATACACATTTCAAACTCTAGTTATCCACTGTCCAGCTATTTCAGAGATTTTAGATTTTTAACAATAATTAGTTCAAATATAATTTAATTAAAGGTGAAGTACGTAAAAAATATTGTTAAAATACATTCTCTTAACCCAGTTTATTGTTCATTGACTACTAAAACATGTAAACACTGCGCCTCTCGGGCACCATCAGAACACTGAGGGCGGTCCACTCAGATCCAGCTCAAGCTAAGAGTGCAACAGTCGGGTTCCAGAAGTCAACATTATTTCAGCTTATTTTTTTAAATAATTGTTTAACAACAGAATTCCTGGTTAAAAACTACATTACCCATGATGCTGTACAGAAAATTACATCAATCAGAGTGTCAAAATAGCTCTTTAGCTTCTGAAATTACGTAATTACACTCTCAAAGTACTTACATTTGTGTGTGTGTGTGTATCTATATATATATATATATATATACATATGCATATGACTTAAAATATACTGTTTATATACACTCACCGGCCACTTTATTAGGTACCCCATGCTAGTAACGGGTTGGACCCCCTTTTGCCTTCAGAACTGCCTCAATTCTTCGTGGCATAGATTCAACAAGGTGCTGGAAGCATTCCTCAGGGAGTTTGGTCCATATTGACATGATGGCATCACACAGTTGCCGCAGATTTGTCGGCTGCACATCCATGATGCGAATCTCCCGTTCCACCACATCCCAAAGATGCTCTATTGGGTTGAGATCTGGTGACTGTGGAGGCCATTTTAGTACAGTGAACTCATTGTCATGTTCAAGAAACCAATTTGAAATGATTAGAGCTTTGTGACATGGTGGAAGTAGCCATCAGAGGATGGGTACATGGTGGCCATAAAGGGATGGACATGGTCAGAAACAATGCTCAGGTAGGCCGTGGCATTTAAACGATGCCCAATTGGCACTAAGGGGCCTAAAGTGTGCCAGGAAAACATCCCCCACACCATTACACCACCACCACCAGCCTGCACAGTGGTAACAAGGCATGATGGTTCCATGTTCTCATTCTGTTTACGCCAAATTCTGACTCTAACATCTGAATGTCTCAACAGAAATCGAGACTCATCAGACCAGGCAACATTTTTCCAGTCTTCAACTGTTCAATTTTGGTGAGCTCTTGCAAATTGTAGCCTCTTTTTCCTATTTGTAGTGGAGATGAGTGGTACCCGGTGGAGTCTTCTGCTGTTGTAGCCCATCCGCCTCAAGGTTGTGCGTGTTGTGGCTACACAAATGCTTTGCTGCATACCTCGGTTGTAACGAGTGGTTATTTCAGTCACTGTTGCCCTTCTATCAGCTCGAACCAGTCTGGCCATTCTCCTCTGACCTCTGGCATCAACAAGGCATTTCCGCCCACAGAACTGCCGCTCACTGGATGTTTTTTCTTTTTCGGACCATTCTCTGTAAACCCTAGAGATGGTTGTGCGTGAAAATCCCAGTAGATTAGCAGTTTCTGAAATACTCAGACCAGCCCTTCTGGCACCAACAATCATGCCACGTTCAAAGTCACTCAAATCAACTTTCTTCCCCATACTGATGCTCGGTTTGAACTGCAGGAGATTGTCTTGACCATGTCTACATGCCTAAATGCACTGAGTTGCCGCCATGTGATTGGCTGCTTAGAAATTAAGTGTTAACGAGCAGTTGGACAGGTGTACCTAATAAAGTGGCCGGTGAGTGTATATGATCAATATTTGTAAATGAGTAGTTTTAGATTTCTCCATAGTTTTTAATCTGATTATGATGTTCGCAATGCTTCATGGGATTGTAGTTGTTTTGTACCTTTGTCTTTTCCGATTTTTAAAAACATTTTTGATTAAAATCAAAGTTTGTAGTGTTGTTCTTTACCTCATAACTAAAATTGGCTTGTTCATGGTTTATAACTTTTTAGAAAACATGCTAGCAATGTGCTAATTGATGCCAGAAACATGCTAGCAACATGTTAAAAAATTTTTTAGCAATGTGCTAAAGCATGTTAGAATCATGTTAGCAATGTTAAATCATGCTAGCAGCATACACGCTAGCAAATATGTTAAATCATGCTACAGACATCCTAAAACATGTTAGCATTGTGACTGTATTGCCTTCAAAACTACTTCAAAATTCAAGCTTTTAAAATTTCTTCAAACTTTCTGATCAGGCTTTCTCAAGCGTGTCGTGACAAAATGAATGAAAAAAAAAACACTTCCGGTGTAGAAGTGCTGAGTCCCAGCAAAGAGATGAGTCCCAGCTTAGGACCCCAGTAGTATGCCTGATCTAAAGCTGTTCTCACGATTCTTAAATGTAATCAATCAAACCCCTTAATTCATGTAATAATCTTTTATTTTTATCCTGATTATTTATTTAGTTAAAGTGAAAGAAATGACATTTTTAGGTATGTTTTGCGACATTGTTATTTGTTATTAAGCAATAAGGCATCATATATTGTTTTTAATTACAAGCATGTCATAATTCTTAAACAGAATTATGCATGTATCATATTTGTTATGATCATGATTGGAGAACGAAATTGCATATTTACTGCTTGTGAATGTGATTTAAATCTCAATCTAAAAATATTACATCATCCAGATGCTGTAAAAAATTGCTTTTTCGATTGACAAAGAGTGTGAAAAAATATCATAGATGGCCGTTATCTCTAATCATTTCGGATAGCTGTATGCTATGCTACTATGTAAGCTAACTAAAAAAAAACACTAAGAACGAGAAATGTTCAATTTCACAATCTATAGCTTCGTTAATATACCAGTATATCAAACATAAGTTAAAAGACATTAATGGTCGTTATAACGTAGTTCAAACGACGTAATATAATAATGTGATTTTGCCTGATTTGTAACCCGGCACTAAAGCGATTACCCATAAAACGTGCTTTGAACCAATCAGATTGCTTGGGTCCTTACTGTTTCCGGGTCCAAGCCTCGATTTGTTTCAAATGAGAATATGTTTACCTGTTGAGACATGCCTTCACAAACCCCTCAAGAGCTGTGATTGTGATGTTTGATTTGGGGATTTGCAACTCGCAAAAGGGGCGTTTGCAAGGTTGTTTGAAAATATGATTTTTTTTTTTTCTAATTTCGCTAGTGTCGCAGAAACTACATACTTCACCTTTAATCAAATATAAAAGAAAAATGTACTATTTTAATAAATGTAGAAACATTTAAAATAAATGAAAAAAGGTAAGAAAATGTAATTTAAAACGCATTAAAATGTAAAAAAAATAAAATCTGGTTCATTCATTCACTATATGGAATCCATTTAGTACCTTTTTCAACCTGTTCTCGAGCCTGCTGGTTGGTCATGCCCGGGTAAGGACACACTCCTAGGCTAAATGTTTCCCACAGGAGGATCCCATAACTCCACACATCACTCTCTGAGCTGTATCTCCCTGTGGTTTAAACAACATGTCAAACATCAAACTGGATCCACTACTAAACCAAAATATATACTAATTCATAGCAACCAATTCACTCCTATTATGTTTGTAAAGAGAATCAGTTTCGAGGCAAAGTAGCTTTAACCACCGGCAGCACAGACCGCATGGGTGCTTTACCATAGTTCAGTGCTTCCGGTGCAGTCCACTTGATTGGGATCTGTTTCAGTCCTGATGAGGAGTAGATGCCATCGTCCTCCTGTCGGGACATCCCAAAATCGCTGATCTTCAGCACATTGTTCTCTCCCACAAGGCAGTTGCGAGCAGCCAGGTCTCTGCAAGATTTAGAGAAACTGTAATATCACATTATGAATAATGCAATGCATGCACTCTCAGCTCACAATCATGACTCTGATTGGACAATTCACATCTGTCAACAAAATAATCTACGGGAAAATTGGACTAAACTGGTTTCAAATTCAAGTCAACTTCTGCCAAATAAACAGTTGTCGGGGAATGAAGTAAACAGTCTAGACAATTATACTGTGATTGCAGTTATGAACACCCCCAGTCTAGAAAAAGTGCCCAATGAGACCGTCCGCGGCCAAGTCAGGATCATTAGCCTTCTGCTGTCAAGACAGCTGGTGAGAATATCCAAAGATCCTCATCTGTTTCTCAAAACTTCAGAGTAACAAAGTGACTTTAACTGCATAACATGCAGCACTGTGTGTGATATTGATTTCCACATCGCTCTATCTATAAACTTCAAAACCTTGAAAATGATTGCAGGATTTAAAGTTTGAGGGACAGACATGGGTACGGTACAGATACTTCCACAAAAACAAGATGATGGACAACAGATTTTATACTTAGACTCTTAATGTAATAAAAAAAAACATTGAGGGAAACATGTTTTTAACTACAATCTTACTCTATTTTACTTAAAGGAGCTGTATGTAAGATTGTGGCCAAAACTGGTACTGCAATCACTTTCAAATTACTGTAGAGTGGTGTATCCCCTCCCCCTCCCCCCTGACTCAAGGTTGCCAGATAGGCTGCAGGATCCAGCAGGAACGTGACGAGCTGCAGCTGTGGTAACTAGAGAAGAGCTGGCAACCCGGATGCCGCAACACTACTGACTTCGTGATTGGTAGATAGGTGGAGGGTGGAGCATCAGACCAAAACACAACATGACAACATCAACATCAGTTGAGGGCTGCAACTGCACTTTTTAAATGACAATATCCTGGCCGGACTACTGTTGTCAGTGATATAAGTATTTGAAATGTACATGATTTCTTAATGTCTAGTGATATATCAGGGCCATTTTATGATTAATTGAAATACATTTCTTACATACAGCTCCTTTAAATGCTTTAATCAGCCACTGTTGCCAAGTACATTCATGTGTAGTCAAAATGATAATAAAAAAATAAAAATAAAAAAAAAGTACATTAATATACATAATACATATATAAAAATGTATATTGGCCCGGTATCACAGACAGGGCTTAGATTAAGCCAGGATTAGTCCTTATGGGCTAGCTTTCATGACGCACACACGCAGGGTCTCTCCCTCTCTACCGTGCTCTCTCACCTTCACTTTTTCCTCACAATCATGACATAGATCCACAGCTAGATCAATGAGTATAGAAGCACTATGATTACAATGACCTCCGATTGAACTGTCACAAAATTCTGAAATTATCGTACAGTATGGGATTTTTTTCATTATTTATCGTACATCGTACAGAGGTCAAAATTATCGTACAAATACGATAATTATCGTACATCTGGCAACACTGCTGGGACTAGCTTAAACCTTGTCTGTTAAACCGGGGGATTAAATATCATCAAAAGGCCTAACATATCTATAGCTACACTACCATTTAAACATTTGGGGTCAGTAAGATTTTTTTTGAAAGAAATCAATATTTTATTTATTCAGCAAGGATGCATTAAATTGATCAACGACTTTTACAGCATGGTCTGTCTGAATACTCAATTCTGATTGGCTGGAAGGTGTGCATTAAAACCGTTAAAAGCACAGGTAGTTTCAGTCAGTTTAATCCCAAATTAAATTTATATGCTGTTTTCATTTAAAAACAGCGCTGCACACACAGAAACATTCAGAAGCACAGAAACTCATCAGTGCTGCTAAAAATAGCTTCGCTACAGAATCGCTACATAATAATTCTCAGCAACAAGGGGGTAAAATGTTTTTTTTAAAGCTTTTTTAAAGCTTTTGAAACTCGCAGTTTCGCTGTTAGGAGAGAGACAGGTAATTCACACATGCACTCTTTCTCTCGCTCTAATTCATTCAAATAAATGTAATCTGACGTACTACTTTATCTCTGTGTCTGATTCAAAGCGGGCAGAATGCTAGATCTAAGGAGCCATAACTGACGAAAATAACCGTCATTTTTACCCTTCCGGTCAAATATTGCGCTGCAAACATCAATAACATGCTGTCAAATGACCATGGTATAAGTGGCATAATCCATGGCTAGCTGTGCATTAAACGATTTTAATTTGGGTGGTATTTTGCCTCTGCGTCGAGCATTAAAATCATTTAACGCACAGCTAGCCATTGATAATCCCTTGCTTATAATTTTACAAAGTTTTCTATTTCTATTACTTTCTATTCTTCATAGAATCCTGAAAAAATGTATCATGGTTTCCACAAAAATATTAAGCAGCACAACCGTTTTCAACTGTGATGATAAGAAGAAATGTTTCTTAAGCAGCAAACCAGCATATTAGACTGATTTCTGAAGGATCATGTGATACTGGAGACTGGAGTAATGATGCGGAAAATTCAGCTTTGACAAAACAGGAATAAATTATATTTTAAAATATATTCAAATAGAAAACAGATATTATAAATTGTAATAATATTTCACAATATTACTATTTTTACAGTATTTTTGATCAAATAAATGCAGCCTTGCTAAGCATAAGAGACCTCTTTCAAAAACATAAAACAAATATTACAGACCCCAAACTTATGATCGATAGTGTACATCACCGACAAATACAGATATGTTCGCGTATAATACAAATAATAACTGTTTTGATTGCTGCTTGAAACTAAATTTAGCAAGCTAACATCATTTTAGGACATAATGAGAGACTTTTTAGGGTATATTTACACTAAAAATGGAAAAGCTTTTAAAAGCTTTGCGTTTTTCGCAAATACAGAGACAACAACATTGTCAAAGCGATCCCAGTTCACACGGATCCACAAAAACAACTAAAAACACTGTATTATGCTGCCAGGCCAGTAGTTGGCGATGTATCTTTGTAAAGAAACACTGAGTTTTTGTAGTCGACACGGAGACGATAACGGTATCGTTTTCAAAAAACTTGCACTTTGACACCATTTTTAGGCCCTAAAATACCGTTATCGTGTAAATGAACCGCCATAATAACGCATAAACGCATTGTTTTTAGGTGAGTATTCTGTTGAGTAAACAGCCCCTTAAAGACACTCTCCAGTCCAGACATTAAATAACTGCCATTGAGTGTTTAGTATGGCACTGATTGAACATTGGCAGGGTAGACCAAAAAAATAAGTACCGGTAATGAGTTTTCATATAACAACATTCAAAATCTTAAAGGAATAGGCCCTTTTTAAAATAAAAAGTCTACAAAAGCCGATCATTAGATTCGCCACATCTCTCTCATACAAGGAAGATGATTCGATCTATTCTCTTCATCCCCAACCAGTGATTTAAGATTCTAGTCCACAGCCACTGCTGTGCCTCTCACTGGCATTTATGCTGAGCAGACATCCTCAGCTACACAACCATATTAGGTTGTCACATCCCAAAAATTGCCTTGCTAACATGAGATGGAGAAAGACAGCGGGGGGTGGGGGGGTAGCGGAGGAGAGAGGACTGATCTGACAGAAAGGTGCTCAAACCACCGTCGCCCCTAACATGATCATGTCTGATAGTAAATGGATTTTTAGCAGGGTGCTGATAGAGCGCCCACAGCTCATTTCTGAGCGACATGTATTCAGCCGGCTGGCTTCAGCCTCAAACAGCACAATGCACCAAAGCCCATTTCACAGTTTAAAAATCACCACCAGAAAGAAGCAAGACGAATTGGACGGGAAGGTGCCGCTAGGTCCTGATGTTTTAATGGGTGGCTGAGTTGTTCAGATAAAGAAAAAGTAAGGTACACTTGGGCTTCTGCTAGTTGGATGGTTTAAGAGGATATTACTAAATATAAATCATCAAATACCAAATTTACATTAGTTGACATATATATAGATATTTATAGACTTCATGGAAGGATGTTAATACAACACAGTGAGCTGCTTTGCTGTTGCCATTACAGGTAGTTTCCTTTCCCACTGCTAGCAACACGCATCTACAACGTGACATGATCCCATTCGTTTCAATGGAGAGCTGGCGATTTCCGGAGTCACGAGTGACAATGACCATTGGTGACAGGAAGTAGATGTGTCCAGCAACGCAACAAAGTTAAGATATGTTTAACTTTATGCAAATAAATAGGGACTTTTGGGAGCAACAACCAATAGGAGTGAAGTCAGTGGAGAGCACGTGAACCGTCACTACATCCTGTAGTGGAGAGTGTCGCGGGCAAGATGGAGTGATTATTTTCCTATAGTTTGTGATGTCTCCGTGTACATACGGGCGGGGGTACTCGCTGTGCTGAACCTGAATGGTTTCATGAACCCAGATTGACCGGTGCTTGCGCTTTCGCTGCAGATAAATAGCCACGATAGCAAAGAGCTCTCGCTGTTTCTCGTATATCTTTAATAATAAGCCTTTTATGTACTGATTCCATTTATCTTTAGTCTTTTCCCATTCAAAATATGTTTTTAGCGGCAAGAAAACTGATTTGGTGTCTGCAACATGGAATAACATCCGGGAACAGGGCTGCCAACTCACTAACCATAAACCAATCACCATTGAGTATTTCAACCAATCACCATAGAGATCAAATTATGTAATATCAGTTTGAATGCTACCACTGATAATGTACCAACTATCTTTATTATGGAGAGTAGAGATATTGAATATTTGATCACCAACAAGTTTACCAAGCTACCATTCAAACATCAGCTACAAATTAAAAATTAAGACCTCATGCCTAAGTTGGATACAGGCTAAAGCAGGGCTTCCCTATTCTAGTCCTCGCGCCTCCCCGCTCTGCACAGTCTCTCTTATCTAATCATCAGCTTGTTAGAAGAGAGCTCCATGAACTCCAATTCAAAAGCTCTTAACTGAATGATAAATGTAGAGTATGTTGCGATGATAAATCTGAAAATAAACATAATTTGGTAATATGTATTTTGATCTCATTTAACATGATAGTTGACTTGTAACCGTCACGTCTAACACACTTTACACCCGCGAACAGATGCATACAAACACACCTGCTTTGGATTGGAATCTGTCTTAAGATGACGAAATACCCTTCTGAGTCCACTTCTTGTGCGCGTACGGTCGAATGGAACCCACCCCTCAACTGAGCGCGTCAGATAAGAGAGACATAAAAAAAATGTATAGAGCGGGGGAGGCGCGAGGACTAGAAATGGAAACCCCTGGGCTAAAGCAATCAGCTTCACTAAATGGTCGAATGTGCTCTTTTAACACAGATATTACCTCTTTATTGAGATTTTTGCTTGATAGGCTAAGTGAGCGAAATCAAATTTATATTTTATTGCTGTATAAGTGTCATTTTCTTTTAATTGTCTGTCTAAAAGTGACCTAAAAAGCCATTTTAAAGCAGTTAACCAAAAAAATAATAATTCTTGGTAGGGGATCCCCAGAATGTTACAATTTAGTGTGCCTCATGAGCTATGAGGTCATAGAGGTTACATTTTTCATAATGAGTCATATAATAAAGTTATCTTAATGGCTAGTAGTAAAAGTAGTCGTTCAGAACATAGTGTGTACCCAAAGTGTAGAACGGCAAAGAGGTTCCCACAAAATACACAGATACAACGATAGATGTTTTTCTCCACAAAAAAAAAAAAAACTGGAGCAATTGTTCATGAAAAATGTACAAAAATTGTCCTACAAACAGACCGTTTTGGTTATGCAAATATATGTATATAATATTGTTTACATTCTTTTAAGTTTAACCGGACAAGTTTTTGTTAGGATAAGGTGTATCATTATTAAATCTGAAGCTTTTCAGTTTTTCTTACCTGTGTATGCAGTTCTTTAGCTCCAGGTACGCCATTCCTCCAGCAGCGTCTAATGCAAACTTTACCAGTTGCTTTGTCTTAAGGTCCTCCTTTTTCTTTCTTAAGAATGATAAAAAGTCCCCACCTATTGAAAAATGGCAAAGTAAATGAGCTATAGATGTGCAATACATTAAAAGAGACACCAACATCCCAAACAAGTATTCAACAACTTTTAACGAGAATGGGTTTCAGTGGCTAATGGCTGAGACGAAGATCCAGTTTACTGACCTGTTACAAGTTCCATTACTATGTAAATGGGCTGCCGTTGGGTACAGACGCCTATTAACTTCACAATGTTCGGGTGATCATACTGCTTCAGGATCCTAGAGGTGGAGAAAGCATAAATGAATATGGACATGACCACATTATTTCATCACTCATTATTATTTTTAGGAGAATGTGAAACAAAGTGAAGTTTGAAGAATGAGAAAGTATGACGTAAAGCATGCAACGGGGAATGTGTCTTCACCTGGCTTCTGAGAGGAACTTTATCTTGAGGTCTTGTGGTAGATCTTCCTTACAAGTTTTCACGGCCACTGGGGTTTTATCTCGCAGCGTTCCTTTAAAAACCTCCCCAAAATTTCCCTAAAAACAACATTTGTCCAAAAACACTGAGCATCTTATTTCATATAAAATAATAAAAAGAACAATGGCAGTTTTCACACCATATTAGTAGTAATAGCGACGGGTAACTTTAGACAACTAATTATCCAACACATTACTTGGTCGACTAGTTTTGTGTTTGTTTTGCTGTCATTTTTTAACAGACCTGTCAACCAGTCAACCTAATTAATTGTGAAAATATGTCATTTTGCACAAGGTCCTACCCTAAAAATCCTTGCTTTATAAAAGGGTTTAGTTCACCAAAAAATTAAAGTTCTGTCATCAATTACTCACCCTCATGTCGTTTAAAACCCGTAAGACTTTTGTTCATCTTCAGAACACAAATAAAGATATTTTTGATGAAATCTAAGAGCTTTTTGTCCCTCCATTGACAGCTATGCAACCACTACTTTGACGCTTCAAAAAGTTCATAAAGAGGTCGTAAAATGAATCCATATGAATTTAGTCCAAATTAAGAAAAGATTGAATTTAGGCTTTTATTCACATATAAACATTCATCAACGCACACATCAGTTGTGGTAAACCAACGGAAGCTCAAGAATGTTCGCTTGACGTGCAAGAACCAATGAGGTTCATTCTTGTGCGTCAAGCAAGTTCGGCTGAGCTTCTGTTTATGTTCACTGATCAATGTTTATATGTAAATAAATGCCTAAATTTGACGATCTCTTTATGAACTTTTTGAAGCGTCAAAGTGTTAGTTGTGTAGCTGTTAATGAAGGGATAGAAAGCTCTCAGATTTCATCAAAAATATCTTCATTTGTGTGCCGAAGATGAACGAAAGTCTTTTATTTCTGGGTGAACTAACCCTTTAATTTCTTTCAAAATAACTTAATTGTACTGACGCCAAACTTTTGAATGGTAGCGTATGTATATCTCCATCAAAGTCCCATGGTATTACCATCTGATCACTGTACCATGGTACCACCACAGTATTTTTCTGCAACAGTCTCAAACACAAGCACAATGGATGTGGACTTACTTTGCCAAGGAGTTCTCCAAGAATGACGTCCTCATGATTGAGAATCCATTTCTTATCCTGAGCAAACAAACAAAAATAGCAAATTATCTTTCTGACACACGTTCATTAATGAACTAATGACTCGTGCAGAGACAAACAGAAGAGAGATGCTGAGCGTCCTGTGGGTCAGTCACTGTGCTGTTACTCTGATGAATGATAATGATGCAATTATCACCTCATTCTCCAAAAGCACTCTCATAGACAGAGACTCTCATAGACTATTTTTATTGTGAAACCTCTACTTTTACAACTTTATTTGACAATTAATACACTATTGTGATAACAGCAATACACAGAGGTATATGTGCACAATCCATTTATCTTTGCAAAATACAAACTCAAGGTAATCGCACAAGGTAAATAAACCAAAATATTCCTTAAAAGTGCCCCTATTATGCTATTTTCACGGTTCCTCATTTTGTTTTGGAGGTTTCCTACAATAGGTTTCATAGTCAAAAAACACTTTAGTTTTCTCATAATATACATTGCACATCATAATTTCTCAAAGAGTCTGAAAAAGGTTCGTTCGAAGATCCAGTGTCTCTAAACCCCTCCTTTTCGAGAGCCTACTCTGCTCTGATTGGTCAGACGGCCCAGTTGTGATTGGTCTACTGCGATTGGTCTTACAGCGCAAATCGGAAACAAAACCTCTATTAGCAAATCTGAATTTCAGCTCCGGATGCTTCTTTGGTGCTGATACACAGTTTTTTAGTATCAATTCCAGCAGGATTCCGTCCTTATCCTTTTGAAATGCATTCAAAGTGGATTCGCAGTGCTGAAAACATTGTTGTCTTGTCATGTCAACATCATAAACCAAACTCTTCCAGGCCTCAGCTACAACTACAGTGTTTGAAGGTCAAAGTAGACATCGTTCACGAGCAGCCAATGAAAGCTATAGGCTGGAATTATGCAAATATGTTACATTGTTACCCAAGAATGTAACAGTGAGACTGGAATTGCTGGCGACCCGTTTCAACAGTTCCGAATCAATTCTTTCTTTTAGTATACAAAACTTAATTTGTCGTGCACTTTGATCTTTAAAGCTTTGCAGACCTTTTACATTTACAAACAGCTATATTGCACACTGCATCAAAGGTAATATTTTAATAAGCATAATAGGGGCACTTTAAAAGACACAAAAACACATTTACTGTGCGTATCTTGTGTATGATTTTCAGTCAGTGTGTTTAATTCAAATTTTAGAGTTGACCCAAACTGTTTTTACTGATCACAAACTAATATAGGATTCAAAGACAATTAAAACATACACACAAAAAAGAAACATCCCTTTCTAAAACCTCAACACATTTACAGCAGTGGCAATGAGAACAGACATTTAGCTCAACATTGATAATAGCATAAATCAAAGAGCCATTACTCTAAACGTCATGAGGATAAGTGACCTGCAGTCAGCCTGGAAAATAATGCACTTCACTCAACATTCTTATTCAAAACTAAGCAATGAAACAAAACAAAAAAAAAGAGCTTTTTGGCAGCAAACTCTTAATATGGGTTTGGTTCATACAGGGATAAAAAAGCACCCCATGAGTAAAATGAAATGCTCTGCTGTATCTTCAATCCCGTGGGCCTAATTTTCTGCCAGAGGCCCTGTACATCTTGTTCAGATATGGATTCTTAACAAATGGAAATGGATTCTGAACATCGCATCATGGATTCGATCAAATACCAACCGATAAAAAATCAAAACCTGATAGCCTGTGCTAGAAATCTTATAACGGGCCATGTTTGGATCTTCCAACAGGACAGTGATCCAAAAACAAACATCAAAATCAAAACAAAAATGGGTCAATGAGCACAAAAGGAAGCTTCAGCCATGACCATCCCAGTCCCAGACCTGAACCCTATAGAAAATGAGTGGGCTGAACTGAAGAGAAGAAGCACCAACATGGATCTGGGAATCTGAAGGATCTGGAGAGATTCTGTATGGAGGAATGGTCTCTGATCTCTTGTCAGGTGTTCTCCAAACTCATCAGGCATTATATGAGAAGACTCAGCTGTTATCTTGGCAAAAGGAGGTTGCAAAAATATTTAATAAAAGGGTGCAAATAATTGTTCCCAATGTGTTTTGGAGAAAAACTTTTATTTCAAAATGTGATTTTCCCCCCACTTTCAATTATTTTACTTCAATAAAAGGTTAGATTTTTGCATTTTTTTTAAATAAAATATCAAAAGGATAAACAATGCAGATTTATTTTTTACAGCCATCTTTGATCATATTTACCAAGGGGGCAAATACAGTAATTCTGACCAGCACTGTGTATTTGAAATATAAATCACTTTTAACATTATAATAAATGTCTTTATTTCCCTTTTAATTGAACGTTTAATGCTAAATAAAAGTACTAATATCTTTTAATAAAAACCTCTTACTGGCGCCAAACGTTTAAACAGTAGTGTACATGCCTTCATGTGTAATTAAATTACAGTTTATTAATCACACATATTACAATTTCGATTTTGTCAATTAAATGTGCAGCTCTACACAGTCTGAACATATCCCAGCATTCACAGGGGTGTGAGAATGTTTCTTGCATGCTGCAGCAGAAACATCACCACTATTATGATTTCAGTCAACATGTTCGGATGGAGAGCTTTACCCCTGTCATCAAAAACCCATCAGAGGAACAGCATGGCAGGTAATCATCCACACACACACACACACCTCCAGGAGGGAATCCAGCCAGTGTGGACCACTATCAAGAAAGGAGTCTAAAGCGAAATTTTCTAAACCACTACAATTTTTTTTTTTTTCATAGCCAAAGAGAAATCAAAGCACACATAGGACTTTACATCTGCAGGACAGGTTGATTTGAGAACTGCACAGCACGACATCAATTTAATATCAAATGTAGTTGCACACGTTAGGGGAAATGAGCAATGTACCCTCTGAATTTCTGTAATAAGGAACTCTATGGCTTCATATATTGTAAAAAAAAAAAAGTGATAGCCTCAGAAGTGACACAGCAAATGACTACTGAGAGCAGAACAGCTTGTTAAAATGAAAAGAGACACAATGTTTCACCTTTATGACGGGGTTCAAGAGCACGACCCCAGATTTCTTGGTGATGACTTGTTTAGTCGTGTAATGATGCTCTATGAGCTGTGGGATGGTGGGGAAGCCAGTGCCTTCAAATCTGTACTGATTCTGCAGACAAAAGGAGGCAAATGAAATCAGACAGTTCAGTAAACTCAAAACAAAATAAAATAATTACTTGTGTATTTTCAAATATTTTAAAACAAAACCAAATATAATATCATTTTTTCATGATTACTTCTTCACTTATTTAATCTGACTTTTTTTTTTTAAATGTATTCTTTGAATGATACAACTTTTTTGATCATGTACTTACATCAGCAAACTGAATGATGAAATGTCTGCGCTGTCCGTCTGAAAACACAGAGAGCACATATTCTCCAGGTTTGCCGTGGCTCTCGCGCACCAGGAAGTCTCCCTGCTGCTTCAGCAGCTCCTGGGCCTCTGTCCTGGGAATGGCACCATGATACCACTCCTGCTCGCCCAGCGGTTTCTCACTAGTGGGTATCACATCGAAAAACTGAAGAGGGACAAAACCCAGGAGGTCAAGCAGAGAATATGACAGGTCAGGATAGAAATGAAGAAGTGTTGATGGAAAAAGCAGCTGACTCAGTTCTGAAACTTACTGATGAAGAGCCCAGTACAGACTTGGGCGAGCGGATGATTCCAGCGATGGAGTGTCTGAGGGTGTCAAACTTTGATACCTTGTCTTTGCTTTTATCCTGAAATAAAATGTACGTGTCCATGACAAAGTTGTAATGAAACTGTAAATCAAATACTTGTCCAAGTCTAGCAGAAAAAGTATTAAATACGTTTTTTTGGACACGGTACAGTGATAAAACTATATCTTTATAGACCATTACTCACATTCCATAATAATAAAACATTGTACCATGTTAACCCCACAGATTTTTACAGTAATATGGTACAGCCAAAGGACTGTTTTGTAAGATAAAAATCATACACTTAGTGTTCAAGTATATTTGGATGGATATATTTGAATTTAAAAGTAAAATAATTTAAATGACACATTTTTAGAAAAAGAAAATAAATCTCATTTACAATCCCTGCAGTATAAGTTTCCATTTTTAAAAGTCTTAATAAATCATACTGTGCAGCAATAAAAATAAAAAAAAAGCAGCAAAAAAAACAGGACACACTGCCCTCTTCAGACAGCTTCAACACCAGCAGCATGTCAAATCAAACTATACACAATTATATCACAGCACACATATTAATATTGTGTTGGGGTGCAGCTGGGAACAATCGGTTTAAGAAGTCAAAATTATTCTTAGTAATAGCAATTGTTGTTGTATGCAATTGATTTTCTCAGATCTGATTCATGTGTTAAAATCAGGGTTTCTGCAGGTTTCATGAAGGTAGATTTAAAACTTTTAAAGACCAAGTGAAGAAAATGTCAGGAATAAAGTGAAGGGAACTTAACATGTCAATATGTAAATCTTAATGTCTAGGGGAGGAACACAATGAGTAAGCAACACTAAAAATGATATTCTGCAAAATAGTTGTTCTTGATGTTCTCAGTACTTTTATATTTTCACAGTGCAAATTTCTAAAGCTTCTTAAATCAAGATACATTTAATTGAGAAGCAGAATTGCATAAGTGTTACATTCCTGTCTTGTTTCCCTGCTTTTGTGTTGTAGGACTTTTATTTTGAAGTGTATTTTCTGCTCCCCTTGTTTCAGTGTTTCACCCTTGTGATTGGTTCCTTGCTACATTGTTTGTTCCCATAGTTACCCTTGTTTGTTTCCATGACGATTAATCACCTCCACCTGTCTCTTGTTAGCCCCTTATTATCTTGTGTATTTAAACCCCAGTATGTCCTCATGTCAAGTCTTGTCCTACATGGCTGTTTTGTTAGTGTCCTTTATTCTTGTTTTCTCTGTTCCTAGATGTTCTGTTTCTTGTGTTTTTTTGGTTCTTTTGTTAATAAATATTATTACTGCAATCAGATACTACTCTCCAACATTACAAAGTAGTCTTATTTTCTACGAAACAGATCAAAATAAAGCGAGTTTCTGATTAAAACAAGAAATATCTGCCAACGGGGTCAGAAAAATACTCTTAATTTAAAGGGAAAACAAGTTTTCTTTCCTCATTGACAGATATTGTAAGTGTAAACTCACCTAATTTTGTTCAATTTCTCAGAAAAACAGACTTCATTTCTTCATTTTGCATCTCAGGTAAATGTAGATGGTTGTATTGGAACGCTTAGATATTTGTGAAGATGAAGATATGCATTTTTTGCCATGCATTCAACATTTAATGCCATGATGACTTTAGGAATTTAAGACTTTCTGCTCTGATTTAAGACCTTTTTAAGGCCTTAATTTGTGGAAGGGTGAATTAAAGTCCCCCTGTGGTGAAAATTTAACTTTTAATATGCTTTTCAGATAAACCATGTGCAAATTCATAATTCATAAAACTGCAGTGAACCAAAGACAGTCTCAAAAACGTGTTGTTTCTTATGTCACAAACCTTGTAACCAATCACGTCAACATGCTGGTGGGCTTTAGCACATAATTAACTATCCTCTGAAGCAGTGGAGTCTCAAGAGAAGCCATACCTGTCTATTTTTCTGTTGATATGAAAAATTGTGTACATTTAACAATATAGCGGGTGAATTATGTATATGATGTATATTATGATGTTATGTCATGATGAACTATATGGCTTTCTATGAAAGTGTTATCCTTTTCTTTCAAAGTGTTTAAGGATGCCGATTTTTAGAAGGCAGGCTGAGATGGCGAATGGGAACATGGTTTGTGTAACATTAGCAACACATCTTTAAAGATTAAAGATAACATTAGCTGTTTGATAACACAGTTAAGCAAAAGGCTAATCATGTTAATTACCGTTGTGTGTACGACATTGTAAAGAGCGATACCATTTTACAGCATTTAGTACAGTAACTTGAGTAAAAGTTGACCGAATGGATCTCTGAGCTGGTGTAAGTGAGTGGCGGCGGGGCTAATTAGCATATTCTGTGTATACTAAATGAAGCAAGGCTTGCTGGGCTTTAGCGCCACCAAAAATTTGCTTAGCATTGGCGCCACCACAGTGTCGTAAATGTGAGTGGGAAGCTCTGGATTTTCTTTAAGCCCCGATCTTTATGAGTTGGGGGCGTGTCAGTGAGAAACATGGCGGAATACCACAATACTTAAAGGTGTTTAGCAGTGATATTGTCAGGCTTTTCTATTTAAAGCGAAGTAAGCTAATTGGCTGCACAGAATATGATGGTATTACAATATAACAATCGTTAGCCTCATAGCATAATTGCCTAAGTCATATTTCAACGTTTTTGGAAAACACGAAAAAACACAATATTTAGAAATCACATTGTGATTTTTTATTGATCTTATAACAGTACATTCAACCAGATGTGTGAACAAGTATGCAAAAATAAAAAGATCCATCACCAATTACCTAACTAATAAAAGTGACTTAGGCAGAACATGCCATGACTTAGGCATTTTTTCTCTTACATATAAATGCAAACATAACATAACAAAAGTTGTTTTTCTCTCCTAAATATAACCAAGATGTGTAACTTGCCAACCTTAACCAAGTTGTTTCTTAATGTCTAACCGTAACTACTGTTTTCCTTTACCACCCTTAATCGAAGTTCCACTCAGGTGCTGTGCAAACATAACATAACCATAGTTTTTTTATTCTCCGAAACATAACCAAGATGTGTAACTTAACCCTAACCAAGTTGTTTCTTAATGTCTAACCTTAACCACTTTTCCTTTCCCACCAAGTTCTACTCAGGTGCTGTGCACACTCATTTCCACACTGTCTATTGATGAGGGAGGTTGTCATAGTACTGGTGGGCCACTCTTGGTAGTACTGGTTTCATTGCCTGCAAGTCATTGAATTTCCTGAGAGTAATTGGCATTTGGGCAGGAAAGAGTGGGACCCAGTGGAATGGTTCTTTGGGGATGTTGATTCGCTGAGGCAGGTCCTCCCATTCAGACTCAAATTCCAACTTGTACCGGATTTGACCATCAGCCAAGTACTGGAGAGCCCGGAGGCCATGGACTGTGGGGTCACCAACCTTTTTACCTGGTCGAATATTGGTGACATAGGCCCCAGATAACTTCATGAAGTCATTGTGGTATAGTTGAGTCACCTTGTATGGGGATGGATGCATTCGTGCAGTCTCAAAGATGACAATGTAATCACGTGGAGTGTGAATTTCTTTGACGATGCGCCGCTCAATGAGGCTATGCATGGAGTCACACTCCATTTGTGTGTGCCCAGCAACCAGAAACTTCTGCTCTATGGTGACACCATGCTTCATGGCCAGATGAAGGTAGGTGTTGCTGATGGCACCACACCGATTTTGATACCCACAGCCATCACTCCAGACAATGACTTTCTCAATGTTTCCGTTGGCCTCTAGGATTGATTCGAAGTGTTTGGACTGCAGATGGGCAAAAACCTCACTGCTAAGGGAGCCTTCATGCTCTTCCCAAGCGTAACAATATCCATCTTTGTTGTTCATGTTGAAGCAAGTAAAGTTGTGCATCTGTAATTTAGTTTTGTAATACATGGTACTCGCTTTCGTCTGGGGGCACAAAAGAACGCATTGAAGGTCCATTGTCCACACTGAAAGTTTGTCACTGGACTCCTTTTTATCCTTAGCTTTTTCAGCTTGAGCCTGAGCCTTTAATTTCAAGTGAGTAGTAAGGGTATCCTAATCTGTATTTCCTACCTTGGCGCTGACACATACATCACACTGGTCTTTTTTTGGTATGAACACAGAGTAATTCTGCTCACTGAACACTTTTCGAAAATATGTCTCACTCACAGCACGTGCTCCATTTTAACCAGCAGCTTTCTGATATTCCTTGTGAAGATCACTTAGAACTGTTCCTGGCTCCAGGAACTTCTTTTCCTGATAGGAGGGAACCTGACAGCAGTAATGGGATGGGACTGTAGGCAACCCAGAGAGCCATTCTTTCAGGAAGGTCTGGTCAACATCTGATATTGGCACATGTGGGCCAGTCTTGTTGTTCTTGGGTTTACACGGATCAGTTTTGGATTTCATGTCCACAGTTAACCATGATCCCATGGTTCTGGGGGCGATGCCAAGTGTTGAACAGAAAAGATTCTTACACACAGGTAGTTTACATCTATCTGCCTGTTGCAGGTGGTAAAATAGGGACGTTGTTCTCCTTGATGCAACACCACCTTTCTTCTGTTTTATGGGCACATTTTCAACTAGAGTCTGGATATACAGCTTGCGTGTCTCCCAGGAGGGCATGGACCAGAAATTGTTGAAGATATCGGTTCTCTCCTCTTCAGTCAGTTGTTCACAACTTCGTTTCTCCGACTTAAAGCAGTGCTGTGATGTGCAGGGTGGACCCATGGTCTTTGGTGGTCTCTCCTGTCCCATTGTATTCTTGTAACTCTCCCCCTTAAGACGCTTCTCCTTTATCACCTCTCGCTTCCACGTATCTGGCCTTGGACGCCTATGACGTTGAACAGCAGCGGCTCCTGCATATCCTTCACTGTGTTGAGCTATGTCTGTATCACTACCATTATCTGGGCTGTCATCTTTCTCAGGTCTATAGTCCTCATCCAAGACAGTGTCATCGATTTCACTATTTGACGATAAATCAGGATCTGATTCAGCTCTGGAGGCTTTACTGGCTGTTTCCTCCTCTATCTGTTGCCCCATGTCTACGTCATTACCTTCTTTCTCAGGTCTACTCTCATCTAAATCCTCTAACTCCACTACATTTCCTGACAATAAAGCAGAACATAAAGTGCTGTTGAATATTTTAACACAATTCATATGTTCACTGCAAAAAAAGGTAACACTTTACAAAAAGGTTAATTTATTAAACATTATGTATTAACTAACATGACCTTGCAATGAGTAATACATTTGTTACAGTATTTATTAATCTTTGTAAATGTTATTTAATAGAAATAAAGCTGTTCATTGTTTGTTCATGTTAGTTCACAGTGCATTAACTAATATTAACAAGATTTTAATAAAGTATTACTAAATGTGGAAATTAACATTAACAAAGATGAACAAATGCTGTATAAGTGCAAATCATTATTAGTTAATGTTAATTAATGTAGTTAACTAATGAACCTTATTGTAAAGTGTTACCCAAAAAAATCTAAATCTTACCAAATACTTCTTATATCTAGTCAAAATGTCTAATTTCTAAATGTCTAATTTCTAAAACAAATCTATTTGCCCTTAAAATAAAAAGTAAATGCTTGAAAAATTACTTCACTTGCCTAAAATTACCTAAATGTCTTTTTATGGTGATGTTCTGACCAGCTAATATTTAGCTAGTGTTTGCTAGCTACTTATCTTGTAGCAAAAAATGTGATTTCAAGTTTAAATACACAGTTTATAATCCCTTTGATTGACTGAAATTACATTTAGTGTCTAGAAAATTTAAGAAATATGAACTCTTACCAGATGAAAACGAATCAAACAGAAGAGCTAATACATCACTTCTGGACATCTGTCTTTCCACGTTTTTTGCCATTTTGTTTGTATCAAAACTGCCTAAGTCAAAGAGATGACTAAGGCAGATAGTGTTTTTGGATCCTAATAAGTGTTGTGATTGGCTAAGGACATTGGCAGAAAGGCAGGATGATGCAGCAGTGGAAGGACAGTAAAAATAGGCAGATATCACAATTTGGCAAAAAAATGACTTAGGCAATTATGCTATGAGGCTAACGCAATGTAATATGTAACGATAAAGTTTGCAGTGGCTTCATAAACTAATTAAAAACATAAAAAGCAAAGCACACCTGATGCACATTTATTTGTTCTTCATTTTTTCTGAACTAGAGTTTAAAAACCTTGCTGTATTTTTGTGTAATTCATTTAAAGAATGTAAATCGCCATCTTACTCCGACGAAAGTGACTTGAACGCACCTGCCGTCGTAAACACGACTTCCAACCTCTTAAGTATGAACTTCCCAGGAGGACTTGAACGCACCATATGTCAATTGGACTCCAAGGCGACAAGTTATAAGTACATGCCTGAGTAGGGACTAATTACATGCTTGATTAGCGATATTAAAGTGTACTTTACTTGTGTAACAAGTACATTACAAATTCATTACGAGTGTCTTCGAAACATACAAGCCATATACCATAAGTGTATTATATTTGAGTAAAAAGCATTTGCTCAGTAATACCTTTGGCTTACATTCCAAATACTACAAATTGCACACTTTGTCTTCAATAGCAAATGCACATTAATAAACAAATATTACTTAGATATACTTTGTACATACTATAAGTATACTTCAATGCATTGTTACAATGATAATTTTTAGCACACAGTTTAAAATATACCTAAAATATATAATTTTAAGTAAAGTGCAAATAAACAGAATTTTCACTTCAAGTATATTTTTAGAAAATATATTTTTAGAAAATATACTAAAGTACAATTCTTTTAAAGTGTGTTAAAAGTTGTATTGTGAAAATAGGTAAAAGCATGATGCTAATATACTTTTAATATATTTAAAAATAGTACCATTTTTTGTTAGTATATTTTCAATGTTCTATTGAAAAAGGGAATATATTTCAAATACAATAAAGTATACATTTTTTCATTAGGGATTGTTTATTCTTAAAAATTAAACCTAAAAATGATTACCACCTTATTTAACACCTACAATATGCTACTTTTTCTTTTGTGTGGGTGTGTGATATTTATATCCTCATTGTTTTGTTCATATGACCAGGAAAAAAAACTGTAGTGAAAAAACAGTTGTTACTCAAGTACAGTTGTAATTTACCACTGGGACTTTTCCCCAACAGTTTTTACCATGGCCAATTTTGTCCTGAGAACTTTTTGAAAGTCTGAAGCAAAAAGGTTACCTCCAGACGAGGAAGTCATTTTTTATAACTATTAATGACCCCTTTAACTTTTAGGTTTATACATTGCAAAGCCGCTGTGCAAGCAGCTTCAACCTCGACCATTCTGCAATTGAAATTAACTTACTGTCACAAACTCCTCATCTTCCAATTGAGGGGATGTGGCTAATATGAGCTCAAATGAGCATGAGCTTGGACACGTCAAAAATACACCGGAAATAGTACATCATCTGGGCACCTCTTGCATACCATTTTTAATGTGCTCTAATTTGAGAGGTACAAATTCTAATCTCTGTACTCTTTAATAAGGAGATAGTGTGCGAATTGGGACGCAGCTCAAAGCGATGCCTTACCATTGAGTTGACGGAGCGGGCGTCCTCTTCGTAATTGACGACAGGCGGTGGTTCTTTCCCCTCGTTCTTCTGCATCTTCTGCTCCAGTAGTTCTCTCTGTGCCGTGAGTTTGGCCTCCGAGCAGCGCAGCAGCTGGACCGTCTGTCTCAACTCCTCCAGAGACTGCTTCTGACAGAGTAACAACACCACACTGGAAAGAGAGAGAGATCACGCTGTTCAATCCACAATGAACGCTTCTTTTTAATCTCTTTTTAAGATTTTTTTCTGAATGTTATGTCAGAGGCAGACGCACTGTCAAGTTTTACTACAAAACCTCCAAAATTTTACAAAAATGCAAACACTGAAACTACAAAACATACCAAAGACATCTTTAACCCTATAAAGCTTACTGTATCATTTTTCATATGCAAATTTAAAAGGCCTCTAAATTATTAACATAATCAATACTTTGCTGAATAACCAGTTGCATACAATCTTCTACATGTCTTCTGTCATCGGACTGATATTTTCATAGTTTTTAGCAAGTAAAAGTAAGTATAATTCTAAAAATCTCTTTTTGTAAAATGTTTCCCCATTTTTATTTATTTGATAAAATAAACGTAAGAATACTTTTTTATTGTTAGTTATATTTGAAGATGAACAATACATAATGGACCGAAGAAACTTTTTTCCTTTTTTTTTGGATTTTTTCCTTAAAAATCCTTTTTTTTTTTTTTTTAACTCATGTTAAATATGAGTTTCAAATATGATACATCAGCCTTTTAGGGAACATGTATTTGTACTCAATCATCATTGGATTGCATTGCATTCTCTTTGATTACTTTTGAAGTGATCAGAATTTCATCAAAAACTGCATCAAATTGCATATTTTTGTTCAGTTTGGGCCTCTGAATAAAATGTTTGTTTTTTTCCTCTTCAAGCTCCATATTTTTATGAGCCACAAAAGCCAGAAGTATTAAATATGACACTCAAAAAAAACACAAATGCAACCTTTTATATTTTAAATATATATATATATTTTAGATTTTGTCCAAATGTTCAACAAACTGTTCCATTAAAAAACTTGATTTTTCTGACTATTATTTCATGTCAGACTATACAGGGTTAATAAATGAATGCACCTATGCATTAAGGCATTTATTAAATTTGACAAGTCCCGTTTCACATGCAGATTTCCTACATACTTGCTTGTCATGAATTTTAATTCAGATGTTGAATTTTACGACCGATTTTAAGCTTGCATATGTACGATTAGGTCCATAAAGTGTGCTAAAATATAAATGACTGCAGACATCAGCATTGAGTTCAGCTGGCTGAATTGGCATGAAGTAGTTCAGGTGTGGAGCTGAGCAGCAGTGCGGCTCATTTCAGTTTGCAGAGGTGATTATATCAGCATCTCTTGTACTGGATTACCCAGCAGACCTTAAAGAATGTGCTGAAGCTGGACAAATCCTCATCCATCCAGTTCACTGAGCTCCATCAGTCCGAGCCCTTTCATCTTCACAGAGGTGCTGAGGTCAACACAGAGCGCTCTGCTCAGCCTAATGAATCTCTATGGAAACACTTGAGTTCTCCACACTTCACTACTGCATCTATTGTTATAGCTGACATGAAGAGAATGACCATGAATGGACATTCAGTCAAAAAATGCATTCAGTGAAAAAAAAACTGCTGCTTCATACTGAATGACTCCTGAATTAAAAAGTCACAACTAGTGTAAACTAACATGGACATAGACGACGAAAAATATGATTTCAGTTTCTGAATTTCTATCTTGATTTTTTCAAATAGAATTATCTTGTGGCCTCCTTGGACGTTTGCCTGGTTGAGAACCACAGGTCTAAGAGACGACATCCCGAGCTCATATCATTTTTGTGGTTGTTAAGTACTTCATTTTCTTACTCAGATTTCTTCTCATAGGTTTTGGTAGATTCCTCTATTTTGTTCTCCAGGTCCAGCATGAGTTCCTCTTTGCTGCGCAGACTTTGCTGGGTCACGAGCAGCTCCTCTGAGGTTGACTTCAGCCTGAGATCAGTCAAACACACACCTTTACCATTTTAACTGCCATATCGGGTCTACCACTTATGACTGGTAGCATAAAAAATAGCTGTTGTTACAGAACATTAGAGACTGTGGAAATAGCTAAAACTCATCAATGTTCAACTAACGCTACCAAGCAATTATGCAAATTTGTATTAATATGTGATCTATCTTAACTCACATGGCTTGTAAACTCTCTGCCGTCAAATTATTCCACAGAATCTCATTTGCTTGAAGATTCTCTGTTTCGTCTAACAGCGTTGCATCAAATTCTACATTTGGTTCTTTGTCTTCTGGTGATCTGTTGAAATAGAAATTATTGGACACATTTCTGACAAAAATATTTAAATGCTAAAAATATACAGTCTATTATTTAAAAATACAAACTACATATTTTTTAAAACCTTAATAGAATTATAAATAGCACTTTACAATAAGGTCTCATTTCTTCTCATAGTTCATGCATCAACTAACATGAACTAACAATGAGCAATATATTTGTTACAGTATTTATTAATCTTTCTTAATGTTACTCTAAAAATGCAGCTGTTCATTGTTTGTTCATGTTAGTTCACAGCTCATGTTACCAAATACCACTTTTGATTTTGATGTGCAAGTTATGTTGAAATTAACATTAACTAAGATGCTGTTGAATTTTTGTTCATTGTTAGTTTGTGTTAACTAATGTAATTAATTAATGATAACAAATTGAACCTTATTGTAAAGTGTTAACAAATTATTCACTCCTTTAAAACATTGTAATCAATTTGAATTTTTTTCCCACAAGTGCCTTACTTATAAACTTCGATGAAGTTGTCATACTCTGACAGTGGATCGATTTGGTCGATGGAAGTGTGTATTTCTTTGTGGACCTTCACTATTTCATCTGTTAATAGGCTGGTGATTTCACTGTACTCCTCCAGAATCCCCTTACTAGAACAGTAAAAATTAAAATCAATGTTAGAACATTTATGAATGTGCCATTTCATTAAGATGAGAAACTATTTAAATTGTAGTCATACTTAAATTCATACGGGTATGAATTTCTTTCTTCGGCTGAACACAAAAGAAGATATTTTGAAGAATGTCAGAAACCAAACAGCTGATGAACCCCATTGACTTCCATTGTATTTTTTCCCCATTCTATGGAAGTCAATGGGGTTCATCAACTGTTTGGTTTCCGACATTCTTCAAAATATATTCCTTTGTGTTCAGTAGAAGAAAGAAATTCATTCAGGTTTGGAACAACTTGAGGGGTAAGTAAATGATAAAATGGATCTTTAATCCCTTTAAGGTTAGAGATTTGAACAAATCTATTATATATCTGATTAGGTAAACTAAAATCTTCTATTTATATATATTTTTTAAATCAGTCAGTCAGTGGATCTGAACATAAAACGTTCCCCCTGAATTCATGGCTTGTTTGACCCACACTGAATGGTCATATATAAATCAGTGGTGCGTTTTCTAAATCAATCCCAGAAGGCTCTTGCAATTGTTTCCTTCGTATGGATTAACCTCCACATCAGATTACTGCAAACTGTGATTAAAAAACAGCTTAGGAGAGGGAAAAACCCAAAGAGACTTCTGTTCTCTGCTAATCCTCTGACAGCTATGAGATATTGGATTGAGGCTACAGCATGCAGTAAGGGTTCTGGTGGAGCTGAACTGGTTGCAAAAGGTCTATAACAAAAGATTTAAATACACGTGGCAGTCCAAGCATTCACAACAACCAGACTCAGTACAGTGGGAGGACTACACCGCCCTCCACAGTTGAACGGGAAGCGCTATTCTCACTTCAATGCTGAAAATGTATTTCTATAGCCTGGCAAGCCAGACCTACATCAAGATGTTAGGTCTGGGAACTCACAATTGGCATACCTCAATCCGAGGGGCGGATTAAACGGTTTTCTTTCAATATCCCTCGGCACGCAATAGGATAGCGCTACAACCAACCAGAGCAACGAACGGCTGTGGAGTGAGTCCCATGCGTTTTTCAACCAGTGAACCAGCTAGTTGATATATTAAACTTTTGCCGTATCCGGTTGTCAAAACTCTGAACACATCTTCCTTTTTTAGGAATGACTTAACCCTCTGGGGACTAAGTCCTTTTTGGTCCGTTTTCTCTATTTTTACATTTGGGCTTATAAACCATATGTAATGGAGATGGATCACTATGTGTTTGGTATCTATGGATTCAGAAGACCCTAAGATAACATAAGCATGCATGTAATGTGTTTATAAAGGAAGTATGAGTGAAAAATGTACTATAAACTAGAGAATTTCAAAAACGGAAATTAGATTTTTCTCATTTATTTCTGAAAATCACACATCACACAAAAATAGTGAACAGTTTTTGAACAAAAAATATATTTGTCAAAGCCTTTGCTTGACAGACATGTGTAATTGTTAAATAAAATGTGTAAAGAACAATGAAAAATGTAACTTTATTTACAAATAGTCCCAGGCGTTTTTCTTAGGAATGCTTAGAATTTTCTAAGCAATGCTTTCTCCTCGTCACTCTCCAGTAATTGTTGCAGAGCTTGTTCCACCGTAAATCGTTTACTGCTTGCCATCATAAAAGTGCTAAAACAATAAATAATGCTATAATTGTATGTATGTGTATATAAATATATATATTATAATTGTTCTGTCTCTCTCTCTCTCATATAAATCTCTGATAATCCGCTCCGTAAGCCTCCGTTCGCTCTCTCTCCTTCTCCCATTCAACGCTGTTTGCGTCATATCCCTAACTATATAGTAGCCTACCACCCCTTGCAAAGCTACAGAGTCCTCTAATTTGCTAGAAAGGTCATGGTAACCTTCCTCTGATTGGGTAAGAAAAATATTTCTCCATCGGCAATTTTTCAATTGGTTGTTGTTCGCGGAATCTGCCAAACAACATCGATTTCATTGGCCTTTTACATAGTGGTATTGCGCTACAAGGAAGTGTGTATATTTACAAAGCCGGGCATCACTGTTTTCAGCGGAATCTGAGGAAGACGGTAAAAAAGACCGCAGCTCTCTATCAATAATAGTTTTTAAGATAATTACACATTTGTAAAAGTATGCCATTTTTGGCGGTACCGCCCAATCCGTCCCCAGAGGGTTAAGTGACGTTCTCTTAACTCCAAGTCCTCCAGAGTCGCCGCCAAAGCCGATTCGAAAGACCGCTGTTCGCCAGCAGCATCTTCTTTGTTTTCAAGCAGAGGGAAATCACCTATGGAAATCACGCGGAACCGTCATAACTCTGCCGTCATTATGTTAAGCCCGCCCACCAACTCTATACACGATCTGATTGGCCGGACCAGTTTTTGTTTTTTCCAGCTCAAAAGTCTATGGAGAGTTGCTAGACCACACTTTGCTGCAAAATAATTGTTGCTGCCGCTAGGCTGCGTCTAGATTTCTAGGCTAGTATTTCTACATATGAAATGAAAAACTCATTTAAAGGGATACTCCACCCAAAAATGAATTCTCACCATTGACTTCCATAGTATTTTTTTTTTTCTACTATGGAAGTCAATGGTGCCAAAGTTCCAATCGTTCTTCAAAATATCTTCCTTTGTGTTCAGCAGAAGAAAGAAACTCATACAGGTTTGCAACAACTTGAGGGTGAGTAAATGACAGAATTTTCATTTTTGGGTGGAGTATCCCTTTAACTACAGATACAACCGACTTAAAATCTAAAAATGTATATTGTTATTAAATTGTTTAATCCTCATATTTTTTTTTAAGAAATGACCTTTTATTCAGCAAAAACACATTCAACTGATCAAACACGGCAGATCATTTATAATGATACCAATAATCTCCATTTAAAAAATGCTGTTCTTTTAATCTTTCAATTCATCAAAGAATCCTGGGAAAAAAAGTGAATCAGTTTCCACAAATAAAGCATCAGAACGGTTTTTAACGTTGATAATAATAAGAAATCTTTCTTGAGCTCTAAATCAGCATATTGATGAATGATTTATGAAGGATCATGTGACTCTGAAGACTGGAGTATTAGGTAGTAATTCAGCTTTGTCATCACAGGAATAAATTACATTTTAAAATATAATAAAATAGAAACAAATATTACTGTTTTTACTGTATTCTGATCAAATAAATGAAGCCTTGAAAAGCAGAAAAGACTCTAAAAAAGATTAAAAAGTGGGGGTGTAACAATATATCGTGTCACATTATATCGCAATACAAAAATCCATCAATATGTATTGTGGATAATTCACCCAAAATTAAAATTTCTGTGTGAGAAAAAAATTCAAGTTTACAGAGTTTTAGTGTCAGAACTACATTAAACTACTATATATAATGTTGAATATAATGTATAATAATGCAATGGGGGGATATTTGTGGGTCCTGATAATGCCAAATGTCATTAATTTAAATATATCTAGCCAGTGACAGAGTGCAAGCATGTTCGTCTAAAATTATTCTGTATTTTCAGCTTCAGAATCATCAATATTTTTTATTCTGGTGTCACCATTGTCCTGTGCATTGGGTTACCTGCACTAAGTCCAGGCCTATTCATTTAAAACCCCCAATGTAAAACCAAATTTAGCATTTTATTCAACAGTACATTTTTGTTAACCTTTTACCATTTGTCTTGGAGTATTGCAATAATATCGTATTGTGAGCTCAGTATTGTGATATGTATCGAATCATGACACGAGGGTATCGTTACACCATTTTTTTTAGTTCTAGATGGAAATGGCTAAAATTTAAGTTCCTTCCTTCACCTAGAAAAGTAGCTAGTTCTACCTCAAAAGGACCATTTAGACAAACTCACAGTTCAGTGACAATATAAGGTGCTTTGGAGTTTTACTTTTGAATCCTCTGGTATTTATAGGCTTCAATTTTAAGAAGTATTTTTAGGGGCCAAGCACCAAAGGTGTGTAGGCACTTAATCGTTCGTAGTGTTCTTCTGTCCCTCTATGGCAGCCAATAGAATCATGGTAAAAGTTGTGAAATTTGGCACACAGATAGAGGACAGTTTGAACATTAAACACAGCGATTTTGGAGTCCTATAACTCAATCCCTCTAGTGCCACCAACTGTCCAAAGTTGCACACGTTTATGCTAATTCTTTTATTCCTCTGATTCCTTGACTCAATGTGAACAAAATGAAAAGTGTCCCCGCCATTTTGAATTCTCCTAAAAACGTACTTTTTCGAACTCCAAGACCGTTGCTCAGATTTTCACAAAAATCTACCAGATCTTCAGACCATGCCAACAAAAAAACATGGGAAAACATGGAAAAAACACAGTTCTCAGAATAACTTGCAAATGCATTCTCCAAAGATCACGCAAAAGTGGATGTGAGGCTATATCTCTGAAACGCTTAACTGTAGTCAGACCAAACTTGAGCTGAATCCAAAATCACCCCCTTAAATAACGTCCACTATGGTTTCAGACACCACAACAAATGGCTGTCCCTGCACAGTTTTGGCACAGTGACACCTAGTGGTTAGGAGATATAAAAAATTGCTATTTTTGCTTACAACTTCTGAACAATCCAGCCAAAAATCACAAGACTGGTCCCTTTAGATTTGGAGCGGCATACCAAGTTATCCAATTTTCCCATGTCGGCTATTTTGAATTTTGTTGTGAAATGTTATATTTTACTGACTCATTGCCATATCGTTTCAAAACTCGCTATTTGTCTTCGAAACGATGCCCTGGAGGTACTCAAAAAGTTTCAGGGCAGTGTCATCTTGTGGTCAAAAATTGTAATGAATTTATTATGAAATTAAAAAAACACTAATAGCTTTTGATTAGTTTAGCCTATTGTCATGAGACTGGTCTTGATAGATCCCTTGGATCATAGCAAAAAAATCAATACCAATTCCAAAATCATTATGTTTCTGTTTTTTGTCTACTTTTTCTAATTGTTCCTCAACTGTTGATCCAATTTTCAACAAATTTGACTATGCTGGCAAAAAAATACATTTATGCATTTAGCAGATGCTCTTATCCAAATCGACTTGCATTGCATTTAAAGTCCCACTCCGATCATATTTTGAGCTATTTGTAAACATTCCCAGTGGTCTTTAAATTATGATTATGCCATTTTTAGCCAAACTCACAAAACCTGTGCCGTTTTCTGGGACTTTGCTTCAGCAGAGCGGCAGTAGCTCATTAGCAATTCGCCTCTGCGTTGTGGGCGGAGCCGTTGGCACGGAGATGACCCTCCCCGTTGCTGAGAGCTCTGTCTCTCCCGCTAGCTTACACCCCCAACCTGTCATTACCGGTGCAACAAAAATTGAGAGAGCAATATTGGAGCTATCCAGCCGTACAGTGCGTTTTCGTTTTAAAACGCATAACTTTTGCAACGATTATGCGCTCCTGCCGTCCACATTACTGACCCTCGGCCTCGAAAACGGAGACTGACCCCTTCAGTCGAGTCCGATGCAAGACACGCAAGTGACGCAACCCATAGCAACGAGTCATGGCAACGACAGCTCAAACCGACAGAAACATACAAGTAAACGTGAATTTTGTCACATTGTCATGTTAATTATAATCAAATGGATTTTGTTTTATTGAAAACAATATTATCATTGATATTTGTTTGAGAGGGGCACTTTCGATTAATTTTAACAAGCTTGTGGCCCCGCCCAGTGGAGTTACTACGTCACAACTCCAGTCTATTTTAAACGGCATTTTAGCGTCTGCTACTGATTCACAGCCATTTGAATGTAGAAATACTCAGAAATACAACTTTGAGCTTATTTTTCTCAAGATATGTCCTCTAACATAAGAAAAATGCCACAAGAACATGTTAACACCTAGAAAAACATTATTTTCATCGGAGTGGGTCTTTAAGGGATATATTTTATCAGTTCGTTCATTCCCTGGGAATTGAACAATTGACCTGGTCCTTGTAATTGCTAGCACCATGCTCTACTGTTTGACCTACAGGAATAACTAGAAGAGGAAATAAACCAGAAGTGTAATCTGGTCCACTCACAGTGCATTGATCATCTCCTCCTGCATCTTCTGCAGGGAGTCCAGCAGCAGAGGCAGTGCAGTCTCATGGTGGTGCTCCTGATGTAGCTGCGCGCTTTTCACTGCCAGCACGTACTGGTTGTGCAGGTTATGCAGCTTCATGGTGGCTTTGTCATAGCGCTCACGGGCTTTCTCGGTCTCTTTGCCTGCAGAGGAGATGAAAGCAATTGTGGCGGTGAGATGAAAGTCAAAGTCCTCTGAAGGCTAATGTTGTGTTGTGTAAGCCTTTGAAAACTGCAGATTTGTTATATGAGAAGTTGTAAGTAGTGGTCAACCGAAACTGGTATTTACTGTTTGTTTATACTAAGTTTAATTTTTTTAAAACTCTTCACATTGTTCTCCTATCCAACATTCAGCTAGGTACAGCAGTGAATTCCACATTCAAACTACCAAAACACTTTATGTGTTTCACTTCAAACAAAATCAAGATGTAAACTGAGATTATATTTCTTATTTAATTAATTCCCTCAACAACTGTATTTAAGAACCAGGTTTCCTAATGTCTTGGAAAACCTAGATAATATGAGGGAATTACAAAGGTGTGATTTCTAGACCTGGAAAATTCAACTAAATCTTAAAAGGTCATGGGGATTTTTTTTCTAGTTATGTCAAACCACTTTAACCACTGCAGGGTCAATCTTTGTTGTCAAGCTCTAAAATTATGTTGGATAGAAATTAGTTTTTGAAAGAAAAAAAACGTAATCACAAATGACTACTACAGTCTAGTAAATTAATTGTTGTAAAAATGTAAAGCCTGAATAACATTCAGATATGGAATCTTCTTTAATTATAGAATTTAATTATTAAAAAAAAAATATATATATATATATATATATATATATATATTTTTTTTTTTTCATAAATTGCCAGCCATAGTTTCCGTAAATAAAGTTTAAAAATGACAATTTCAGCAGAAGTACCAGATATATATTGGGTAATCATTAAATATTGTACAGAAGAAAGTCTTTGGACCGACATGAAGGCGAGTAACTGGAGACCAAAATTAGACAGTCAAACCTACATTGCACATCACATTGCACATCACAGTAATAGTTCTCCGTTCATCAGACAAACCTGATAAATTACTCAAGATTCAGTAAGAGAGTTATTGGAGAACTCCATAATAACGGCTGAGTGATTCACTGAGTGAGCGAGTCTGAGGGACTTGAGCACTTGTATATTGTATTCAAATAGGTATGAATTCCACAAGCATGTGTAGACCTTTTGATTAGCCGATGGGACACTGTTACGTTATGTGTATTTTTCCTTGTGTATTTATAATATCTGTGTATGCTTTTTGATGTTTTCTTTGAGTTTCAGATCATCGCTGATTTGCTAACAGTGCTGTCGCCTGCTAGCGGTAATTGGATGATCAAGCTGGCGGTCCTTTTAAGAAGAACTCCTCTTCCGCTTGACAGAGGGAACTGTTGCGGCTTCGGGTCGGTCGCAATGGCTCAGATTTCCTGCCAGCCGCCAGACCAAAATATTATTTCCGTGTTCCTTTTGGTTGTGTGTTTTATTTAGAATGTGGTAATGTATGAGAGACCTGCTCTTTTGTTTGGAACTTATTTATTCTATGTTTTTGATGAGTAGTTAGATAAGCTTTATTGTAATTCATTTTCTCTTTCTTTGTGTTAGGTTAATTTCGTTGCTGTTTAATTTCGTTAGATTGGGTTTTGTTTGTTATTTTGGGCCTTGGGTCTCTCTGACGAGAATACCACTCTATTGATTTATTTCTCTATTCGTTTTTGTTAATGAATTCTACTTTATTGTTATATCATTTTCGTTTGGGCCATGGGTCCTTCTAACGAATCCTAACTGATTTATTGTTATTTACTTTTGTGATTCACAATAAATTTATATTATAATTTATTGTATTCGCCTTCTTTGGTATTCGCCATTCAGTTCTTTTGATCTGACGCCCAGCTGGAAGCCTGTCGTACCTTTTTTGTGTGTGTGTGTAAAATTTTAAACCCTCATTCTGACCCTCTTTTGAAAACATTATCCATGTAAAACCATTATTTACAGACAAAGCATTATGAAATATGTTTACTTACACTTTGCTGTCAGATCCAATAAGGTCGCCAGCTTAATTTTTCAACAGAAGCTTTTTTGAAAACTCTCCATTACACTGAGCCTTGATTATAAAGCAATCTGCAGTCAAATGCTCCAAACAAACATATAATAATCCGACTCAATCGTGGGCTTCATTAAGCAAACCATTCACTTGTTCCTGATGCTGGGAGCCTTCTCTCAAACGAGCTGTTTAAACAGGACGCGTCAAAGCCAACGTTCTTTTACTCTTCCAATTGTCCTCATTGGCTTTTGAAGAGACAGGTGTCAGACGTTAAGCGACTCTACGCCAGTGGGCGGGGCCTATGGTGTGATGTATAACGATTCGTCTTGCTCAAGAGGCAGTCATTTGCTGGTGTATTCACATCTTGCTTTCTACATCAGATCCCACCAAATCCAAAGAGACACATTTTGGAGCTTGGTTACATAAATGTTTATAATGAGGAGGATGCTTTAAGATATGAAACTTGCAGTGTTTTAATGGTACAAAGACCTCTTACATGTCAAAAGATCAAGGAAAAATGGATTTCTCACGTCATGACCCATTTGAGGGCACTGAGCTTTGGCATTTATCAGACTTGGGACAGTCTAACACATTTACTGTCGTGTATGCACTCTCAAGTGCAAGTGTGGGTATTGGGACAGGCCCTCACTTAAACTGTTCATGCACTTGACAGACTCATTAAAACAGGTTCATAACAGAGTCATTTTGTTGTGAATTGGACATAATCGGTTTATTATTTGAGAGAACAAAGAATAAACAAACACCTTACCTTTTACAATGGCCTCCTTATATTTGTCTCTTGCCAAAACAGCATCCTTAGTTAACTGCCTGTAGGTGCATTTCAACTTCTCAAGATCACCTTTGGTTACCTGTGGGGGACAGAACCCAAGTAAAAAAAACTGTTCCATCAAACTGATATGCTCCCTGAAACGGCAGTGGTGATCTATACAAAGTAGTGTTGTCACGATACTAGAATTTCTAACTTCGATACGATACTTTAAAATATATCGATATTCGATACCATTTTCGATACCACAGAGAAAAAAAAACTGCCACAATATTAAGGGGGTATTTTTATTTATTTAAAGCTAAATATAACAAGTCTAGAACATGACAATGAGGTATATTTTACGAACAAAAATGTCCTGAGTTCTATTTGTTAATATTTTTTAATTGGACCAGAGCAAACATGATTACCTACTGTTATCAAAGATTAAAATATACCAGTGTTTCCCCTACCATTGTTAAAATGACCCCCCGCCCCCCCTAAAATGCTGACGAAATCCAGTCATAAAAAAGGAATTTTACGGAGCCCGGGAAGTCACCTGTGGAAAAAAAAAAAAAAAATCCGTGGCGACGGTTTTGCAATCCGTCCCCTCAGTTTATAAACTGTACTCACGAATTCTTAAACTGTTCTCTCGGTTTAACAATTCGTGCCCACGGATTAATAAACCGTACCCACGAGTTCCTAATCCGTGCTCTCAGATTTGTAAACCGTGCCTTCAGTTTTTGCAATCTGTACCCACAAATTCGTAAACCGTGCCCACGCTTTCGCAATCCGTACTCACGGATTTGTGGCCCCTCCCCCAGTCTGTGGCGCATGCTTCAACCAGGCCTCCTGTTTAGGTGCGAGATGTATTCCATTGTTTAAACCTCATTTTTTTAAATGGATAATTCCTTGGATTTTCTACAAAAAACTACATTTAGGCTACTTGTATCTTTAAAGTCCATTTTTGGGAGGAAAAAGCTCCGTATAGAATAAGCAAAAAAAGACTTAACATATAAAAAAAGAAATATTACACAAACACTTTTCCAAAACTGTAAAGGGTTAGGTTATATAAAAATAAAACATTCATAAATGATTTTATGATAAACATATTACTGTCTTTAGTGAACTCATTTATAGTAATAAACGCAAATAACAATAATTATCATTATTTTTTATTACATTTAGGCTACAGGCCTATTTAGAAGACGCTTTTTTTTTTTTCTAAGTATTTTTCCATATTAATTTGCGAATATTTTAAATGTTTGATAAAGGGGCAAAAAGTCATAAACAAAAAACTGAAAATACGTCAATGTAATTAATTTTTTTGCGCACAAACACTTGGATATGCGTCAAAATCTTGTGTTTATTTGTGACAATCTAAGCCCTGTTTTATTATTGTCTAACTTGTATTATGACTGACATTTGACGAATTGCTTTGTTCTTTTTTTTGGGGGGGGGGGGGGAGGATAAAAGCATCTTCTAAATAGGCCTATGTAGCCTAAATGTAATAAAAAATAATGATAATTATTATTATTTGCGTTTATTACTATAAATGAGTTCACTAAAGACAGTAATATGTTTATCATAAAATCATTTATGAATGTTTTATTTTTATATAACCTAACCTTTTACAGTTTTGGAAATGTGTTTGTGTAATATTTCTTTTTTTATATGTTAAGTCTTTTTTTGCTTATTCTATACGGAGCTTTTTCCTCCCAAAAATGGACTTTAAAGATACAAGTAGCCTAAATGTAGTTTTTTGTAGAAAATCCAAGGAATTATCCATTTAAAAAAATGAGGTTTAAACAATGGAATACATCTCGCACCTAAACAGGAGGCCTGGTTGAAGCATGCGCCACAGACTGGGGGAGGGGCCACAAATCCGTGAGTACGGATTGCGAAAGCGTGGGCACGGTTTATGAATTTGTGGGTACAGATTGCAAAAACTGAAGGCACTGTTTACAAATCTGAGAGCACGGATTAGGAACTCGTGGGTACGGTTTATTAATCCGTGGGCACGAATTGTTAAACCGAGGGAACAGTTTAAGAATTCGTGAGTACAGTTTATAAACTGAGGGGACGGATTGCAGAACCGTCGCCACGGATTGTTTTTTTTTTCCCCACAGGTGACTTCCCGGGCTCCGTAGAATTTAGTGTATAACGCGGAATTTCACGGAATTTGTAAATTTGAGGAAAAAATAGAAAGCAGTTCAGTACACTTGAAATCAAATCGCGATGTAGACTAGTGTGTGTGAATATTAAAACACAAAGACTATTTAAATACGAATCCTGCATGTTCTGTGTGAATGAATGGTGCCGCCGACGCGCAGTTTCATTTACCACACACACACACACACTCACACACTGAAGCACGTGTGACGCTTGCGCTGTTTTTTGGCCTATATGAAGACACAAATGCATGAACTTCCTCTCCAGGCTCTAGATCCACTCCGAAAGTCACTTCGTGATCATTTCACCGCTTCATTTGAGAAAAACTATCATCATGACATAAACACACAGGAACTCAAAAGGTCTTCACGGCAACCCGTCAAAATAAAAGTTCGGTTTAACTTGACAGAAATATATTACTGTTGTACATTAGAATTTAGATATGTCCCAATTAGGGGTGTAACGGTACATGTATTCGTATTGAACCGTTTCGGTTCGAGGCTTCCGGTTCGGTACGCATACAAACCGAACGATTCCTTGGACCATTTTTCTTGCCGACAAAATTTGCGCTGGCGCGATCACCACAACGTTACGCAACATCAAATGGCAAACGTAATGAAAGCGGAACGAAACTGCGCTACTCATTATATTGTGCTTCACGGATCATTTGACCAGCAACATCTGTGCAGCGCGAGCCGATCTCGATCAAGCGACACTGTTACAACACAGCGCTAAGAGATCCAGTAAAGAAAACATTTGAATTCACCACTGAAGTAATAACATCGCTGCGAGATCTAGTGAGAAGCATTCACATTTCTCCGTTATTAACCGTAGTTCTCTATTAGATCAAACAGCGCTGACGTGGAAACCAGGAGAAACATTGTGCCGTGAATGAAGTAGTAATACTTTACGTCCACAGACCAGCAACATTCACCATGGATTTAATATAGTAGGCTAACACTAACTGTAACCAGTTTGGCTGGAATAGTGAACTGCTTTCAAGTACTTCACACATCTTTTTCCAGCTCTTCAAAACTCAAATAATATATAAATAAATATATATATATTTAAATGTTATTTTTAATGTGATGATTTTTTGACACATTATTTGTTCATCCTTCAAAGATGACCCCCATTTATAAACCTGAAAGTTTCAAGATGTAGGAAAACTCAGTTATTTAAAAATATTTTTTCTTTTAACAAATAAGAAATTTCTCTGGCATTTCTTTCTTTTTGCTGTATCGAAAACGTACCGAACCGTGACTTTAAAACCGAGGTACGTACCGAACCGTGATTTTTGTGTACCGTTACACCCCTAGTCCCAATGTAATAACACACTAACACTAATCCAAATAAATTATCATCAAAACTGAAATTTTTAAGGAATAATCCATGTTTTAATTTTAACAGTAAAGCTCATTGTGCAGCAAGTTATTTGACAAAAAGTTTATTTAATTTCATGATTAAAATTGATGATAAATGATAAAATGTGTGTTTTATGCCTTATTACCAGAAAAAAACACAACACAGAATTATTGTGAATTTTTTTTTCATATATAAAAAAAAAAAAAATTTGTATAAGTTTAATGATTCATAATACGTGATTTCAATTAATTAGACATGCTTTTTGATTGCAAAAAAGTTTTCACCACGTATCCGTAACACGCCCGCTCCGCAACACTAGCAGTCCCAAACACCCCTGAAAAAAAATCCTAGGGGAAACACTGTATACTGTAACAAAAAAGCACTTAACAGTATCAAATTGGAGGACAGAGTGTCAATAATGTATAATAATAAGATTAAACATGAAGGCATTTCATTATTAAATTCAGAGATGCCATTGTCTAGCTGTTAAGTTTAATTAGTATCTGTTTAATTGATGATAATCGCTAATGAAGGCAAATTGCAGAATTAAATAATAATTTTTGAATAAAGTTAAATAAGCACAAGTTAATTTACATTTGACCACAGTTACAATATTTACTTGTCTAAGATTGCTCAGTCAGATTATGTTAACTTTAAGAAAACAGTGAAAAAACATATCAACAACAATACTAGGCCATCTTGGTTAATGTTTCATAAAAGTTCAAATGAGAAGAGTTACAGTGTTTCCTTTAGGATTTTTTTTTGGCAGTGGGGGCAGGTCTGTCCAAACAACAAACACCCCTGATGCTGAGCATATATGCTGCTAAATGGTACCCCTGGAGCCTGTTCCTTAAGTCTGTTTTCACCTATAAAATAATTGTAAAAAATGAGTGATGTTAGGGATTATTGATAGTCAAACAATCTTTTGGGTGCCCGCAGCACGCTCACAGTGCATTCTCCGACATGCCCGATCGCGGTGTTCTTTATCAATCAACCAAAGCCGGTCGCGGGGGCACCGCCCTCGCCATCTTTCCATTCACTTCACTTTTGCTATTTAACCAGAGCGAATGAGACGAGTGCGTCACGTGTGGTGTCACCGTTCAGATATTTCAATTTTTGACAACACTAATACAAAGGCTCACCTTGTTCATTTCAGACTCGATCTGCTGGTGGAGGCTTTGGTAACTCTTCTTCACTTGCTGCTTGTCTTTGATCATCATGGTGAGGCGGTGGAGAGGCCCCGAGTTGAGCTCCTCAGCGTGACACTTCATAATCTTGCTCAACTGCTCTGTCTGCTGCACCATGTGAGTCCATGACTGATAACAATAACCACATGATGATACACAGCGATAGAATAAGAAAGTATGTGTGTGGGTGAATGAATGTGAGAAACAAACAAAGAGATAAAGAGATTGAGATGACAAGACAAAAAAACAGAGAGAGGATGTTGCAGGCACTGAGCATATCATAAGCATCAGCTACCCATAATGCAGCGGAGAGGACCAGAAGGCCGTTACCTTGGAGACATTGCTGACATAGTTGATCTGAGAAGAGTTGTCATGCTTGTCCACCTGCTGGCTGATGTTGAGCAGGAGCGATGCATATTCCTTGTCGCTCTTCACCCGTAAGGTCATGAAGCGCTTCACCGTCTCCAGCAGCTTCAGCTCCCAGTCCTGCAGCTTCATCAGACCCTCGTGGGAGTTGCGCAGGTCCTGGCCAAACCCCATCTTACTCGCAAGGCACGCTGTGTCTCTCTCTCTCTCTCTCTCTCACTCAATGAGGTGTGCCTCTCAGGTCTGCATTGTTACTGCTGCTGCTGAGAGAGGGTATGGGTAGAAATAATGACTGGTTAGTTGAAGGGCATGAACATATGTGCCGAGTTGTACTCTTTGTATTCATGCTTGTTTCAAATGGTTTTGATCAACTTTTTACCATTTTTAATAAAAGTTTAAACGTATTATTACCTAATGATGCTAAAATGTAATGTGGCAAGCAGTGCGGGGCCGAGAGCCGCGGGAATGGAGCGAGGACGGTGGCGCAATTGCTAAAGAGCGTCACCTGCGCGCCACACCAGTCTCGAGTCTCACGGAAGGAGGTCCGGAAGGATAAAAGGAGGAGTGACGGTCACACCATGTTGGTCACACCACATGACTTTGATATGGTAGACATTTTGTTTGAAATAAATACATTTATTATAATAAATAAATACAAATGATAATGCCAAACTTCTTAAATAAATATAATTATAATATTTATATAATAAATATAATTATAGTAAATAAATAAATTGGTAACGCAATAAAGCTTTATCAAATAAATAAATAAATAAAGCAAGCCAAACAACTTTTCTTCTCTTTTCAAAAGAGGCTTTTATCCATAATGATATTAGGACAGTTGTTTCAGGGTCAATTACATGACTCTCACATTTGTTCAGATGTATTCATTTATTCATAAATAGGCCTACATTAAAATGCTATTCATGTAAAAAAAAACAACGTGAAACAACGCAAGTGAGACTGGAATTACTGACGACAGTTCAGAAGCAGTTGTTTCTTTTGGGAGACAATAACTTTATTTGTCGTCCACTTTGATCTTTAAAACTTTGCAGACATTTTACATTCACAAACAGCTATATAACACACTGAATTAAAGGTAATATCCGAAAAAGCACAATAGGGGCACTTTAAAGTAACACTATGTAGTTTTTCAACCTTCATAATATATGTCCAAGACCCTTGTGATGGTACATCGACTTAAAATAAGTTAAATGACACGTCTGCCATAGCCTGACGTGGTCTGTATCGCTTTTACTGGCACTATGTAACTTCGGGTTTCGGGTAGGAACCCGTGCACAAAAAGAACTACAAAAATCGACTGCTTTACGGCATACGTCACTTCCCCCACCACTTCCTCAAATTGTCTGTGGCCATTGCAGACATCCCAAGTCTCCCGGGAGTCTCCTGCGTCTCCCTGATGCCCGCAAATTAGTTCAGATCTGCCGGAATCTAGAGCGCGCATGCGAGACAGAACATACTGCGCGCATAACATACATAGCGCGAGCACGGCAGAGAGAGAGAGAGCGAGAGACCTTGCGAGTGTGCCTCACGAAAGTTTATCGGGTGAGAGTTACTTTTGGTTTCCAGTGAAGGATCCAGTGCGTTGTAGACTTAAGGCTGCAAAGAATCGTAAATGAGAGAACACTGTGACTAACTCTACTGTGACTAATCATCTTTCATTCACTCTATATCTTTGCATGCCAATAAAGAGACATTACAAGCAAGTTCAATATCTTATTATCGAGAGAAGGTGAGACTGATTTCTGGCAGATAAAATGGTAACGCTTTACAATAATCTTCCGTAATTTGTGAAATACAACCGAGTGTAACAGATTATCGAAAAAAAAATTATTGGTTTTATGCATCAGTTGTTAACTTGATTTTGAGATATGGGCGTTGCACTAAAAAGTAGAGGTAGATGAACGTGAGCTTGTAGGGGCGGGGTTTAAATGGACTAAATGATTGGAGAAGACCATGTGTCACCAGAGAGAAGTCTGACGGTTTCACTGGAAGGTCCAGTAATAGGCAGTGGCTAAAGGCTGCAAAGAATCATAAATATATGGAGAGAATGCAGAGACAAAAAAAATAGTTTATAGTTGCCATTTCAAACTGGATGACTACGAACACAGTGTTTTATACCAAACAGAGAGGGAGAAACCTTAAAGTTAATTAGGAAGAAGAGGAATGGGGAGCACCTTCTCCCCAACCCCCCAAAGCAAAATGCCATCGTGTGCCAGTAAGAAGGGTGTTGCCATAGTATTTTTTTTACCAAAATGCTGTTTAAAGAGTAGACAAAGAAAGTGCACTACAATTTTCAGTGATAAACCTACTCATAAAATAACAGTTTTTAAATAACCCTCTGTCGATCAGACTGTCTCCGGGCAGGAATACATGAAATGTGGAAATACAATCTGTAGTTTTCACAAAAGCCCTAGAGCTAATAAAACACTTGGTTTTCGTGAAAACTACAGTTTGCCCTTCCGCATTTTTGAAACTGCGTCGGAAGTTTCTCAGTCTAGGTGACACATAGAAAGAGTATACATTGTTAATATACATATTCTACCAATATTATAACTAACAATAATGTTAATATACATATTCTACCAATATTATAACTAACAATAATACAAAGCAGGTTTAAATTTTGGCAAACTTACACTTTGCTTAATGGGTAGTTTTACTCTATAGAATCAACCAAATAAACACAAGATGATGTAAGAGGATGTTTCTGTTAAACATATGTTATGTATTTTTTAAGAAATTTCACTTTGCTTAATGGGTAGTTTTACTCTATAGAATCAACCAAATAAACAAGATGATGTAAAATTTGTTTCTGTTAAACATTATGTTATATGTTTTTTTAATAAATTTCTATTTTACCTAATAGTCCACTTCCATTGCCTTCCAGTAGAAAACCACAGACAGCTTTTTACCGAAGAATAAGTAGTTATCCAGTGAGAAAAACTGATTTGTCTGGGAAAAAATATATGCAGAAGACCTAGACGACTGACATGTCACACTCAGGACGTGTTCCTCCAAGAATCACACCAAAAACATGATCTGTTTACACCTCAAAGCCATGACCAGTCTTAAATAACCACGTAACAAAAAGCATCACAAAGCATTCTTACCTTGTTATCAACACGTCTCCATTTCTCTAAATAACCTCACCCAACCAGGGCGTGCAAGAGAAACCGAGCTATATGGCTTAAACCACTGAACATTCATTCCGGGTTTCATAATACAGGTTAATTAAAAGAGAATGTAGTTTATCAAGTGCAAATCAAGCGAAAACAGACTTCCTGTATGACGACTAAAACCCGCATGAGTGGCCTGTCGAGAAAACAGTCAGATCTAATAAAAGTCAATGACTGTTGAAACGAAAGTATAGACAGTAACACAACACCACATTTGACACCTCCAGTTCCTTTCTTAGCAACTAAAATAAGTATGAGATCAACTTCAGCTATTTGTGCCTTTAGGCTAGTGTAACATGTCACAATTAATGACCCTGAGACATAAATGGTGACTGTGTTGGACTGGTTTACAGTAGGGGACTAAAGCAGAAGGTTGTTTAATTAGGCTACTCAGATTAGTAATGTAGTTTAATTCTTCACAAAGCCCTTAATAACCTCCTTATCTAAGAGTACAAACCTTCTGCTCCCCTTCTTCCACCAAAGGGAATAACACTGGGTCACATTTAGCTTATAGAACCACCGATTCATTAAGAAGCTTACAGGAAGGCAGTTTTTTTTGGGGGGGGGGGGGGAGGATGTAAAAGTGATGAAGACAATTGAGTTGTATTGAAAGACTTACGGAAATCATAAAACTGTTCTTATTGAATCAAGCATACTCTTTATCATGAGATATCTTCGTTTGTGAGGGTTAGAGGTAGTGTTCTGGCAATATACTTTTAAAATTACATTATTGCCATCATAAAAAATGAGCAAGTTAAACTTGATTGGGATATTTTTATTCTGCTTAACTACCAAAGTTCACAGTAAATGTACGGTTTGTTTAAATAGTCAACCATTAGACTACAGGAGGTGGGTAAGTTGTGTCAGTAAGCCACAAGAAGAGAACAAAGCAGACAATGTTAATTGAATGTGTTTTCCTGTGAAATGTGGTTTCCTGTGAAAATTACTATTCTGATAAACACTGTCAAAATTACAACTTGTGACGGATATATTGTGTACTTCGCAAGTTCATGTTAAAATTAGGGCTGTCAAAAATAATGTGTTCGTTTCGGCAATTAATATTTTCTGTTTAAAAATATTTAACACAATTAATGCAGCATCCATTTTATCCCTTCCTGAAGTAGCTATGCTAATGTCTACCAAATAGGAAAACTTATAATGCCCTGGGAATGTTGCCGTCCTAGGCCACTTCCACCTGGCTGTCTGCTATGGATACTCTTGAACAGAGTCAAATATTGCTTTAGTAGGAAATACTGCTTAGCAAACTTTTAGTTAATATTGTAGACTTGTATTGTTCCCGGGTGCAAGAATTCAAAGAGTAAACGTGAGAGAGAGAGGATCTAGAGTGTTTGTAGGCAATGGCTAAAAGCTGTAAAGCAACGTAAATATGGAGAACCTTTGTGTTTGTAGTCGACATTTCAAATTGGATGACTACGAACACAGTGTTAACTAGGTTAAATGGAGGGGGAAAACTGAAAAAAACTCCCGTTCCGTCAGCTCCTCCCGAAGCAAAACGCCATAGCGTGCAGGTAAAAGCTGTTTCCATAGTGTTCCATTTTGAACATAATGCTGTTTAAAGAGTGAACATAGTGAGATACTGTTTTCAGTGATAAACCCACCTTTACAATAACTCTATAAGACATTTTGGTTCGAACTAGTGGTCGACCAATATATATCGCCCAGTATTTGGCATTTTTGAATTATCTGCGTTATTATTACAGTAGTTTACTGTCTTTGTTTAGGCTAACAGTTCAGAAAAAGGTTGAATAAAGAAAGCAAATGGTAAATGAAAAGTATTACAGCACTTACATTCTATTATTAATAATAGAAAGGCCACCGCTATAATACTTTCTCATATTCATCCATGTGAATTGGATTCAGAAAGGAGATTTCTGCAGTCACTGGACAAACATGAGTAACAAACTTTAAATTCTTGATTTTAAACTATGCTGCTCTATATCCAGTTGACCACTGTCATATTCACTGTGTAGGCTACCTGTTCTTTATTAGAGAAAATATGATTTCCATTGGACAGACTTACAAGATTTTTTATTTGAGAATTTCTTTATTTGAGAAAAAATACTATAGTACTACAGAATCAAGAAGATGCTCCTTAAAGTATGAATTCGTTTATTTCACAGGTTTCAAGTTTTCTTCATATTGATTCGTTCACAAATGATGTATTTCTAATTTAGTAAATATTATTTAAAATAAATATAAATGGCACTGCAGCATGGGCTATTTACTATCTTTAAAATAAATAATAAATAAATTAACATAAATAGTGTAATATTATATAGAACAGCTTTATATCCCTGCTCTCTGAAATATCGTCATTGGCAATCAAAAAATGTAAAGTCTATTGGTTGACCATTAAAAATGTGCAAACTTGCACGTTGTGCCTACACGCAATGTGAAATATTTTACAATGTGAAACGAAACCTGCAGAGGTAGAAGGAGGGGGTTCGACCAAGCAATCGAACCAAGTCTGAAACCAGCTTAATAAATGAAATCAATACCAAAAACACAGCAATTCCAATTTCAATGACAGCTCAAAAGCAAAAGCCAGGCCCATCTGTGAAAACACATCATAGAGCTGTAAAATAACCAATGTGCTGTATAATCCTCTCTCACCCATAACACAATTAGGCTGGTTAATGCACATCAGTGGGAGTTTAGCTCAACAAGGATTTGCTGTGTGCAACAGAACAGCTCTGTGGGGGCACGACTGCTTGAATAGCACTTCTGAGCAAACTAGCAGAGGAATGTGATGTGAGTCCTTTATTTGAGCGTCTGAAGAACGGGACGTCAAACATAACATGTAAACAAAGTCAGCTTCTTCTGGTGACCGCCATTGCTTTATGTCAACAATAACATAATGGTGAGCAAAGACACATGTGTACTTCAATTGCAATCCAGGTTTAAATGCGCTCTGGATGTTTCTTACCACATGTTTTAATAATTGCTGCCATCTCATCCCAGTGGTTATGACAGTTCTCCCACAGGAAATGAGTAGCATGTTGCTCAAAATCCAAAACACTGTTCAAATCCAAAACATTGTCAATGGCAGAAATGAACTAAAACATACTGAGAATAAGCAAAAGGTCTGAGTTAATTTTCATTTTAGGCATATAGTGGCCACAAAATATATTTGCACACTTGGTTTGTGTCATACATAACTGGATGAATTGCATTATACTGCATATTATGTATTGTAAATAACAAATATCAAACCAAGTGGAATTTATTTTAAATAAAGTCAGCACAAGCACACTTTTTGTTGGACTTTAAATTATGAATGATGGACATGAACGTTTGACAACCGGAAGATGGTTGAATAATATTTGTATTTATGTATATGTATACTATGTACTATGGTGCCACTAATGTTAATGATCATTAAATAAGAGGAAATTCAAAGGATTTTTCCCAATCACTGTTCAATGGGATGACAAATTTCCTTATGCACAAAGCCCTTCTCAGCAATCGTCCACGATGCACATGTGACACAATCTGACATAATAACATTACATACTAATAATGTGCGATTGTTTGAGCCGGTCAGTGTGAATAAACCGCAGTTTGTGTGGTTATCTGCACAGTCCCTGATCGTACCGCTGTTGTCAAAAGTTTAAGGAGGGTAACGGACAACTCTTTCTTTGATTTCAGATATAACACAAACTCACACATCCATAACCACCACAAATAACATTTACTGACAGTTGACAGACTGCAGAACACATTTTATAGGCTTACTGAACATGTTCATTGGCTTTCCTGTGCTGGTGGGACGTTAGCCGCTGCTAGCGCTGCCCTGCTAATGCTGCCTGGCCTTTTCCTTTGGAAAAACAGCAAAGGAATTGAATACAAACGCGCATAACCGAGACTCGCGGCACACCAAACACCGTTTACGTGAGAAAAAAATTGCGTATGTGATAGAATAGTTCATTGGCTTACTGTAATGGTGTATTGTGGTATTTGTCCTTGTTTCCTGATTCCTCGGTATTCCTCTTTTCTTTGACTGGGGTTGGAGGAGTTGAGTTGGGATTCGGGAGGGGTTTCCGCTCACTCCAGTGCTACCACAGGCTTATGACGTTTACCGCACGACCCTCCGAGCCCTGCAACAATGTGTATGTGTCTGTGCGTGTGTGTGGTCAAGAATGAGTATTACTGCATTTACAGAGTATATTTCAAAGTTGAAGACAGACAGGTGTTCATTTGGTCATTGACACGAGGGGTGTGGAGTAGGAGGCTGCAGAACGGCTCTTTTCGAGATACACAACTGCTAAAGTGATTGAATATCTCAGTTTTATACACTTTCGAAACACTTAACTTTAAGAGAGAACCAGTCACTCACTCATACTCAGTGTGTTGAGATTAAATGGATGCTCAGCAGATGTCTGTCTGTCTGGGACACCAAACATCCGTAGTCTGTTTTCAGGGTAATTATAAAAATGTCCATTAGATGGTGCTATTTCGCCTAGATGAACACATTCGTGGACTTGACTTTTTTACACTTACGAAAATGAACCATGGTATTACTACAATTAAAACCATGGTTATTGTAGTTAAACTAGTAGCCACAAATTAACAATGGTAGGCTATTTGTAGAACTGGGGTTATACAAATGGTAATCAAACCGCCAAAAAAACATGGTTTCCTTTTGATTTTGGTCACTTCGACATTGCGCCAGAATCTGACGCTTTGGGGAAACATCTTTCAGAGAGAAATACTGAAACCTCATTGAATAACGCTGTTGTTCTACAATGGCCAACACTAAATAGGGATGGGCTTGCTCCCTATATAAGGCAGCACTGAGCGACATTGCCTCAGATTCTTACTCTTTCAAGAGAATGCATACAAGAAGCTTCTTTCAATGTTTAGTCAGCCCACAATAGATGACACTTCTGCACCTATCCTCTTCAGCGTTTTGGTGAGTTCTTCAAGAGCTTCCTAGATAACATCAAGAAAGTCTAGCAGCGCATGTGCGGGTCCCATGATCTCCCATCAAGCTCCCTACACATGACACTTGCGTCTTCACGATATAGACAGCGCCCTGTCTCAGAGCGCCGTTCTGTCTTGTACAGACCCTAAATATCTCCAATAGGTTACTTACATTACATAATCAGCCCTCCGCTCTAGCGGCGAGCTGTCATAAACAAAGTAGCCTCAAATTATGGCTTATTACTGTATAAACACTGGCTAAGGCCTGGGACATACTAAACGATTTTCAAATCTTAACAGATTTTAAAACTGTGAGACCGCAGTTCTCAAGGGTAGACCACACACCTATCGATTGTAGTAACATTTCCACAGTGAGACGAGATCTCATGAGACTCGCAAGATCAAACGTGACTTGAGAAGAAAAACAAATGGAGGACAATCAACGTCATCAGCTGGTTCTCCTGGTGTGAGTTTTGTTTTAAGGGAAGAAAAACAAAGGAGAAAAAATAATATAAGTGATCTTCCTTCTTAATACTCCACTTTCTTGACATGTTTGTGCCTGCCAAGTTTCAGCTATACAAGCACGCAACATCCAGTTGGTGAAGCTTGCCTGCTCTCATTGGCTATCGTGGGTATCACGTCAGAGGCCGATACGCCGCTGTTCTATCGCTATATCGCTGCTTCCATAAGGGAGTGTACTGCTGCTTTCGTTAAAGCCAGCTGTAAAATGCATGCATCTGTTCAGACTGTCTGACGTTTCCCTGCATGCTGGGCATCGGAGCCTATTGTCTTTTGCCATGACTATGCCTTTCCAATTAAGAAATGCAATAAAGTCAAAACACAGTGTGCCACTCGCTTACATAGTAAAGCAGCACCTCGCTTCAAGCAGCAGACTGCGAAAGTTGCTTCAGCTTCTGTCCAGAGGCTGCCAGTTCATGGCAGGCTCTGCTGGGCATCTTAGACTACGTAAAATACAGTGATAAGTGGATGTGCGCTATAGTTTATTCGCAGACTTCCCCGTTCCAACAGCGTTATGTCTGTTGTATCAGCTCAAAGCAACCCATGAGCAGAATTTCACACTTCTAAAGAAATGCAAGATAAAGGTAGTGCCTCTCTAGAATCCGCGCTTCTAAGGGCGCTTTCACACCTACCTTGTTTGGTCCGGACTTTCGGACTTTTCAGTTTGGTCCGAATCAAAATTACAGGTGTGAAACCTCCCCCGGACCATGGTCCGGACCAAACAGATGAAATTTGGTCCGACGGAAAGAGGTAGTCTCGGTCCGGATCAAACTGAACAAAGGTTTGGTTCGTTTCTAGTGTGAAAGCATTTCTGTATGGTTCGGACTTTCAGACCTTTTACAGGAAGTTACAGTGGTTCCCGCATAGCCGAAAAAACAAAAGGTGGCAGGAAAAATGAGCCGTGGTAGCTCATGGGGAGAGGAGGAGATGAGGTTTTTAATTGAAGTATGGTCTGATGACATAATAAGAAGTCAACTCGATAAAATGTTCACACGATGAGGACGTTCATTTGGCGAATTTGAACTAGCCTTGTGTATAGTTGGTGCTGCTGGTAATTATGCCATAAAAATAACAATATTTGCAACGATATGCGTCTGTTCATTCATGTTGTCAAAGTTACCCGCCGAATTGATAACACGCTGACGTCAGTCGCACGTCCATTTACAAAACCAATCAATGTCAAGATGCAGCCCACATAGATGATGACGACAGGACGCAAGTATGTCACGTAAAGTTCTTTAGTGCGCTCGCATAATTGCAGTGTGAAACCAAACTAAAACTTTCTGAAAGTATAAAATGTATCAAAACGTGAACTTTGGTTCGGACCTTGGTGCGGACTTTCAGGTGTGAAAACGCCCTAAGTGTTCAACCTGGTCCGGTACCTAGCAATACCATGACGAGGGTGACTGTTTTGAAAGATGCTTATTTACATATTAGACCCTTGACATAGGTGCTCTCTGAGATATGCGTTCAAAGGCATCTCACGCACATTCACAAGATGCATGAACGCAGTTCTCCCCTCTCTTTGATTGATTGCGTGTTCTGAACTACCTCGACGATTGGTTGGTTCTTGTTCATTCACCGAATGCGTTGAACAGCCACAAGTGTGTGATCATCAAGCACCTTCATTGCTTCATTGCAAAAACTGCCATGATGCACACAGAGAGGGCATGGCACATAAACTATCTAGAAATGAGAGCAGCTCTCAAGTGTTTTTATGCTCAGTTTCATCAGACTATAGTGGCATGCTTTAATCATCAAAGAGGTATTAACTTGCATCATCTGCTGAAGCTTGCAACAAGCCTTCTGTTGTGGGCAGATCAACATATCCTGTCTATTCAAGCTGTCCACATCCCTGGCTGTTTGAACTGCGTGCTTGGACATGCTGTCGAGAGGAGGAGTGGTCCTAGGAGAATGGAGACTACATCCTCTGACAGTGAAAACATTTTCGGGCCAGCAGAAGTGGATCTGTTTGCGTCAACAGAGAATGCTCACTGTCCGCTGTTCTTTTCTCTAACAGGTCGCCCCACACTGAAGCCCTTTAGTGTGAAGCCCACCGCTGGCCAAAAACATGGCCTAAAACTTCACCTGCTGAACTACTGCTATGCCTGGAGCAGGAGCAGAAAAGCCTTGAGGCTTACACAAGTGGATTCCTCTATCTGGCGAGCTTCACGCATTATCCAGACCACTCCCTGTGTGCAACAAAGGCTCTGCTGCCCGGTGTGGGTCTTCGGGAATCTTTCGCTGAGTTCATTGAGTGGGTGCTGGTGTGCAACGATTCCCCATTCACCGTCTGCCCCACCAAGAACTCACCAAGCCCGATCCGACTCCAGCACCGCCAGAGACCAGCAATTAACCACCAGCAAACAACCCGACAGAGATGGTTTTAGAGCCAGCCAAAGACCAGGTAGACCGGCCTGCCGCGAGCGATGAGTCTGATCGACGAGCCTGATACATCGTACGTCGCAGAGGGAGTGATAGTGGAGGTTACTCCTCGGACGCTCATTGCCGTGGCTCCACCTCAGTCTCCAGTACCATCGGTTTTGTGTGGGCTCATCGGCCTGTCCTCTTCACCAGTGTCTCCATCTTCGGCAGCTCCATCTCTGTCGGTCGTCCCCAGGGTGCCTTCCATCAAGTCGTCACCATGGCTCCTCCCGCCTTCACCTCCGCCTGGGGCCTCGTCCTGACTGGTCTCTGGAGCAACATCTGGCTCCTCCTGCCTCTGGCTCCTCACTGGCTCCTCCCATCATACACTCCCCCATGGACTGTAATTTTTGCCCTGGACTCTTTTTCTTTTTCCTTTGTTCCGCGCCCTCCTCCAGAGCCCCCGCCCTCCCTACTCAGTTGGACTGCTTACTGTGCGTGGACGCACCTTCCCGGGAGGGGGCGAACTGTTCAATGTACACTATGGTCCGTCTCCTGTGTTTCATTGCGTTTTTGGTTCTGCCCTGTGACCTAGTTTTCCTCAGTCTGGTTAATTAGTCATTCAGTTCACCTGTCACCTATTAATCATCTCATTAGTTCCTTTTGTTTTCTCTGTGCATAAAAACTCTGAGTTCTACATTTTCCTCTGTTCGTCCTCGTTTATATTAGTCCTTGTCCACACTGACACGGGTAGTTTTTCCTACAGCGTTTAAAAAAAAATCCCGTCCACACATGCTCGGTCTCCGTCTACATGAAAACGCAAAAACACGCTACCAAGCGCGGTCAAGAGCATGCCACGCCAGCAGGCGGCGATATAAACCTTAACCGTAAAGCCACGTTGGCCAATCAGAAGCGCAAATCTGACGTCAAACACAGCGGATAACGGCGCACACTCTGACGTCGCAAGGCAAAAACCCCGGTTTCACTGTCTACACGACAAAACATTAACCGGCGTTTCTGAAAATCTTCACCCTGGCAGGGGTTTTCAAAAATGTTCGGTTTTAGTGCGTTTTCGTGTGGACGAACGGCCGAACCGCGTAAAAAAAGTCACGGTTATAAAAATACCCGTGTCCGTGTGGACAGGGCCTTAGTGTTTGGTTGTGCTTTCCTGTATTCTCCTGCAATTTTTTATTATTAAAACCTGTTCCCTTGGATTCTTCTTCTTCGTGCACTTATTACAATCAACTCGTAACAGTAATATTAATCCGCTTTAGAATCAATAGATAAAGTTTAAAAATGACTACATGTGAGCTTACATGTTCAAATCTCTGTATACCTATATATTATCAACTTTACAAAACTAACTTCAAA